TTGCAGTGCCCACCATGGTTGCATGCCACTGGTGGGACCGCAAACCGGTGCACTACCTGGCCACTGGGGTGTCAATGACCGAAGATAGCATCAAGAGAAAGCTGAAGGCGGTGGGGCAGGCGACGTTCGGCTGTCCTAAAATGGTGACCGATTACCAACGCTGGATGGGCGGAGTTGATGTGCACGATCAACTCCGCCTCCAAACGTTCTCCGTCCAGACTTCGTTTAGGTTCCGGAAGTATTATAAAGGACTGTTCTTAGGTCTTTTTGATCTAGCGCTTGTCAACGCTTATCTGACACACAAAGAGGCCTGTCGCCTTGACGGTGTCGCCCCTATGAAGCGCGTGGACTGGTACAAGATGCTGCACAAGCAGCTCACGCAGCTCACGGACGAAGACTTCAAAACATCAGCGCCAACACTGTCTCCGATTGCGCCCAAGCGTCGCCGCAACACTTCCCACGTCCACAAGCAGCTTGATGATTGGGTGATCGTTTCGGGTGTTCAAAAGCGTCGCCAGCGCTCCTGCAAGGTGTGCTCTCTGTATCGAGGTGAGCAGAAGAAAAGCTACCAGACTACTTACTACTGCGAAGACTGCTCGCAGGGCGATGGAAAGTGCTTCCTCTGTCTGAAGGCGCGCAGAGGTACGGGTACAACGTGTTTTCAAGTGTGGCACGACGACTTCGAGTGTGGCGCGTCAATTCCGAGTCACCTGGGTAAGCGTGTCGTTCTGCGCCGTGCACGCAAGGCTGCTGGAGTGCGAAAGAAGACTCGCCGGGAAATCCTGTCTGAGGAGAAGGAAGAGATATAGTGGGTCTTTCGTACAGTTTCTAGCAATGCTAATGCATTTTGTTGAGTTTCATTTGATTGCTGTGATGTGTAGCTCCGGTTATAACTGTGTTTGTGGGTTATAAATCCGATCACATACGATCGGCTAAGTTGTATCTGCGAACTTGTAAGCTAGTGATGCTGAGGTACGTCGTAAGTGTTACGACGTAGAAATCAAAAATCTCTTCATAACTTATAGTCCCATCTTAATGATCAGCCGAGTGGAAAGGACGGGTTGATACAAATTCCTAGATAATTGTATGCTGTAAGTTACGACGTAAAATAAGGCGGCTTGTGACCCGAATTTGCGGTAATAAAGGGGTTAATCATATTTTGGCGTCAGGTTGTCCGTATCTGATAGTTAAGAGCTATCGATCTGTGGTCGCGAGCTTTGTAGGATTGCGAGGTATGCAATTTCTCTTTGTGTGCGTGTAGGAGTCTAATCTGCTTGGACTCGCGAGGACTTAACATCCTCAGTGCATCCAGCGTGGGCATTTCGTCAGCCAAAGGTGAAAAGTGACAACTCTGTCGCTTCTAAATGTTAGTCCATCCTATTAGTAACATCACCGAATTAATGTAAACAGTGTAACTATCCTGAAAGACAGCCTAAACGCAGACTATCAAATCTCCAAGACGGAGAACCAAGAGTAAAGCTAACAGATAGATTTTTTGCGGAATCCGTCCATGATTGATTTTTTCTGTCGGTTTGACCCAGTTTTTCTGTTTGTATCTCACCCCGAGCCGCTGAAGCCTGCGAAGCAAGCATTGGCAATCAAGGATCAACACAAAGCTTCATCAGAGCAGGATCTACTGGTTGCAACGGGACTATAACTCCGGTTTCATGACCGGCTCGGCCGCCGCACTCACAGCTCGGAATCCGACCTTTCAACGGTAAGTAGCTATACCACGGACTGGGTAGCGGTTTCCTGGCTTGGGGAAAGCGCTTCGTGCGCCAGATTCAGTTCGCGCGGCGGGTGAGCGGTTTCCCGTGGACAGAGGATGTCAAGGTTGACGTCTTGGGCCACCACCTGACCGGTATGGCCGAACGCTACTGCTACCAGCAGGTGAAAGGATGGTGGGAGGAGTAGCCAACGCTGGAGCACGCGATGCAGCGCCTGACCCACGCGTTCGCCACGAAGATCACGGCGGCGCAGAGCATGAAGATGTTCACGGCGCCCAGAAGCGCAAAACGGAGCTGGACAGAGCACTACCTGTATCTGGTGGCAGTCAGCGAGTCGTGCGGGGACGCGGACAACTTGGTCCAGGACAACATTGTTTACAACGCAGACCCGGCTATGAGAGTGTCAATGTTCTCGCGCCTGAACTTAGCGCGCACGAACTACCTACGGCAGGCTGAAGAGCTGGCACATTTTGCGCAATCTACCGAGATTGAGATGCGGGGCAAACAGTTTGGTGAACGACGTCCATGAACGCTGACAGGACAATCGCAAATGTTTCCAGTGCGGAGAGACCGGACACTTGAATGCTGAGTTCACTGATCGAAAAAGGGACGAGGAAAAGGGCGAGGCCGATTTTGTGTTGGCGGTCAAAGACGCGGTCATTCGGAAAAGGACTGGATTCTCGACAGTGACTCAAGTCGCCATTTGGTCAACGACCCATGCCTGCTGAATGACCCGGAGGACTTTAAGAGTGGGTGTATCGCCGCCGATGGAGGGTGACAAAGAGAGGGTGTGTATTGTTGGAAACGACTGCAAACGGTAAGGCTGTGAAGGTGCCGCTTACGGACGTGCAGTACGCGAGAATCTACAGAGGAATATCATTTTCTACAGCCTGTTAGAAGCGAAAGGATACGGACTCGCGTACAGAGGGCAGCACCGAGCCGTCGCCGGAATCAATGGGGGACCCTCGTGTTCGACGTCGAGAAGCACAACAACCTCTTACTGGTGCGAATGCAAAGGCCCACTGGCGCGAATAATGCGTGTAGTGTGCTGATGCCGACGCTCGCAGATAATGAAGCTGGGGTAGGAGAGGACGTGCAGTCTGGCTCTCTTATGCATTTGCGCCGGAGGCTCCGGCACCTTAATTACGACACATTTATCCGACTGACAAAAGACCTGGCTTCGGGGATTGCACTCACAGACACGGTGCGGGTCAACTGTTTGACCTGTGCCCAAGGCAAGCAGGCGAAGAACAAGCAGTCGCAGAACGACAGTGGGGCCAACTCGCCCATCAATGTCATTGGAGGCGTCATCTGCTCCGACCTGAGGGCGATAACACCTAGAGATCGTCTAGGTAACCGCTATTTGGTCAACTTCATCGACCATCGGACAAACTACTGCAGGGTGCTTCTCGCAAAAACCAAGGGTGTCGCTGTGCGGAAGTTCAAGCATTTCTTGGCCTCCCTCGAGCGACAGTTCAATTGCCGCATTCATGTGCTGACGACGGACGGTGGCGGCGAGTACCAGACGCTGAACCTATTCTGCAAGGACACGGGGATTGCTCGGCAGATTAGCGAGCCTCGGAACCAAGGTAGCAATGGCAAGGCCGAAAGGATGCGCCGCACCATTGTGAATATGGTGCGGAGCATAGTGTTCGCTTGTGGACTCTCGTTGAGCTTCTGGGGAGATGCTGCTGAGTACGCAACGTACATACTCAACAAAAGCCCAAGCAAGGCGAATCCAGGCTCGAAGTCTCCGCTGCAGATGCTGACACAGCGCACTCCGGACCTGAGCGACATCGTGGTGTTTGGGCCACCTTGTACTGTGCGCGTAGACGCCAAGGGCAAGCCGCTGGGGGAAAGAGGGCGGCCTTGGTTGATCATCAGCAAGAGTGACGATCTGAAAGGCTACCGGGTGTATATTCCACGAGATAAGGTGGTGGTGGTGACGCAGCACGTCAGAAATGTAGAGACCCTCTCCGATGCGCAGAACAAGCAACTCAAGCGCGTACAGCTCGACGACTCAAAGTGGGAGGAGACGTCCGAGAAGGAGAAGGATGCAGAGAATCAGCTCGCGGGAGAGGACGCGACGAAGAACCTGAAGCGTGGAAAGAAAACAAAACTGGACCAACACCAAGAGGACGCGGAAATCAGCGGCAGATGCGGCACAGAAAAGCGCTAACGCTGGACAAGGTGAATCGGTAGGGGATGTCGTGAATAGCGTACTGGAGGCTGACCCGCGCAACTACGGCCAAGCCATGAAGAGCAATCTGAAGAAGAAGTGGCTGGCTTCCATGGAGGAGGAGTTCAGGGCGCTCGAGGACAACGGCGTGTGGACGGTGGTGGTGTGTCCGACAGGGAGCCATGTGTTGCACACCAAGTGGGTTTTCCAGACAAAGAGGGATGCTGATGGAGCTATCGAGCGCTTCAAGGCTCGCCTCGTGGCTTGCGGAAATGAGCAGTTGTTTGACATTGAATATGGTCTAACTCACGCTGCGGTTATGGAGTTGAGTACGATGAAGGTTCTATTAGTGTTCGCTCGCCGCTGGAACGTGCCGGCAACGCATGGTAACGTTCCCAACGCGTACGTAAAGGCCAAGAAGAGCAGCACTTGGAGATCTACTTGCGGGTTCCGCAAGGTATGGATATAGGGGAGGACGTGCTGCACAAGCTGGGAGTAAGAAATAAGGACGAACTGGCGCTGCGACTAATGAAGTCGCTGTACGGCCTGAAACAGGCAGAAAGACTGGAGTAAACTATTACACATAAGGCTGGAGAAAGCCGGGTTTACGAGCTGTGTGACGAACATGTGTCTTTACTACAAGAAGCAGGGTAATGACATGACGCTGGTCGGCGTGTACGTGGACGACCTCTTGGTGACAGCGTGAAAGACCGAGTTGGCGGACGGGTTTTTCCGTGCGATGAGTGGTTTGCTCATCAAGGACTTGGGAGAGTTGCGAAAGTTTCTTGGGATGCGAGTTGAACTCGGCTCAGAAGGGTACAAGCCGGACCAGCAGGCCACGATTGAGGAGATGCTCGGGCAGCACGGACTCTCGGACGCCAACGTAGTGCGGGTACCCATCGGAGAAGAGAGCAACGAAGCGGAAGTGAAAGAACCAGAGCTGCTGAAGTCATCAGGGGCTGGAGGAGAACCGACTGTGCGAGACTTCCAGTCGCTCGTGGACAGCCTCTTGTGAATAGCGCACTGCACCAGGTCCGATATCAGCTTCGCCGTGCACAAGTCCACGAGTCGAACGCATCGGCCGACCATGAGCGACTGGAAGTTGGCTAAAAGGGTGACAAGATACCTGAAGGACACGAGATGTTTGAAGCTCGGTATGGAGGTCGCGACGGACAACGACCGCGAGGTTGCAATTGAAAGCTGGAGCGACGCGGACTTCGCCGCCGACAAGGGAGACAGGAAGTTTGTCAACGGTGGGGTTGTCACTATCGGCGGGGCTATTGTGCTGTGAGTCAGCAAGAAAGAGACGGGGGTTGCATTGTCCACCATGGGGGCCGAATTCACGTCGGCCTTGCACGTTGGAAGAGAACTGCTGGGGCTGCGCGAGTTGGTTTCAGAGCTTGGCTTCAAGGTGGCGCTGCCGATTCCTATGCGGATGGACAATCAGGCTGCCATCAAGCAGTTGGAATCCGAGGGCAGCATGGCGAGCGGGGAGCACGTTGACATCCGTGTGAAGTTCATTTGCGACTACGCCATTGTGAAGCCCGAGTACGTGGAGTCACGGATGATGAAGGCAGATCTGCTGATAAAAGTGCTTCCGGCGCCGAGGATGGCTGAACTGCGTGGGATCTTCAACTTGAAGGAAACATGAAGAACTGAGACCGCAACGACCAAGGAGGAGTGTTGGAATGGGGCCGTAACTCCGGTTTCATGACCGGTTCGGCCGCCGCACCCACAGGATTTGCAGTCGTGGGTGGCTGGTAGGAAGCACAGGTACATGTACAAGAAGTTTTAAGTCAATGATTACTTCTACTTCTACACAGTAAACCTCTAACACTACTTGACCAACCGCAGGGTCACCGCACTAACAGAATGCTTGAAAGAGCCAAGTTGAGATTACAAATATGTTTTATCTCGAAGCCAACATCTCTAAAACTACGCGATTTGAGCTATTTCGCCACTGCATTTGCGGCAGATTCGGCCCGTGAACAGCCTACGAGAGCTTGCTATATTGCAGAGCAATGAAGATTTTGTGTATGTGTTGGAAACAAAATATTAAAAAGAGCATTTTATACCCAATCAAATGGGCTTATAATGTTTCCTGCAATCTGATTCGTTCTATTGGGTTGACCCCTCGAATAAAGTTTGGGACTTTTGCTGCACGTAAAAGGTTGCTGAACAGTCAATCTTCAAGGAGTGTGGCTAATTGGAGCCGTTTTTTTCCTCTTTTATATTGTTCGTATCCCATAGTACGAGAACGTGTTGTTGTCCATCGATCCGCTACTATCTTGGTGGAGCCTGCAGAATAAGGGTTCTACTAACATATAATGTTGTACAAAGTACATTCAACTACGCACGTGACTGAACCTCTAATTTCTATTTCTTGTATCTTTCGTTACCTAAAATGAAATGTATTCCCGGCTAAGTCAAAGACAATCTAGTAAATTGAAGTTGTAAAGATGGAAACAGTAAAATATTATAAGGAAAGTATGCTGTAAACATGCTAACATATAGAACAGTGCCTCCGAAATCTTCATTGACCACAACATTTGTTTTTACAATAATACTTAGTAACCTATGTATTTCAAAAATTTCAGCCAGGGTATGTGATAATTGATTAATAACAATAGATAGGTTATCATAATTGTTGCGAATCCTTTCCATATCAATGGTCTCTGACATCCACTCACCCTTGCAACCAGCCATCCTTGGGCCGAAGTTCTCCTCAGGCTGATCGAAATGGAGCCTCACTTTTCCGTTTTTATTGTCCTCTAAAACCCAGCCTTTCCTGACCTGCCGCGCGGACATGGTTCGCGCTGTCTGCCCCAACTCTACCCTCGCCAATGCCCAAGTCTTGGGTTTCTACTTTAGACCGTGGCGTGACGAGTATGTCGAGGCAGTTCCGGAGTACTTTCACTGTCGTTGCGTCACAGTCTGCAAGCAAACCAACCGGAATGGATATTCCAACCTGATGCAGCACGTACTGCATCAGCACCCTGACCACGAGAGCGTCATGCTCCAAGATACGACGGCTGAGACTGGGTCGGTGCTCAACTTCGTACGGCACTCGCCTCCCAACTACTACTGCTGAATGCAATGGATCATCGAGTCCAACCTCCCGCTCTTCTTTTGCGAGAGTGACACAGCAAGAAAGTCGGTAGTTTTTCCTGTCATAAAATCAAATATGACTGATTCTGATAAATGTTTTCTTACGCGGATAATCAAACTTGGATCTCAGACTCTACGCCTGGGTACGAGTGGAGTGACGCAAGCCGTCGAGTGAACTATTGTCGGGGACCACCCAGGTATTTCGGTGTCATGATGGGCGGGATGACGCACGCGTTCGAGCACTACGTAGCATGGTTTGCCTGCTTTGAGAGGAGCGGTGAGCTCGTCACTGTGGTTCTAACAATGGCTCCGCACTTAAACGAGCCAAATGATGACCTATCAGCACAAACTCACCAAAATTCCTGATTGCAATGCTACCTAGAGACTACGGAGTCCAGATCGAGCAGTGCCGATTCCTCGTCGGGGGACTGCGTGACCAACCGCTTGCTCGCTACGCTAATGGAAGTCCCGCTAGTTGGATGTGTCAGCCACCGGCTGAACCGAGCCATGCAATATGATATGGAACATCATGAAGATGACCTGGCAGCAGTACAGACCCTATGATCAATTGAGGACACTTACGCAATCAGCCAAACTTTGGTAGGAATTTGTGTACAATTTGTGTTATGGTACGTATCTTAAATTACGCGGTTCATTTCAAATCTTAAATTTCCTAAAACTAACCAGATGTTATATTTTGCATTTTTTTGTAGCTTAAAAACAGAACGCCGCTCAGTCTTTCGGTAGGACACGCGCTGTAGCTCGGCCTTCTCGATGCCCTAGCGATACCTAAGGCTGTTGAAGTTCATAGGTACGGAAGCCAACGACTTGAAGGAAGTGATATCAACTCCCGCAGCAAATAAGCGGGTGTTGTGTAGCAGAACACACAAATACCGTCAGAGGTGGATCCTCACACAAACCACAATAATACGCCTAGTCAATAGCCTATATTTGCTAGGTGAGCTGGCTAAGCCAGGTAGGATATGCGCTTATATGGCCAACGCTGGTGTTGTTCCCTCGCAGTTCGACCCAGCCAGGACAGGCGGTGCGCTCTCGCGTTTGCCAGGTCACGGCCAACCAAGTCAATCTCCATCGAGCGCTCTCCAGGTGATCCCTACAAGCCTCGCTCCTTGAAAACCTGTGCTCTAATCCAAAGGATAGACGACGGCGCGCGAGCGCTTTTACAGGCCACCGAGCGCAAAGGCGTTTCAGCTAGAAGTGTCGCGGCACCCGAGCTATCCGACGTACCGGCTCGCCGACCAGGCGAGCCTTGTCCTTGCCCGGCTGATGGGGTCTTTTTATGTGCTCGATGAGCGAGTCTTTACTTCTTCTCGCGGAGCGAAACTGTTGCTCTACCCGGGCCTACCTTATCTGTTGACGCTGCCAGTCATTACCTCACCAGCTGCCTCTCGGATACCAACAGCAGACATAATCCGGCCCTGTGCAGGTACTTACCGAAAGAGTGCACACGTGTCTTGAACTCGGAAAAACCTGCTCTGTTTTTCTGTTATCTGCTAGGAGCCTCTTTAGGATCGCCTTTTCCTGTGTTTATTTACATATACGAAGTGAAGTAGAAAGTGTCGGATCCCATCCGACCGTTCACCGGCTCCAACGGCTAGACAAGTCTTCGGACTTGGCTGACGTCCGCCAGGTAAGTACCGTGATTCTTGACTCCGTGTCCATCGTCAGCCAGGTCGGTACCGTAGACATTACTTCCTAAGTCGCATAGGTCGTGCGCGCTCATCAAGACCGCCTGACATGTGCGGAGAAAGCGGCGCTGTTGCTGTTTACTAAGCTATCAGATACCGATGGCAACCGTGATTATGAGGACGAGATTCGTTCGTCGACCGGCTTCTCAAGCAGCGCCGCCTCGAGCAGAAAAAGTGTCGTACGAGAGTATCAGGACGATTCCGCCTACATCGCACGCTGTGGAGCTTTTTTTTTAGCGTTGCCAAGGTGACGCTTGGGCAGCAGCGGCACGGATAACTGCCTTCGGCGTTAGAAATGATTCTGTTTTTGAGGGAGAATCGTAGCTATTAGGATGCAAGTACGGTCGATGGTCTCAACTAATGGTATGTAGCATGACGTGGTAATACACTACTATTGACAACCATAGCTCCATTATGTATATTTTATTGATGACGGACAATGACATAACTGATTTCCTAACAGACACAGAGGCTAATTGATAAGGTATGCTGTTTAATTTTGTGTCCAATTCATAGAAATGCCATATTCGGAGGCCTTGCACGTAAACTCCAGAGGGTCGTCAAGTATTCTAGGAACAAGCACTTCGGGGCATGGGCCTATTGTCCTCAACCTGACAACCCCAGTAGTTCTTTTTAAACACAGCATTCATGAAGAATAAAACAATGTCATCAGCTCCTGAAGCGTAAAAGGACTACTCAGCTTGGTGCGCTCTCTGGCTCCGCAGTAACACGGAGGGCGCAGGGAAGCTTCAATCTCCCTCTTGATCTTGTCGAGAAAATTTGCGACGATTACACGAATTTTGCAAGGTGGCCAGCCAGAATGCGGCCCGATGACGACCTCGACTTCGGTGCAAGCGTGGACGTGCCGGAGTAACTAAGGCCTCACACAGAACAGGAGAAAACTACGGCGCTGGAGTACCTACTACAACATGGGTGACACAAGTGGTACTCGAGGATACACCCTCAAAAGGAGGCAAAATGCCCCCATTGACCACGAAAGGGTTAATTAACAGTATTTATCATTCTAATTTTCGAAATTTGACAGCGTACTATGATTAAGCTTACTAAAAAGGAGATAGCTATGTTCTGGAATGAATGCTAAGTGGCAACAAGAATTACGATAAGCTCTGAACTTTGTAGTGAAGCGTCGGAGAAAGCACAACATTTAAACTTTAAGCCTATTTTTCGTAAGGTTTACTCGGAAACTTTGGATCGCTTCTGTCTACAAGCTTCGATACCTGTTAGTGGAGCTGCTATGGGAGAAATTCATGAGGTTATTTCGTCTACCGATGGTGAAGCAAATCCTAACTGGGAAATTGGGGAGAATTCATGGAATGCACTCAAGTTGCTACCCGAAGAGAAAGATCAGTTTGTGCATCGTGATTGTCCTACGTTTGAGACCGCGCGAGCTTTGCGAAAGCGTAAACTGGTCCAGGGTTTTGTGATTGTGGCACTAATGGATGATACAAGGCTACACGTGTATCCAAGGTGTTTTGGAGGTCACGCGGACAAGGAAAAGCACAAAATGGTAACGCTAAAACGGGGTGCAGTGCTTTTCTTCCGTGGTGACCACATGCTGGAGCAAAGTACGACGCTCTCAACTTTCGACTGCACTGCTACGTACAAATTGCTGGGGTGGACCAAGAGCAGAATACTACTGAAGCTTGTTTTTCAGACGTTCCACTGTGACAAGTGTCTAGAAACTACCTACACTCGTAAGAAATTGGCGGTGTACCTCCGCACTTGCTCGGAGAGAGGCTACTCAGGTGCCCGTACCAAGACTGCACACTCGCGTATGACGCCCGCAATGCACTAAACGTCCACATTAGACGGGCCCACAAGAAGTATGGACACAAACTCGCTATAGAAGAAAAGCGCATGGGTGAGTGGCAGCAGCGGGGAAGGAACCGAAGCGTTCGACACGGGAAGTAGCAATGACGAAGAGAGGTACAGTGGTGGGGAGAGTAATGAAGACGAAGAGTAACTGGCAGTTGCTGATGTAACTAGATACAGCTAGTGTTTACAAAAGCGTGGTCATTTTCTAGGACAATGCCTTGTTTTACCGGTGATAGTGAGAAATTGTTTTACCAGTGACATTGACATTTTTTTTTACCGGTGACAGGTTACAGTGCAGTATGGGCGTTTTCTTGCTTTTCCTGCAGCATTCCATGTTACGTGTCTGGGCACAAAAGAAACTGAACATCGAGCGCTCGGGAGGCATAACGAAATTTGGTCCTGGACGGAAGGGGTCGACACTACATGTTCTACACGCTGGTGATTAGTCGGCGGGTTGATTTTCTTTCGAATTTTACGATTGAAGAGTTTTCTGAGCGATCGTCAGCACCTGGGCGACCAAGCCGTCGCGCCTTTCGTCCAGCTAAGATTTGACAGCAACTTTTGAACTTGTTGTAGAACTTGCAGCATCACGTATACATCTCGACGCCAATGATCCAACCGCTCGCTGACATGGATGTGATATGCGCATACCACAAGGGCCACGAGACGACGTTGTAGTAAAGTTGCGCTGCACGAGCCCGTTGCTCTCGAACCATGAGCGCTTCACCGAGTAGAAGAGAGTCCTGGTCATCCAGCGGTGGATTTTCTGCCGAGGCACGAAATGGCTGGTCGATAGCAGAACATAGCTCGTCAAGCTATTCGGCTTCTTGCGGACCCTGCCCAATAGGTTTTGAAATTGCTTCGCGCGGCACAATGCAGAATTGTGCGTTGCGAAGACTGCTACGCGACCAGTTGTAAACATGGAGGATGCTGCCTTGGAGATCAATTTGGAAGGTGATTGAATGTCGGTGTCTGACTGGGGGACTCGCTTGAATACATCGCCAATAACAGAAAAGTAACCCATAGAAGACCCTGCAACTTTCTCTGTGTAGTATGTGGTCATACTGTTTGTATGGTGCAGGCGGACGATTCCGCTCATCTCGGACTTTCGATGCTCCGGTGCCAGGTGTTTCGTACGTTTACGCACTTTGTACAGTACGTAAACGAAACACATCAAATATGTTGCCGCTCCAAATTCATGCACCGTCTGGAATCCATTGAGTTGCGCTTCTTCTGCATCTCCCATTACGGCATTGACAAAGAGTGTCGCGGTTGGTTGCGGGAGAAATTAATGCAACCAGAAAAACGGTCCTGCATCCGAAAAAAAATGTCCTGCACTTTAGGACAATATGCAGGACCGATTAATGACCTGCAGGACATTTTTTCGGGTGGATTATGGGTACATTACCCAATCCGGGCAGGTCGGTTTTGGGGAATATCCTATATTAAAATTGTAGGATGTTTTTGCTCGTTAATAGTATGCACCATGTATTAAACATTATTTCAATCTACTTGCGCTGAGTAGTCGGGCGTTTTCGTACAGATACCTTTTTTGAAATAATTTTCTTTTTTCTTGTCGTTTACCTTGGTTTTGCTTACTTTTCCCACGATTATCAGCAGGTATAATAAAGTCGTAATACGCTGCTTGAATCGTCAATGTCACTTTATCGCAATGAGCGGGAGCACGACGTCTTTCCATGGATATGTCTGAACCGCGATGACTCTCATTAGGGAACACAGAAGTCATTGCAGTGCTTATTAGGTATTAACAGGGACCACGAAGCCAATGCGTTCGTTGGGATAACCCAACGGGAATAGCTGTTGGGCAGACAACTCCAATAGAGAACTAAGACCCAACAGCGACAACCCTCTTGTACATTAGGCCCTAGACGGCTAGCAGCCAACCACGTAAAGCAACAGAGCCATTGGCTCACATGTGAGGTGCACACCAGATTGTGCACTACACATAACACCTGCTTGCAATGCCACTACACATTTGCAAATATTTTTCAACCTACAGTTTCAAGTTGGTGACAAATACAGGAATTTCGGGATGGGCATCTCTAATGTGACGCTTGATGGCGCAATTATAACTTTCAATCGGATTGTTTGTTCGGTTCTGCAAATGTATCTCACTATCAACATAAGCATTGACGTTCCAAAGCTCGGGGTCAAACGATTTCAACCAAATTTGAGTAAAATAATGCCAAAATGATTCCCATTCAGTGCGATAGCCATGTGGCATTATCAATGACGTGACAAAGGGAATTCCTTTTTTCTGAATCTCGTCAATAGGTATCACAGTAAGAGAATTCATAACACCGGGCGTCATTGCCTGCTTGATTTGTTCTGCTGGAATTCGAAGATCTATCAGCTTGCGATGAATAGCTTATTTCCAGTGAAATAAACAGCCAATTACTCGAGTTCACTTAAATTGATCACCTATTCAGTTGATAAGCGCAGTTTCGAAGTCACACGTGACACTTCCAGGAGACAATTTCATTCCTGTCAACATCTTGATACGATGTAGTACTGTTGTGTATGTCATTTCAACCTTGCGTTCCAGGAGAATGTAGAGTACCGGAAGATACACTTCAAACTTTGAGTCATGTCCCATCACTATTAGTGTTTGCTTGAACGGGGCTGGTGTGAAGCTATAGGTTGCGTCAATGAATAACGAGACGCCTCGAATCTTGAGAAGGCGTATGAGGTCAGGATGACCCAAACCGACGATTCGCTGAGCTTTGCCATTATTGTTGTAAAACATGTTGAATTGGAGAAAGAGTTGAGCATCCAATTCCGAGACGTTAACGTAGGGTGACCTTTCATTTTGTCGGAACATGTCACCACCGTTGGCCTGTCTGCGAACGTAGCCAATAAAATTAATAGCTTCGTCACGTGGCATGACTGTCACGGCTCGATCCGGATGCATCTTCATCATATGAAGAGGGAGTCTTTCCCAAAGTCGACTTGGGAGCGTCGTCTTCGCCACTAGCGCTTCTGTTTCGATGAGACCCTTTATTTCTTCCGTACACTCGATAACGTTGGGTTTTGCAGAAACTTGACACGTATGCAAAGCCGTCACTTTTGCGTGACCGCTGGTGACGATGAGCTTGCCTTTGCACTTAGTTGATCTGTACTTTGAGCATTGATAGTAAACAATGTTCTTGCGCTTTGTGTTAACCGAGTATTGCGGAACATTGAAAAAGGGAGAAGAGACTTGTCGTGGTTGTTGGAATATTATAGAATGACTCCGTAATGAACTTGGGCAAACGTTTTGCAAGTACAGACATTAAAATAAAGTTCTAAGAAGCTTCCCTGGCAGCCTAAATAATGATGTAACACATTATGTAATTTGGACTATCCATAACTTTTGATCTTGAGATTGTACCTCTGAGAATATGAGAAGATGGTAAAAAAAAAAAATTAGACATACTTTAGTAAGTGCTTGGATTTTGTTTCTCATATCATTACATACGAATTAGTGTACTGGGTGTTAAAATGTTGTAATCATTTATTGCCGGTCGTTCCAGCCACACTATATCAATGACATGCCCCAAAAAAATGCGCAGAGGGCTTGCTCAACAAATATTACTCAAAATGGAATTAATCCATCTTATGCTCCCTCCCGTTACTGTAATTCAATTCAAAGCCTTATTCGTTGGCGTTTGGTGGGTACCACACTCGTTTGTAATCGCTTTACGATTTTAAGATAAAGTCAACTTTTCACCTTTCTTATGTTGCAACATCCGTTATCTTATGATGGTAAAATTTATGAGACGCACTATTCATATGGCGAAGCTTGAGGCAGCTTAAGCCTGAGAAATAAAGGTTCAGGGTTATGATATGCAAGCACATTGCACATTTTTGGACTGCTTTACCTTTTTCTGAATATTTGATAAATCATTGTAGGACTTTCTGTAGGACTTATTCATAGGTTGCAGGACATTTTGTAGGACATAGTTGTAAGACATTTTTTCGGATGCAGGACCATTTTTCTGGCTGCATTAATGGCATTCGTTGGTTGCATGTGCTTCACTAGACGAATGAACGCTTCCAGACACATGGCATACTCTTTAGCTGTCCGTCGACTAACGATAAATATGGCTGCAAGCTGACAGCACCGAGAAGCATCGGAAATTCCACATGTAATTACTGGATACCCGAGATCGCTCTTCTTGAACGTCGCGCCAGCATGAAACAAAGTACAACGACTCGCAGATGCGTACTCCATACTGGCTTCGACGAGAGCACGGCTGGACACTCCTTCCACGAATGATTCGGCATCAGTTCCTTTCCCCACATACGCGTGATCGCTTGAGTTTTCTCGATGCCCAAAGCAGAACGGTTTTGAGAGGTCTCCAGTCAGGTCGAACGGGTTCTGTTGCACTATCTCTCTGACGGCTTTGAGAAAGGTTTCGTGCCCTGAAGAATACGTAGATATTTGGCGCAGTTAGTAACTTGAGCCAAAGTGGAGAATTCTCGGGTTGGCTCTATAATGTCCGAAGCGCGCCGCAAGTTACTCAGGATAAGCATCGGAGGTATTGAGCACTCGTCTTGCTGGAGAATAAATCGCTTCATTTCAGCAGTAATCGCGGTTCGGTGAGGCCCCTCACATTATGTGGTATCGTCGCGGAGGTATACCATTGTAGTAGGTGTTCCAGCGCTTAGCGGCAGCGCAGATCTAAATCTTCCACATGTACTTACACTTTCCTTCGACCTTGCAAGTGCGGCTAACGCAGCCTAATCTATTCTCCGTCACAATGTGGTCACCTCATTCGCACACTTGGAATTGGCAAGCAGGGTCGGTATGGATTACCCAAGAACAGCAAAACTCCACAGACTTAAATTCAGACACAGATTGGGGTGGGTCAAACTCACCCAGTGTCTGCCATATGTATAGAATCCTTGTCATCGTGGATGCAACGCCTAGGCCCCACACGTTCTCCCGGCACCACTTGTTTAATGCCACCACCCTCTCAAATGTCACCACTCGCTCAGAGGTCACCACTCACTCAAATGTCAGCACTTGTGTTACAGAAAACTCTGACTTGCTTTGCTCTCCACGCGCTGCTAAGTCCCTATTTATTGTTGGATCTCGCGAGTAAAGCTGGATTCCGTGTCACTGCTCGAATGGTTGCCACCCGCTTCCACTGTTGGTTCGAAGTTTTGAAATGAGAACGAGTGGTTGTGGTGGCTTGGGTTAGTTCAGGCATGCCAACCATATATCGTGTGGGCCACGCTACTTTGATCTCCAAACTGTGCTTTCCAACCTTAATTACTGTGATTCCACACCATATAACTGGCGTTACTGAGAATTACATTTTTGGCCTGTGCAATTCACACATACTGCTGTGCAGCTCATCTGTATGATTCACCCGCTCTCGGTTTTTTTTTTTTTTTGCATTATTTTAGAATTACCGCGCCAGCAAAATACCAATTAAATATTGTGTTTCATTTCCAAATAGCTCAATCATTTATTTTCATACTTTAATTTTGCTGATTATTTTTTAAATTTTAACATTTTAAATATTATTTATGAGCTCGCTGACAAATAATTCTTGGTTACATTTTCAGCTACGAAACGTCTAGTCGAGCTATTTCAATGGTTACGTCCTTAATATTTGGTTACACTTTGAATTACCACTGGTAAACTCGATGGTTACATTTTAAAAATTGGGTTATACGCTCTAAACATAGGGTACACTGCTAAAATCCAGCTAGAGAGTCATCAAGTCTTCAAGGAAGCTCGCCCACGAGCACTTCGGGGCATGACGCCGAGCTCTATATCGTCGTAAGAATCGTCTGTGATGGGCTCCTTAGGTCTAGACAGCGACAGGGTGAGGCTGCGCATACTGCTCGGCTTCTTGGCTTTGGAGCTGGGCAGGTCGTCCACTTCCGCCTCGATCAGGTCGGCATCATCAGTGCTGATTGCCACTTCTCCCGACGAGTCCGTGGCTCCGTTCGCTCGTCGATGCTCGCGTCTGATCCGGATCATCTCGGGAGTGTGTACGAAGAAGAAGACACCAACGCAGAACAGGGCGATGAGGTGGGCACTTACTAGGTTGGGGAAGAAGCACGTATCGTGATTGCTTCAGTAACATCGTACATCAATGTTAGTATTCGCTCACGAAGCACAAGAATCACAGAGTTTACCGGTCTGAAGGGTAAGCGTATACCCAGAAGTCGTACATGACGAAGATCGGCAGCACAGTTCGCGACAAGCTCCAAACGATGTACGTCGAGTAGATGGAGCGCATGTAACTTTTTCTATCCTGGCGGTCTCGGGCTTCCAAGAAACCGCGTGCATTGAGCGGCAGCGTCGCTAGCTCAACCAACAGGAACAGTAGCAGACCAAATTGGCATGCGGCGCAGCATGAAATGAAGTTGTTGATGAAGTATGGGACCCTATTGAGTCAAGATTGAGCGGTTAGCTGAAGACCATTTCAAATTTCGACCCCAAGTTTTTACGATACGTACACAGCGACGATGTGGTGGATGATAAATACCATTTGCATTGGCACTGGCCAGATGATAATAATGATCAGGTCACACAAGAAATATCCGATCGCTATAAGACGGCAAAGGAGGAGTCAGTACGCCATACTCCACGGTCAACCCATCTAACAATGAAGTCGTACCAATCGAGAAAATGAAGCTCGCTGCCCGTAGCGATGACATGGGCATGAACCCGTGGGCCCAGCTGATATCCGCCAGCGCGTAGGCAACGCCGATAACGACTAGGATAGCATGGACGGTCGAGTTCACCCTGTCGTAGACGACGAAAAAAAAATCATTTCGCGTGAGAACCCTCCTTCGCTGTCTCGACGCGTCCGGCGACTCACCTGGAACACCAGTCAGCCTTTTGTGCTGGAGTAAAACCGGAGAACTCGGGTATGCGGCGACTGGAGATATACCAGGACAACCCGAAGTTGGCCCAGAACAGGGTGAACGCAATGCCAGCGACTAGCGCATTCTCACCGAGACGTACACTACGCTCCTCCTCCAGCAGCTCCTCGCCACCATCGTACCATCCCATGCTGCTGCTACCTTGTGCTGCTGTTGTCTGGCCAATTTGGTGAAGGGTGTCAAACGACTCGGGACTACAGCGCAGAAACAAAGATGGAAGGGCAAGCAGGATGATGGCAAGTTGTGTCGGCCGAGTCAGAATCCACCTCACTTGTGTCGCTTCAGGCGAACAAACTTGTCTCCAGTATTACGCCCACAAACAGTTGTGAAGGGGGATGGGACATGCAACGATATAGCGAATCATTAAGCCCAGCTGGGAAATTACTGCCTTTCATTGGCTAATAGCAGAATATCAAGTGTACATGAACCTAAAACGGCCCGTCTAGGCGTCGTCATCACGTTAATTATTGCTGCATCTGAGTATAAAAGAGAGTCTCTTACAAACGCCTAGTCATTTTGCTGACGAATAAGATGCCTAAATAAGGGTTCCGTTTCAGAGTGTGACTCCAAGACGCGTAAGCAGATCATCGTCATCAACGCTGTCTTTTTGATCGTCCTGGATGACCATGGACGAACTGCTCGCGCCACCGCTGGCTGACGCAGGCCACGCCTGCGCGTGGAAGTCGCCCTCACTCGACATCGCAGTCGTCGCGACGGTCCATCCGCTCTCTGTTTTAGCGGTAGTCTTGACCTTAGGCCACAACGCCTCGACGGGTGGCTCCTCGATCTTGCTGGCGTGGTCCGCCGGCACAGCGGCTTTGACCACCCAGCCGGAGGCTGCGGGCGTTAAGCCAGGCGGTGGCCGCAACGCCACACGCGAACGGGGCTGAAATCCGGGCGGAACGCTAGTCGACGGCGCCGGCGAAATCGAAGCGAGCAGGCTACTGCTCTGCGGCAACGCCGACGTGCTGCCTCGACGCGGTCGCTGTGGCTGCTTCTTGTTACCTCGAGACGGAGTAGAAGCCCGCGGATTACGCTTGGCGGTAGATTGAGAGTGGGAGGTCGTGCTCTCGTCGCATGACGAGCGTCGCCGAATGACCGTGTACCCGGCAGCATCCGCCTCGTCATCCATGCGGTTTGGAGAAGCATTTTCACCTTTACTGTTCGACCGTTGCTTGGCGTGGCGGTTCTTGGATCTTCCTGTGTTGTCCGAAGAGCGGAACTGCTGCTGGCGTCCGCTGTGCCGCTTAATCACGTATCCGCCGGGCTCTTCCTTCACTTGTCCGGAGTTCTCGAGCGCTTCACGCATCGAGCTGAATAGCGGGCGGCGGTTTGGTGGAGTTTCAAGGTGAGAAGGTGCTTCCAGACTGGATGGCGGGATGGAGAGCGAGTCGCTGCTCTCGGCGGGCATAGCGGTGGTGGCAACGCGGGTGTCGTCATCTTTCAGAAGCAAAGCGGTGAGCTGCTCCGAGACGCCGTTGTCGGATGGTGGTGTGCCTGCTGCGAGGTCTGCCATCTTTGCCATATCTGTTATATTCAAGACTGAAAAGAACGGGGTTTTGCTCCAACCGTTTGATGGCCTTCTCCCACGTGCGAGCCGGCGAAAGAATCACATCAAAAAGCAACGCCCTTTAATGCTACTACCTTACGACTGCAGCGCCCTTTAATGCTACTCTACCTTAAGAAAGTAAGTAGCAAAACGAAAAAGGTAGAGCCAACGGCTGCGACATTTTTGTGGACCTCTCTCGTCTTTTTTTTTCAGACAGAATCTGACAATAAAAGAATTTTGACAGAATTTATTGGTCGTAATTTAAATTTTGTATTACGACCAATAAATTCTGTCAAAGTTCTTTATTAGAGAGCTACAGTGAAAAGGAGTAGTAGACTTATCAGTTTCAAGAGGGACGATTTGTTACTATAGTATGTCATTTTTGGCTTTGCTGGACAGTGACAGCTCTAGTGACGACGACGATTTGGCGGTCATGGTCGTCCTTGCTCGGGCGACGGACGAGTCGCTAAAATACAGATTTGGGTAGTCATCATTGTCATTAGCGTGTCCGTTTTCTCGCGATCTTGCTTCAACCTTTGCTCCTCAAGTACTAGTTGTCGTTCCTGAATGTTCAATTGGCGCTCTCGATGCTTCTCGCGACTTAGCTGCGCTTCAGGTTTTACTTCAAGATACCCAACTATCGCTTCCGCACTGCTTCTTTTTGTTTTTTTAGCTTTCGATTTTTTTCTTCGTCATTTTCGCGAGCACCTCGAATCCCAGCGATTGCGTCACGTACTACTTGGCTGGACGCAGCTTCGCGTCTCGCTGCTTCCTTTTTTCTTTTCTGTCTTGTTAGTGTTCTCCTGTATGTCACGTACCGTGGAATACAGCGTCACTTTCAGCCCTTCTTGGCGGAGAATAGAGTGGTCTACGCGAGCTCACCAGGCGGGATGACGCAAGACACTGGGGAGATGCACTCGAGGGCTTCATGAGTTGAGAGGACGGGTGTCGTGGGCTGTTCTGGAGCTTCATACGAGGAGAAGTCGTGGAGTAGTCGTCCCTAAGGAGGATGGAGGTCATACAAGGAAACGCCTAGGTGTGGTAGATGGGGTGTCGTGCCTAGGAATGCTTCGAAGACCACCGCCACGGCCTCATTTGAGTTAGTCATTTTTCATTTTGCTACGGCGTACACAGGACAAACAAAAACACAACAAGTTCGACTTCTTCTTCTTCTTTTACAAGGCCGCCCGGCCGTCGGCCTCCTCTGTCCCCTACCTATTCGGCAAGCACTTGCTACGATCTTGGTGAAGCGTTCGTCTTGTCTCCGGGCCCTCGTTGCATCCCTGGCTCGGGACATGTACATGATCATCAAACTACAAATAAAATAAAATAAAATTATGAGATAAGAACATTTAAAATGAAATATTTTGTTACTAATTACAGGTAGTTGGTGAGCTGTTCGCGTTCACGGTACTCTTCAGCAGTGCCTGACGCACGGAGCTAATCCATCTCCACGCGTCGGAAAGTGTCGAGTAGAGCGGTGAATCGACGCCTGCAAGCTTTGCCGTCTGCAGTTGAAGCTGACATTGCGTTTTTGAGTCCATTTGCAACGTTCGTCCAAGCAGTGTTAGTCTCTCCGTGTGCAGCCGCCCAAGGGGTATGTGCAGCGACCTCCTTAAGAAGGAACACATCACTAGATGATAGAAAACGGAAGGCCATCTTCGTGTAGGCTTGAGATGGGCATTTTGCAGCGTACTGATGCCTTCAGGGTCAAGTGGAATAGGAGGGGGCTCGTGATCTTTACTTGATATTGTTGTTGTGCCTAGGAACCACTAAATTAGACTGAAACACTTGGTTACTATAGACAGGGCGCAAATATTCTTTGTGTTGAGATTACTGTGAACCCCTACCCCCAACTTATGTGGTTCTCATTGTGATTTTTTTCTCATTAATATAGGAATGGTCGAAGATTTGACTATATTCATCCATACCGCAAAGGAATGCTTCAAGCCTCCTACGAGCCCAAGGGTAGGGGAACCCCCTATCTTCAAGGCCTCGGCTCCGTCAAATCATGTGGAACCCGGGGCAAGGCGACAGGGGGATCCTTCCGGTTAAGTCCACGAGTCCAGAGCCCAACGCCCGGGTTCTTGTTCAGGGCTCTAGTGGCACTAGTGCCAAGTTATTCAGGCTCTCTCCTACGCGATTTGATTGAACAGTTTTCGAGGATGCTTTCTAGAATCTAGATCTCTTCTCGACTCAACACTACATGAAGCTCGCAAATCTCGTTCCCCACGTTGAAAATGTGGTAAAGTCTCTTTCAACGGCTTCAGGAGATACGCGCGCTACGCGCAAGCGAGCAACCGGCAGTCCCAGGAAGGAATGACGACGACACTAGCAACACTTCGTCTCCAGACTCCAGAAGACATGTGGTCTCTCGTAGAGCTCCACAGAGCGACTTAACACCACTTCTACCCCGACCTCAGACACACGAAGGTACCCCGGCCGTCAATTGCTCGACAAGCGAGCCAATGATCCAGAATGGTGAGGAAGGCCTTGCACTGAATGGTGGTGCGTCGCCCGCGTCTGTTGCACCAACGTGTCAGGTGGGCTAAAGAACAGTAGCACATGCGTCTTCTTTGACCGCTGTCCGTGGTTTGGCAAGTGACGAATATCACGACGTCGACGTTTCAAATGTAAAGCCGCCCGCTGCGGTGACTAACCCAATCGCAGCGTTTCCTGAAGTGCCAGGGCTTGTACTGAAGCCTCCTACAGAAAAGGAGACGTCGTATATGTACAAATGCGGCGTCCGAGTTGAGGTCGTCGAACGTGGGGTCCCTATTCGTCACTGGATTTGCCTTGCTGACGAAACCTGCAGGTGAAACGGAACAAATTTTACACTGTCCTGTGATCGCACGTCTAAACCTGCGAATCACCTAGCAGGGGCCCACCGGGTCGTGCCCGCGAGGACGAAGTACAGCTTGGCGAGAAATGAAAACGGGCAGATGAGATCGAGCATTTACGTTCTTCATCTTTATTCATGAGCAACCCTCGCCAATTCGCCTTACTTATGGAGACTTTACGTATTATCAACTATAACCTCCCTTTTAGATTTGGAGAGTATCGGTAATCCCGTATTGTCGTAGCCCTGTTGGAGAGAGAAGACGTGCAGATCGTTTTAAACGCAGCCAAGGTCACACGAGCGATTGTCGAGCTCTATTCGTCCACAAGAATCGAGATTATGAGCGTGTTGGGGGGACAGCAAGCTGGGATCGTTTGGCAACTTCGTCATAATGAGTGATTTCTGGACGTGCAAAATCACCCACAAGAAGTACATGGGCGTTCGTGTTTATTTCGTTGACTCTAACTGGGAGTTCCGATCTATTCTTCTCGGAGTACGCTGATTTTCGCCAAGTTATGTAGACCGTGTGACGGGGATCCAAGGTCTTTACAAATCTTGGACGCTTCAACTACTTGGGGGGTTGGATTGACTCCGAGTGATTTCTTCAGCGCGACTAGCGACGGTGGTCCTGATGTCAAAAACTTGCTAAAAAGTGTGCTGAAACGAAGATGGAAATGGTGCATGGCGCACATGGCCCATGCTGCTACCAAAGAAGCCTGTGGAATGAATGGAGATGCTCAGAGATTTCGCAATCCAGGTGTGACGGAGCTGATTGCCTGCAGAAAGAAAACCATTTTCGACGTCCAGTCTATTGAAAAAAAAAACGGGGGATCTATTTGCTGCACTTTGCCGAACGCAGACAAACACCTCTACTACTCAGCTCCTAAGTTACGCGGCGGATCGGTTTTTGAGCATTACTGGCACCATCCACCGAATATTAGAGAAGTGGGGTGCACTTGTCGATTGGTACGACGAACGCGCCCACATCGCTCACCGACAGCGCGTATCTTCCCCTTCTTTCAAACTAAAAAACCATCGTAAAGATCTTGAACCCATTTTATTGCTGCTGGAACCAATTTCAAGACTCAATTGGCATTGTCAGGCCGAGCGTCCAAACCAAGTAGCAGTGCACATGGAACTGTATCAGATTACAATGCTCCTGGCTGACTCGTTCTGGTTGAACAGGAAGTGGGCGTTGAGTAGCACGACTTCCGAAATGTGCTCGAATACGGATGATGGGTGCTGAATCCTCATCGATAGAATGCTGATGCTGCACCATATTACTACCAGCATGATCTACAAGCTTCACCATTAACGCCCAAATTCTTGTCTTGATTGCCTCGTTTAAGGAGCTAACGAGCACCGTTGTTGCATCACCCGACATATCTTTTTCCTTGCACAACAATTTTACAACGGCGTTGAGGGATTTCTTCGGGATTAAACTCAGAGTGCAGCCTCTGCTGCATCTCGAAGACAAAAGTTCCATCATCGAGATAATCCTCACTTGTATAGCGGCAGAAAAACCGCGAATCAAAAGCGCTGCGCAATAACTGTCTAGTTTGTGCAGCAAGCTCTGTCAGGTCGTCCACTGCAATCCACCTGAGAGAATCAGGTTTCGATCGATAATCTAGCAAAACCTCCTCCAAATTCAATGGGTCCAGGCGTACTGGGAGATAGATCAGACCGAGATGAGAGTCAATGATAGCGTACTTGATTTCTGGATGCGAATGGAGCACAGTGACGACTACAATATACTGCCGAGGGTGGTGAAGATTTTATTTGCCTTACCCTCGTCATCCGCCCAGATCGAGAGAGACTTTAGGGTGTGTGGAGAGATGGTGACATCACAACGTCCAAGTCTTTCAAACGAAAACGTCGACATGTGTGCTTTTCTTAATCGAAACGAAGAGTTGGTGGACATTGCACAGTGCAAATTTATCCCGGACGATGAAGTGGACGGTCACATTCCGCAGTGCATGAGCTACGTAATGGACACTGCGCCTCGTGATGACGAGATGAAATGATTCTCGACTTATTTTCTCAAGCGAGCATTGAAGAAGATGATACCGAGATGTGATGCTACTTTTGCAACGACATTATCTGTATTTTCAATAGCTACCCGACGAGTGATAACCTTAAGCTCCGCCTGGCCTGAACGTTTTCCACACAGCGGCGATAATTCGCACACTTAGGCGAAGTTGGTGCCGTTTGTGCAGGCTCTGCATCTTCAGGTGCGCATCCATGTTGACTATACGCTTGTTTCGTTACTTGCGCCCAGGTCGTGGTATATCTGTTCACGTGACAAGGGGCCTCACATTTGATAGCGATCCCCGATCATCTCAAGTTCCGTGCTGACGAGAACACCGGGAAGAATCTGTCGCAGCCAGACCCAGCAATAAGGCCTCACGCCCAGCGTCTCCGCCCACAGGAACTGGACCGCCCGTGGTACACACACGAATGAACGCCTCCATCTCCGCCACATAATCCATATAGCGCTCCAGGAAGAAGTGCAGCGGCAGGTCGCGACACACGTTCTCACCTAGGAACATCGCCACGGCCGTCGTGCTGCTAAAGTTCCGCAACGGCGTTGCTCTGCTACATCAAGAACAGTCCAGACGATGCAGTACCGAGAACTGCGGCGGTGGCTGATTGACGAACGAATTCTTGTTCGAAAGTCGTCAATCCACGGCTCCGACCTCTTCCTGAAGGAATATGTAATTGGGAGTCAGATGATAGTGAAGTACCAGGGCCAAATAATTAACCAGGCAGTGGCTGATGCCACAGCTTGATCACGAAATGTATTCGAAATGTATATCAACCGCATAACGATCGGTATCGCTATCAGTTACCACTTGTCTCGTCCTTGTGAAGAGCATCGTATCGACGAGCAGCCAGCTCTGATCGTCGTTTGACAGCTTTCTGCGCTTGGTCAGTTGCGCGTTTGACCTTGACAGATTGATGCGGTGCCGGAAGATGTTCTTGCTGGGGTCGGGACCGTACAGGACATGATTTATCTGGAGGTTTTGTGGCGTTAACCCTTGGTGCAACCTGGAGAACACGACATAGTTTTGTTTGAACATATTGCTCCATACGACCAACTCGCTCATCCTGTGAACGATTATTTTCTTTTACCAAATCATATATGTGCCTTTCAATGCCGCGCGCAATACGACGTTTCGGCTGCACATTAATGATAGGTACGTTTGTTGCTCGAGTCCATCCAGACATGCCTTGATTTCTTGAACGTCTGTGCCGAGTTCACCGCGTGTGCGTTCAAGTTTCTCTTCAACTGCGTGAGTGGACTCTATTTGACGACGCGACTCAATTGTTCGTTTTTCGTGGGATTTTTGTAGTATGTCACGAATTCGGTTTTCCATACGTAGTTCCATTGCTGCTGATTCATCTTGCACTTGCTGACGTACGGAATCGGTCATCTTGATTTCTAACTTTTCGAAGCTGTTCGCCATTTCGCTGCTACGCTGGGAGTGAGCGCTCTGTACAAGATGTTTGACTTTATTCTCCATCTTCTCTTCTTGGTTAGCCACGTACTCAGCCACCAGTTTTAAAACCCGCCGAATCGTCAATCTACCCGTAGTAACACCACCACGCTCCTCCAACTTCGCAATACAATTCTCCACAATACTCATAGTCATCTGCTGGAACTTCATGTCGATTTTCGCCTGCATTGCGTCCAACATTTCCTCCATTTGACCTTTCAGACTTTCGTTAATGGTGGCCTGTGGTTGCAAAAGCACATCATTTATCCTCTGTGTCAGTGCGCTACGGGCATTTGTGATTGCCATACTCATTTCTCTTTCTACCCGCTCTATTTTCATAGCTTGAGCAGTTATAGTACTCTTCATCTCCAATGCTTCACGTTGAGCGGCTCCCCTCACAGATTGCAACTGCTCCTAGATAAACAAACGTGACGATTCATTGCCAACTACCTGGGCATGTGCAACAACTTGTAGTTCCTGTTGTAGAGCTAATTTGGTGTCTTCCAGGGCCTTTCCTATCTGACCTTCAATCCACTGTTGGTGTGCAGCCAGCTCAGCCGTACTGCTTCGAGAATCGTGGTAGATGGCAGTCAAGGCGGCGTGATATTCTTCCGCTTGTTCAGCTTGATTGTTCTGCAGTATTGTAGTCTCTGCAGCAAGTCTTTGTGTCTCGCTCCAGAAGTTGTTGATGATTCTTGAGACTTGAGACTCTAGGCGAACATTTCTTACAGCTGTAGATGCAGGGACGACAGCAAAGAGCTCTTCATCGTGCACCTCGGAAACAACCCCCTCCGTTTTGTCGGGTTGTTCTTGAGCTGCGGCACGAGCTTGAGATCTTGTTAGGGCCATGGTCTCTCACTTTGCTGGAAATCTGTGATTGGAATCTTGACAATTCTCTGGATATTTATATCCAGAGTTTTAGGGGCGGTCGGAAAGCGTCGACCATCCTGTCCAATAACATTTTTATGAATATATCTGTAATTATTTGAAAACTAAGAGCGAATAAGTATATGCTAAAATGACGCAGAAGCTAATAAACTGTTTTCTTGTATGCCCAAAAGGGTGAATGTTGACCCAGTCGGCCTAGAACAACATTCAAGCAACCTTGTACGAATGTGATTCAGTCACATTCAAGCTACCTTATGGCTTCAACTTAGGAATTGAAGCCACTAGAATGACGAAGCAGTTAGTAAATACAATCAGACAAATGTCATGCGTCCAGCTTCAGATATACATGCATCTCGATGCAGCACATGTACTCAATACGAAATGGACACTGGGATACGTTTGAAATTGATTTAGAGACGGCAAACATCAAATTCTTAACTAAGAAAAGTAAAAAGTCCCAGTGTCGCTGGGGCCATCCTCTTCCTATTCGACAAATATTATAATATTAAATATTGAGTATCCAAATATCCAGAGCTTGCAGCACGACATTAGTATCGAGATTCCATATTATTCGAACAAATCACACGCACTTTAATTAACAGGGCTCTCGACCTTAACGTGGGCTCCTTCATTTAACCTATTTCACACAGGAGCCCAAGAGCCCGTCTAGTAAAAATTCCGAAGAGCCCGGGAGCCCGGCTCTCGTTCGGGCGCTCTATAAATGGCTACCCGGTAACAGATGCTTCAGTCAGCGTAAAGGGTCATTTTGTAATGGTATAGAGGAAGCGTAGCAACACGAAAGCAAATGGGAAAGTGAATTAAAGTTTACTGTCCTTTCTACAGACTAATAAATCCTACAAGTTGAAGTAAAATCATTTTAGCCAATCAAAAAGTAGAACGTCACTCCTTCCACCAATCACCTTGCAGGAATCGTGCCTGTAAGCCAATCATCGTTTAGGCTGCGTGCCTCCTCATGCGCAATACGCTAGAGACACGAGCCTTGACGTAGAATACGTCACACATTTCCACCGAAAATTTGGAGTCGCATAGCTTTTTTATCGCAGGATCTAGAATTATAAGAAGAAAAAAAAGATATCGCCGTGTTCTGGAGTCAATTTCCAACACGTTCATATGCAGCATTAATCTCTACCATGCTATGGACGTCTACAGAGAAGCCCCAGTACACAACGAGGTTATGTTGGCAATACTCGGCCACCCCGAATCATACTATCATCAAGTGTGGTATATCTCAGTGATAGTAGGCAATACAAACACTCACACGACCAGGTTGTTCACAGTACTTTCAGTCTCAGTCTCGTACGGTATCTAGTTGCACTTCTCGCTTTGGTGGTTGCCATCGTGAGTGTGATATTATCTACGACTCGTGGAAAATGAACGCATCAGAGACAGAGGGTACTATGGTCATAGTTTCCCCTGGCTAATTTCGTATTGTATCGCATGTTCACATGCGGCATTATTCTTGTCGTATTTCACATGGTGGCATCCTCAGTACTTGTAGTGGGTCTCGATAACACGAACACACGCGAGGGAAGCTGGCGCTTCCTGTTAACCTTGGTTCTATTGCTTACTTGCCGGTAGATTTCAATCTGACTAAACTCACGGAACGTTATGGTATAGAACTCGCTTCGCTACGTCCTCGTACTCCTATGCCAGCTTGGCTTCACAGACTGAGTCACAGCTGTGCAGCCCAGTGCAGTGGGCAAGGCTTGGACTCAACCAGCCACTACACCGCCCCGTCAAGCCTTGGACACTCCAAAACTTGACTGTCCTTCTTGGTAATGTAGCACGAATGTGTTCCGAATGTACCGCGAATGTGCACACTGTTGATCGTCACTCTGAACCTTCATTCTGCTACTTCAACTTGAAGTGGTTGCAAATCTTGCTGAACGTGCAATATGCTTTGAGAGACCAATGTCTCCGACACGCTCTGCATACACACGCACCAGAACCGGGATGTCCTTCCACAGTGATTGCAGCGGCTCCCACGAATCCTCAATGGGCTCCAGTCCTTTCCACGACACTAGAATGTCGTATCCGTTCTTGGTCGGGCACCACCGGTGCTCCTTCAGCTCATCCACAGCTAGTACGATTCCTTGAGATGCGACGTGCTCTCGAACTTCTTCCGTCACCTGGTAGCTCTTGTCTGCGTAGTACTTTAGTCTAGATGCATGTACGTCCGTCTCTACACCCGTGAAGAGATGTCGGATCACGAATGAGTGTACGTCAGCTCTGACAATCTGGTATGGGCCGATCCATGTAACCAAAAGTTTGTCCTGATACTTCTGGTCCACCCGTGACCTCAACACGAAGTCGCCGATGCTGAAGTTCACTATCTTCGCACCCTTCTTCCCTTTTTTGTTCCGTCTCGTTTGCTGGTCACGCCTTTCTGCCACTTCTTTGTGCATCAGGTGGACACTTTCTCGCAGATCACGCAGTTTTTCATCGATCAGCTCAGGCTTCTTAGTCATCTCTAGCACCTTTCTCTGCTCCATGTCGACGCAGAAGTTAAGGGGACTCGGTAGCGGCAGCGCACAAAACAGTTCTACAGGTGCCTTGTTAGCCAGTGATGGCAGCGGTGTGTGGTTGATACTAGCCCTCAGTAACGGTACGAACATTGTCCACTCTCGAATGTCCTTTCCATACTCAAGACACATTGCCCGCAGAACTTGGATCACGTCACGGTTGAGCCTTTCTATGCTGCCATTGATCCAAGGACTGTAAGCCACCGTAAAGTGCTGCTCTGATTTGAGCCTCTTGCAAACCTCGGCCGCAACCTCGTTCTTGAAGTGGCTGCCTTGGTCGCTGATCCAGATCGGAGGGACGCCAAACCGACTGTGCCAGTCTAGTATGGCTGCTACAGCAACTGCACTTGTAGGTGTAGCACATGGCACCAGCTCGCTGTAATGGGTTGCTTCGTCTTTAAGTATGAGCAGGTATTTGTCTTCTCCGAATGACTCGCCCACTGTAAGGAAATCCCAGTGCAATGCACCGTTCCGCTCGTAACAGCGAAACGTTTCGCTCCACGGTCGCTGGACCACCTTTCCGCCCTTCACATGATGACACAATAGACAGGCAGCTAAAAATCTTTCGACATGTCCACGTAAATTGTCCACGTTGAAGTGCCGTTTCAGTTGCTCCACCATCGCAGCTCGTCCGCGGTGTCCTTGTGCGCCACAATGCGCCACGACCATCAAACGCTTCAGTAGTGTCGTGTCTTTAGTCGGAATCCACAGTTTTCCATTGCGGTACCAACCCTCACCCGAACCACTCGAGGTAAGAAAATTGCTTGGTACCGTGTGTCGATATTGGTTCTGCGTTCGTACAATATCTTGCAACGTTGGCCACGAGAAGCTCGGGTCGTCAAACGGCCGAATTGCTGCCACACTAGCAGTCTCCAGCTGTTCAGCATCCTTCGTTCTAAGTCTTTTGCGCTTGCGCCGTGCCGCTTGGGTCCTTTCTTCCTCCCCGTCACAGAGCTCTACTCGGGTCTCAGAGGTCCTCTCTTCCTCCCCTCGCCGACGCTTGCTCCGAAGTTGCTGGGTCCTATCTTCCTCCTGACGCCCTCGCTTTCGTAGTACCATTGCACGCAGTGCCACCCGCTCAAAGTGATTTCCTGCCCACCGAAAAACCATGTCCGCCCAGACGTTGTTTTCTCCTTCAATGTGCTCGATGTGATACTTGTACTCCATTAGTTTCATCGCCCATCGCAGCAACTTCCCCCTAATATGCTTCTTGACCTCTTTACCAGGAGCAAAGACGTAGATTAAGTTGCGGTGATCGCAAAACAACCTAAATCCTTGTGGTCTCAGCAATAGGTGGCTCAGTTGGTCGCAGGCGCATATTATTGGGTACGCTTCCTTCTCTATGACGCTCCAGTTGCGCTTCGATCCGGTGAATGTACCGCTCACACAGACTAGAAGTTGGTGCTGCTGCTGCTCGACTGGTTTTCCTACTTGCCAGTGTCTCACTTGCGTGACAATAATGCCATAACCAACATCAGAGGCGTCCGTTATCAGGCACATGACGGAGTCCGGTTGTGGGAACGCTAGGTTAGCCGAGTTTGCCAATTTGTCCTTTAGGTTGTCGAAAGCCATGCGCTCAGCCTCACCTAATTCCAGACCAATCCCTGCAGCCACGCGTTTCGTTCGTCGGGATGCTGCCGCCAGTGTTAGATCTAGCCGCTCCTGAAGCGGTTGAGCCGCCCGAGCAAAGTCTACCACACTTTCCCTCATCCAGTTTGCAGCACACAAAAACTGCTGAAGTTCAGCTGCATTGGCCGGGTAAGGAAGCTCTGTCAGCGCCTTGATGCGCTCCGGGTCATGGTTGACACCCTTGCCCGTGATGATCCTGCCACACCACTTGACTTTTGGTTCGTACAGGCTGGACTTCGTCACACTTAGTTTGAAGCCGAAAAAGTCAAGCAGCTCAAAAAGCCTTTCCAGCTTTGCCAAGTAAGTCACCACGTCTTTAGCGAAAAGAAGCAAGTCATCTATCCATACCAAGAGGTGCTTGTACATCAATTCTTGTAGACACTTCTCAATCGTAGCTTGAAAGAATAAAGCCGCATCACAACACCCTTGAGGAACTCGCCTTGGGGTATAAATCTTGCGATGCGTCATGTATGACAGCAGCTCTTGACAAGCCTCGTCGACCGCTATCTGCCAGTAGCCCTTGATAAAGTCAAAGAGTCCGAAAAACTCACAGCCACGCACTAACTCCAGGTCAACCTGCAAATTCGGCATCACTCCTGCAATACCTTCGACCTGATGATTCAGTGGTTTGTAGTCTGCAGTTTGTCGGTAGTCGTTTGAACCTCCTTTCCGTACAGGTAGAGCAGGACAGGCCCATCTACTATTGGGGTTCTCATAGATCCATCCCAATTCTTCAAGTTTGGTGTTAAAGTCCTCCATGAAGGCTCTAACCTCCGGCGAATACTTGCACGCCTTGCACTTGTAGGGCTTGGCATCCGCTTTCAGTCTAATCTTCATTGCTGGAACTCGGGCAGGCGGGTCGTTACCCAACTTCTCCCTCCACAGATCAAAGCGGCGAGAAATTCTCAACAGTTCGTCAAGATACTCCTTCGGAAATCCCTTCTCTCCTGCCTTCTTAACCATTTCACACACTAATTTATCCACTTGGTCACTCAATTCAGGTGCTGAGCTCACGGCGGGCTCTTCAAATTCATCAGGTTCATCGTGCTGTCCTTGCGACGCTAGCATCTCCAACTCCCGGTCAACGTCGATGCCCAGAGAGGCCAAAATCTCTTTGCCCAAAAGAAACTCTTCCAATTCTCCAGGAACAATCAAACATTCCACAGGCGAGCTAATTGACACAGGCCCTGCAGCAGTCCGCAGCGTTATATGTATATTCACCGCACGAGTCACCTCCACATCACCTCCAGCCGTAACGCACGAGATCGGTTCATCTAATTCCACACACTTCACGCTTGGGCACTCCGCCATCAATCTTCGGTAAACACGCTCACTCATACTGCTCCTTGTTGCACCGCTGTCTGCACAGAACGGGACACTGCACACTCCTTCAAGCAGCACCGTTCCGCCTTCAGGGGGCAAACACTCTCGGATACGGCACATTCTAGTTGCGTTTTCCTTGCTTGTTACTGGCTTGCTTTCGTGCTTTGAACTCTGCTCGCCGCTTCGCCCTGATGGCTTCTTTGTCCGCCTCCGTCGCAGTCGGGCACTCAATGAATCCGTGGCCTCCGCCACAATGAAAACACTGTTTGGGTGGAGGACCCCCCGTGACTTGGCGCTGCTCACCTTGCTTGTGTCCAGCCGAAAGATTTTGCTTTGCTTTCGGTACGACAGTAGTCAAAGTTACAGTTTTCTTGTTGGTGGTAACCTTCATGGGACCTCGAGTGCTGAATGGCTTTGCCGGTTTCGGCAACTTTGCCTTCATCAGCATTACCGCCCTGTTCTCTTTCTCCAAATCCAGCGCTAAGTTGCTCACCACCTTATACAAACTCCGTACACTCGCCTTGGCCTCACCACTGCGGTACTCCAGCTCGTTGACCACCTTCTTCGACAGTGGCCCAGGTAGGAACTTCATCAGTACCTTGCACTTGCGTTTGATCCCGTCTTCACCAGCGAAAAGGTCAGTCACACCGTTGCGCTTGATAATTTCGTTGGCGAGATGGAAGTATGCTGTCACTCTAGCCTCGACATCTGAAATCGACTCATTCATCTTTAACTCGTTACCAAACAGGTCATCCATGTCTGGCAACACCTTGTTCTTAAAGCTGGAGGTGATCTCCGTAATTTTCTCCATCAGAAATTCGTCGGTCAAATCCTCGATGTCTACGTCCCAACGAGTCTCGCACATGGTTTCAAGCAAGTCCTCGTTGAACGAGTCGCGTACTGTGCGTAGCGTCGAGTTCACATCCTCGTTAGCTGCCTTGCAGCGTGCCTCAGTCACTGCGACGTACTCCTTCCGGAGTCTCAGCCACTCGAGCAACGACTCGCGAGAGATGTCGTCGATCAGCGGCGGGTTCACGATCGTGAAGATGGGCTGCGGCACACGCGGGACCACCACCGGTACGGCTGCCACTTGCTCCACGTCGTTAGCGGGCTCGTTCTCCTGACGAGCTGCAGTCTCGTTGTTCACATGCTGATTCTTCGTCATGTTGTCTTGTGCTCAGTTACGACCTTCGCAACTAAAGATATCTTTGTAGTGGGTCTCGATAACACGAACACACGCGAGGGAAGCTGGCGCTTCCTGTTAACCTTGGTTCTATTGCTTACTTGCCGGTAGATTTCAATCTGACTAAACTCACGGAACGTTATGGTATAGAACTCGCTTCGCTACGTCCTCGTACTCCTATGCCAGCTTGGCTTCACAGACTGAGTCACAGCTGTGCAGCCCAGTGCAGTGGGCAAGGCTTGGACTCAACCAGCCACTACAGTACTCAATGCATCTCGCTGGCTAATAAAAAACAATTGCACAGCTATGAGAGTGGCTACAACATTTGCAAACACTTAAGAGCGCGAAACGACGCATTTTAGATTGCCGTCGCAGTTAGACGTGAGTTTTGCCGAAGAGAAGAGAGGGGGGCGAGCTTGCAAGAGCACAACTTGGGACGAGAGCCCTAAGCTTTTCATGTCGACAACGGCGCCTACATCTAGCGAGAAAACCCATCTTGAAGGTACTGTCTCGGACTGGCTGCGAGAGCGTGTGGATCTATGTATGTACGTGGAGACACTAGACTACCATCGAAACCAAGACCCGAATTTTGTTTGCGATTCCTATCGGAAGATCAAGTTTGTGAGAGATAAGCAACGCCGACTTCTGGGGGCTCGTCAACAGCAACAGGATAGTAAGGATGACTCAAACGAGAATAAGCAACACAGCGCGATTATTGAGCCGTCCCTGACTACTGATGTGAAGCCTGATGCTGAACTTGAGGATGTCCCTGACACCCCAGTTGAAGATAGCAACGAGCCACTCGACATTCTTGTGGGCGATGTGCTACGAGGATGCAATGTATCTGTAACTTGCCGAGGCGCTTTGCCTGCACATGGATCGGATCCCCTAGAAGCGATCTCTGTGCCTTGCATCCGCGAAGGTAACTCGCTCACTCTGTGTTCTCTGCCCGAAATTGGCAACCAGCTTGTCGTATTTGGCGGTCGAGTTCTTCGCGACATCTCAATTTTGCTCCATCGTGCCGTTCGAATAAATCCAATGCAACTCGAACGAACACGATACACGTACTCCAACAGCGTCTACAGTTTCGACATAGCGTCGAATATCTGGACGCGTCGAGAATGCTCCGGACGAGAACCTCGCGAGCGCAGTGACCACTCAGCGCTGTTCATGGCTCCGCAACATCTCTTGGTTTTCGGTGGTCGTGGCCGCAATGGTCAAATGTTTCGTGATTTTTTCGCCCTCTCGTTGGAGTTGTGGCACTGGACGCAGCTCGACACTTCATTAACGCCGTACGAGCGCTACTGGCATGGCTGGTGCATTGCGTTCGACACGGAGCAGTCCTGGCGGCAAGAACCGAGTCTATTTCTCTTTGGTGGTAAGTCCGACACGCTCGTGTACAGCGATTTGCATCAACTGCAGACCAGTCGCTTGAAGCGCCTGCTTGCGGATGAGGAAGAGCACGAGCGCATTTGTATTCGCGATAGTAATGGAGAAGTATCATCAAAGCGTCAGTTGGAACGCCAAGTGAGTGACGCAGCGCGAGCAATGATACAAGAGATTGAGCGACAACGGCTCCCAGCTTGGTTTGTACCGAACACTGTTGGGAAACCCCCGTCACCTCGCTTTGGCATGCAAGTGGTTGCGCTGGAGAACGAACAGCTTGCGGTGATCGGCGGGTGGCGCATCTCTAAGAGCAAAGAAGGCAAGCCTAGGAAGGGCCACTCACTGGACGTGTATATCCTTGACCTAACGACTTTGGTGTGGTCAACGCCGAGACTCTCGACGCTCGTGTCTGCACAGTCATACGTGCCAAGTGAACGTCTGCTGTTCGAGTGCTTCTACATGAATCAGACGCTCGTGGTCTTTGGTGGACACACCTACACTTCCAACGGCGAGACTGAGTCGTTTACTGCCTGCGAGGACGCATCTACGATTTTGTACAAACTGGACGTCAGCCGCATGATTTGGCGCCGGCAGAAATTTCCCGTGGCAGTGGACAATGCTGCTCCTGAGGATGCCATCGCTCTGCCTCTAGCGCACACGCATTGCAGCAGCAACGCAGTGCTCAGCAATGGGCGATCCTTCACATGCTCGTCCGAGGCCAATAGCCTGCAGCTTCAACTCACCGCATTCGACATCCGAGCGCCAAGGCGGAGCAGTTGATGCGAAACCATCATGCGCCCATGCTTTCCGCCGATCTTGCACAGTCACTTGTCGATTCTTGTGGTTGCAGCGTCCCTGCTTTTTTCAACCAATCAGGCCGTTGCGCAAACAGTTTAACGTTTTGACCAATCAAAACATTTAGTGTACATACAAAACCCAAGTCAATGTCATAAAACCGTTTGCGCAGTCACTGCTATACATAAAACGTCCTGCATCAACATCGGTCGGTTCTGGTGTGGTGGAGGTCAGATCCCGATTAGCGTAGCCCTCTGCAGACCACCATGTTGAGAGCCCGTCAGCTTACGCGCGCGCTGCGCACCGCTACTAAGCAGCAGCAGGCCCGCAGAGCCTTCTCGTCGGCCGCTCGCGGGCTGCAGACGCCTGTGGTGGCCGCCACCGACAACTCGCGCGAGCTGTCGACGACAAAGGTGCAGGAAGAGCACAAGCGCTCGGAGCCCAAGAGCACAGACAAGTTTATCGGCAAGACTGGCGCCGAGATTTTCCACGAGACGCTGGCCGAGATGGGTGTCGACTGCGTCTTCGGCTACCCTGGTGGTGCCATCCTCCCGGTGTTCGATGCCATCCACGAGAGCAAGCATTTCGACTTCATCCTTACAAGGCACGAGCAGGGCGCTGGACACATGGCCCAGGGCTACGCCCGCGCTACTGGCAAGCCCGGTGTCGTGCTGGTGACTTCCGGACCTGGAGCTACCAACACCGTCACGCCGCTGCAGGACGCGCTCATGGACGGCACCCCCATCGTGGTATTCAGTGGTCAAGTGGCCACCCAGGTGCTGGGCACGGACGCCTTCCAGGAGGCCGATGTGCTGGGTATCACTCGCCCGTGCACCAAGTGGAACGTGCAGGTGCGTGACGTGCGCGACTTGGCACGCAACATTCGCGAAGCCTTCCACATCGCCACGACCGGCCGTCCCGGCCCCGTGTTGGTGGATCTGCCCAAGGATATCACGGCTGGTCTGTGCAAGAGCCCCGTTTACACTGAGCCCCAACTGCTTGGCTACTACGGTGAGAAGAAGATCGAGGGCAACCGCGTGAACCAGGACGCCAACCTGGCTGCCGCTATCAAGATGATCAACAAGGCGAAGAAGCCGCTGATCTTCGCCGGTGCAGGTGTTCAGCACGCTAGCGAGGAGCTCCGTGCTCTTGCGCGCCAGGCCAACATCCCTGTTACCACGTCGCTGCAGGGCATGGGTGCCTTCGATGAGCGTGACCCGCTCAGTCTGCACATGCTGGGAATGCACGGCTCTGTGTACGCCAACAAGGCCATGCAGGACGCTGACTGCATTATCACACTCGGCGCACGCTTCGATGATCGTGTGACCGGTCGTGTACCGGACTTCGCACGCGAGGCACGTCGTGCCTCCGCTGAGGGACGTGGTGGTATCATCCACTTCGAGATCACAGGCAAGCAGGTGGGCAAGATCGTGCCTGCTGATGTGTCGGTGCTCGGCGACACCAAGTACAATCTGCAGCAGATCTTGCCTAAGATAGAGAGCAAGCCGCGTACTGAATGGCACAAGAAGCTCCAGGGCTGGAAGGCAAGGTATCCGTTCCGTTACCGTGCGCCTGCTCCCGGCGCACCGATGAAGGCGCAGCGTGTTATTGAGGAGCTGTACAAGCAGACCAAGGGCCGTAATGACGTGCTGATCACCACGGGTGTGGGTCAGCACCAGATGTGGGCCGCTCAGTTCTACCGGTGGTCACGTCCGAACTCAATGATTACTTCTGGTGGTCTGGGTACGATGGGTTTCGGTCTCCCGGCTGCCATCGGTGCCAAGGCCGCTAAGCCTGACAACATCGTTGTCGACATCGACGGCGACGCCAGTTTCTCCATGACGCTTGCCGAGATGGCGACTGCTGCTGAGTTCAACATCGGCGTGAAGGTTCTGCTGCTTAACAATAACTTCCAGGGCATGGTCAAGCAGTGGCAGGACCTGTTCTACGAGGAGCGGTACTCGGGTACCAAGATGAATAACCCGGACTTTGTCAAGTTCGCTGAGGCGATGAACTGCGAGGCATTCCGCTGTTCAGAGGAAGACACGCTCGAGGAAGACATGGCCCGGTTCCTCGCTGCTGAGGGCCCCATCTTAGGTGAGTTTATGGTCGAGAAGAACGAGCACTGCTACCCCATGGTCGGAGCAGGCCGTTCGCTGGACGAAATGATTATCGGCGACTTCGACGACTGCCCGGGCACCACCTCGGTCTAAATGCAGTCAGCGATCGAGAACAAGCAAGTAGGTAACTCCTTCAACACATAAGAATCACACTGTGCTTGACGTACGTAAAGCTTTGACAATGCACATGTTCAGTTAGATTGACACGGTGCATGTGGTCTTATAGTCATCAGCTCAGTTCTCGAGCATGGGCACCAATTCGCTCTTGGCGTGCAGCACCATGACGTCGTCGCAGCCGCCGATGTGCTTGCCGTTGATAAAGACGTTGGGCACCGTGCGCTGACCCGTGATGTCCAGCAGCAGCGACTGGATCTCAGCGCCGTCGTCGCACGTGTCCAGCTCTACCACCTGGTACTTGGCGTCCAGCACGTCCAGCGTTCCCTTGACGCGCGCGCAGTATGGGCAGTGGGTCTTGGAGAACACAAGCACCTTCTCCTTGGCAATGGCGTCCTACATGTCAATGCCATCGTTGCATATATTTAGTGACTTTTTATTACTTTTTATCAAATTGATACGGACCGTGATCGAAGCCTTGGACGCCTCGACGTGGAAGGCGCGGGCTCCAGCAGGAGAGAAGCGTGCGACGCGGGAGACGACGGACAAGACGCGGCGGCTCAACATGTCTAATCGAATTGTGAAATGAGAGGTTGTACATACGGTAGCAAAAGGACTCAGATCTGAATCCAAATACGTCATCAATTATTGTTTTCCAGAAAACAAAAATAAAACTAAATGAATCAAACCAATTATTTGCTTTTACTACCGTCGATATGTCGAGCGGAGATGATGCGCTGGCCAAGCTTCGTGCGCGTATGGCGCAGCCACCCAAGGACTGGGTCGACGTGGTGATGGTGGCGGTGCTCAAAGACCCAATGTTCTACGGTGTCTTGGGTCTCAGCATCTTCCTGGTGCTCGCAATCATTGCGCTATTCGCCACCAAAGTGCTGCTGGATCAGATCGCGGCCGAGGACAAGCTGAAAGAACGACAAAAGAGCAAGAAACAGCAGTAGAAACGTACTGTGAACTACCTAAAACTCTAAAGCCTACCGACCAAATCATTCTATGAACGCTCAGCTCAGCTGAGAGAAGAGACCTGCTGATCTTTGTCTATGGCTCTACAGCGAGGGAAACACCACTACGGGGAAGTGCGGGTGGATCGAGAAGTCGAACTCCATCTGATTCTTCGAGTCCTTCGAGGCTGTTGTCTTCTTTGACTTGCCTCCTGCGTTCTGGCTGCGTTGTGCTAGACGAACGCAATTAGAAATCGAAACCTTGAGCAGTGATTGGAGCTCAAAGCCGCGGACGATCCCGACACCACCATTAGTGACGATAGTGTTGACCCCTTCTTCGTCACTCAACAACGCCTCAGCGTGTGAGCGTGCCGTCTTGAAACATTCCTCAGCCGACTTGTAAATGAGCTCAACCTCGTACGGAGAGAAGTCGCTGTTCTGACTGAAGTCTTCGTACGTGAGAGCAGCAGGGTAATGAAGCTTCTGGAACGCCGCAAAGCGATGCTGGAAGCGGATGGCAAATGTGCTATACGCGGGCGTCTTCGCTTGAACGAGACCTTCACGCTCCAGTGCGTTGAACAGCTGGAAGTAGGCACGCATCAGACTGCGCAGCAGCTCCGTGTACTTGATCTCACGAAGGAATCGCGCCTTGGTGGGGTCAGCAAGCTCACGTGCAGGCTCCGAGGCTTCTGTGTTGCTAGTATTGTTGTTGTGCTTCTTGTGCTTTGTCTTCGACTTTTTAGAGGATTTACCAGATGAGGTTTCAGCAGGAGATGGCACATGGTTCTCTTCCTTTGGCTTCTCCGTTGCTGGAGATCCGTGGCGGTGTGCAGTGGGCATAATCTCTTTCATCTTCTCTACGAAAGTCCAGGTCACATTCAGGTTCTGGAGACGCGAACCTTCCAAGTAATCAAGATACCTGTAGCACATAACGAATCAACGCAGATGTCATTAGAAGATATACCTTCAGCAAAGCAAGCAAGAAGCGATACGCACCAGTAGATCGTTCCAAACTCTGAAGGTGAATAGAGTTCCAGCTCCAAACCCAGCACCACGTACTGGAGCATCAGTTGCACTGATTCCTCGAGAGACCAGGCTGTAAAGTATCGTGGATAGGCGGCTTTCTGTGGAGCAACACAATTGTAAGCATTTCAAGGAAGTAACCTCAGTTGCTCATAAGAAGACAAACGTACCGGGATATTCATCTCTGTGGTGAACCGTTCATCTACTGCAGTTGCTTCCGCTTGAAGGATGCTCCACTCGTCCAATAAATATTCAATTCGCGCGCGTTGCCGCGATCGGTTGTGCAAGTACACCTTCAGTGACTCGTACACGGTTTCAATGCACCGGGACGCGTACAGCACGCCTTCTTGTGTTGATAGCAGCACAGAAGGTACGCCGTTCATCACCATGGATGCAGACAGCCAGTCCATGAAATTGTATTTGGCGTAGATTTTACTGTCGGCGTACAGGAAAAGCTGGATCAAAACAACCAAGCGTGACTAACGTTAGCAAATATGAACAATATAAAGCAAGTCGCTCAACAAGACTTACCAAGACGTAAGACCGTGCAACAATTGTGGGTTGCTGTCTGGAAAACTCAACCAAAAAGATGCGTAGATCTTCCATACACCTCCATTCCGGCGGAGAGCAACCAACCACCATTTCCTCCAGCACCTTCTTCATTTGCTCCAAAGCCTCATCAATAGACGGCATTTTGACATCACGCGGAGGAGTTCCAGACAGAAGCAGGCGACTGATGCTCGGATCAAACCCGAACGACTTCCCACTAAAGCACTCAGGGTCTAGCTCCAGTCTCTCAGTAGACATTCCTTGAACCAGCTCGTAAGCACGATGAAAGCCTTCCCTCGCCTGTTGCAAATTCAGAGCCCCCTCGGCCAAACCTAGACCAGCATACGTAGCTAGCAGTTCTCTTCGCAGCCGAACACGGCGAATAAGTGCCTCGCACAGCATAGCACCAACTCGAACGTTGGGGTACAACAGCTCATAGCCAGAAGCAGCAGCGGTCTCATTATTTCCTGTAGCCGAAGCACTGCTCTTTTTGCCTTGCTTCTTCTTTGATGATTTCTTGGACGACGAGGCCTTGTGCTGTGAAAGTAGCACCTCCAACCTTTCCTGTGTCACCTGCAGCAATGTATCGATCGCCTCTACGGAAATCGGCGCCAAAACTCCAACGTCAAAGCCGTTTCCAGGCGAAAAATCCTCCTCCTCGTAGATGTCAGCGCGCAGAGCGGCATCTCGCACAAGATCCGAAGTCTTCAGCGTACCCAAAACCATCGAGCACATGACAAGCAGTAGCGAGTCTTTCGCCGAGTTGCCCACATTATCGTTCAGAACGTTCCGCACATCCGCATCCGCCGACACTAAGCTCTCCAATGGAGTCACAAGTTGCGCACAGAGAGCATTCAGCGGGTCTCGGTGCATGTACACACTCGTCAACAGCGACTGCGCCAGCGGCAGTCCATTGAGCCACCCAGTCTCGCAGCAAAACAGTTCATCTAGCGTAGCCAGCACGTCACGAGGCGACGAGAATTCTAGAGATACTGAACCATTCTCCAGTCGAGCAGAGATAGACTGTGGCGGAACACCGTTAACTAGCATCCCCGAGTCCATCTTGGGATCCATAAGCTCCAGCGCCGACATGGAGTCGAAGAGCTTGAAGTCATCCTCATGCACCAGCTGTCCCACCTTAAGCTCCTTGGCCGCTGCACTCATCAACTATCAAAACGCTTAGCATGAGATCTCTCGCTCTCTATTGGACGCTTGGAGCCACGCACCTGCGTGACATCTCGCCACTCAGCGTCAAAGGGCGAGCGTTGCAGCTTCAGTTTGGTGTCTAGCTCCTTCTGGAGCTCTCTCTCGTCGCTGCAGCCGGAATAGCAGCACACAAATGGCGACAGCAGTAAACTGGTTAGATCTCTTCAATTTTAAGTGAGTTTTAAAAGTATCAGCAGGAGGAGAAGCTGCACATTCAGTCGGAGCTGCAGTCATACCTCATTGCTACTGCGTGTGTCCTCCCGGCGGGTGCAACGAGAGCGTTCGCCAGTCGTCCGATTCCCCTTGCGATTCGAACTTCAGTTGTGGGCTGATGACGCGGTACATATTCCGTACATGTAATTAGGATGTCCTATATTAGGAATCACCATTGTCCTAGTTTAGAGAGAGTGGATGATGGAGGACAGTTTTAAGTTAAAGCTGTCCTCCATTAAAGCCTTTAACGTTGCAATCAAAGACAAGATGGACACTTTAACCCTTGATGAAGAGAATGCTCACTTTATTACTATACTATTTCCGCTAATAAGTGCCCTCAAGCTACCCGACAGCACAGCTACGAAAGCTTCACCAGCCGCGACCAACAGACGCTTGGCCTTCAACTCGCCACCCCAAAGTCAATTTCGCTAGGTGCGAGTTGATTCGATCTCGCAAGACTCGTCGTGATTGAACCGCCTCAGTCTTGTGTTGATTATCTTCGTCCTCGCGCCCGCCTGGCAGGCTAGCTAGCTTGCACTCTCTTGTTTCTTGGGTGCGCTCCTCTTTTCTTATCGTCTCCCCCGTCTCCACCGCTTTGTTCACCACCCAATCACCCCTCTCTTGTTTCCTTCGGTTTACTGCTCCCTCCACTAGCAGTTAATCGACCCTCCAATTGCTCACTCTTGTCTCCTCCATCGCCGGACGCAACCAACGCCTTTTGTGAAGCCTGGAACGCTTCAAACCTCTTGCTTTGTCCGCTTCTTCACCCTCGACGATGACCCGTCGGCAGTCGAGTCGGCCGCGCCCTTCCGTCTGGATCCTGTCAGAGTCCGTCGCTACCGAAGGCAACACACATAATTACAGCTTCTGTTAAAACAGAACAGAGGTAGATAGACACATAAGTCGAACCACCTCATTGACCGGCACGCCCTAAAAAGCACGCAAATGCACACACGGCACACAACCACTCTTCCCATTTTCTGGTACTCTTGCGCCCGTTATCCCGTCCAAAGCACTGCACAGCTAAGCAGGGAGGGCGACAGAGACCATCTTCGTTACCACCACGACGATAATGGTAGGTAACACCCAGGGGTTCATCCGGTTGGGATGCATTCATTCACTCACACATGCAAGGGCGAAAAGCCGTGGTTTCATTTGTCAGTGTTTGCTCACCTGCTGTTGGGTCTTCTCTTCGTCCTCGTCCTCTTTTGCGAGGATTGCTAGGCGTCGGCGGTTCTCCGATTTGTTGTGAATCTTGTAGCCAAACACCCGCGGCACGTACAGCAATGTGGACGGAGCAGGTTCTAGCTCTTTGTATGTCAGGAAAAACAGGTGCGGGAACGTCGTACCGAAATACGCTCCATCAACTACAGGCAACAGAGATCAACCAAGTTAGTAATGGGTTGTCAACGGCGTATCAAATCCGATGCACTACTGCAGCAACGTACTTGCAGGGGTCTGATACTCGCTGGCAGGTGTGTATAGGTCTCGGCATTTAGGACAATACACCTTCATCTCTGACTTTTTCCACTCATCGTGCAGTCCCGCCTGTACCAACGGAACGTCTTAATCCTTCGTCGAATCAAATAGTCACACTCCGATGTCAACGTACCGGCACAACAGGTTGGCCGTCGCACAGCGCTCTGGGGCACATACCGAAGTCACCTTCCCGGTACTTCTTCATCTGAAGTTACAGCGTTAAAAATAACAGCATCAGTACGACCCAATTACTAGAATCCGTGCTGCTACACCGTACCATGGCATCCAGTCCATGTGCCGTGATAATATATCTGGCGTGAATGAGTCCATAGAGCTCCGCAGCGTATGCCGGGACGTCATCATCATAAGGGATATCTACAGCCAACCATCCAATCATCAGTTAGGCAATACTCAATACTTAAGGTAGAGCGGTGGCCTACCTGTCAAATCAAGGATTATGTTGAGCGCATCCTGGTAGTTGGGCACCATGGCGCGCAGGCCGTAGAGGTTGAACGAGTCTTCGATGTAACTCTGCGCCACCTCGCAGAAGGGCTCGTTGCCAGAAAGGCTGCAAAACCACTGCACCCACTTCTCGTCCTCCTCCTCGTAGTCCGACATGGTGCTCACGGCGGCTCCTTGGGTCCTGGGGGTCGCTCTCTAAGACGCTCGCTCACCCTTCGCTCCGGTCCACCGAGGCGCGTTCTCGCTGTTTTTCAGGCGTTCGGGGGGCTCCCTCTTCAAACCGATCGCGAAAAAGATAGCGTACTTAAGCAGAGATTTAATTTAACTTAATGGAAAGATTAACGTGTAAGTTATATGTAGCAAGAATTTTTATGCGTTTCTTCTGTTCGTACTTATACGAGTGAATGCGGTAGTATCTATTATGGTACATGTACACACCCATTCAATTTAGCTTCAAGAAGACAAAAGGTCACCTCGGGTCGCAGTGACACCGCCTTGGCAGGAGGAGAAATGGAGCTTGACGAGGAGGCGAAAGAGGATTTCGACGAGCATGGTTTAGGTGGGGAGGATCTTGACGCTCAGATCGAAGCTGTGAAGAGCAATATTATTGGCAGTAAGATGTACTTGCGTGGCATGAGCCGCTATATAGCGTGGCTGTACACCAATAAACGCGATGTCTTGAGTGGAGAGCTGCTAAGTGCACTGCGGGATGATGCCTTCGAAGACGATGGAACAGGCTACTTGTCACTAAAAGTTAACGGAGTACTTCGCTTTATCCGTGAAAACGCAAAGGTCCCATTAATTCAGTACGAACAACATCGAGCTACTGATTTTGAGGGGCTCTTACTGTCTTTAAAGAGTCAAAAAGGAGGAAAACCTGGTATATCGGTGTACAACTCGTTCCGATCAGCGCTGTTTCATTTGTATCGTGGGTACGGGCGCTCAATGGATGTGGACTTTGCAGCAGATGTGACGTTGTTTTTTAAGGGTTTAAATAGGGAGACAGCTAAACGGAACCATGATTCTGGGGAAAACTGACTGAAGGAAAAGAGCCTCTACCTTTTTCTATGCTTCGTTCGTTGAGTGTGTCAATGATGGAGCACGAAAGTGACGAATTCGTTTTTGCGCATTTCTTTTTGGTTATTACCTGGAATCTAATGTGTAGGGCTGGTAACACAGCATCCATTCACGCTGGACATTTGAGTTGGGAAGGAGATGCTTTAGCCGTTCGGTTTGGACACATGAAAAATGACCAGGATGGAACACGTCCTCGAGACGCCCGACACATATACGTCAATCCGTTTAATCCGGAGATATGTCCTATTCTCTCACTAGGTATTTACGCCGCCGTTTGCGGCTTGGATGACTCGAAGTTGTTTCCAGGTGGAAACCAGTACGACCGGTTTTCTAATACTAAAAAGACTCTTGACGGAGCCCACGTTGTCGAATTTACTGGATACAGAAGGTTTATCGCCTGCAGATACTGGTACCCAATCTATCCGAAAGGGATCTGCAACGTATGTGTCTTCTTGCTCTAATGGCGGTCCATCCGCCGCAGCAATATGCATTAGAGCAGGGTGGACCCTTCCGGGTGTCCAAGACAACTACATTCGCTACGAGTCCGCTAGTGATATGATTGTCGGGCGATATGTATCAGGATTGCCGTTTAAAGAACCAGGTTTTGCGGTTTTACCACCTTTTTTGCGGATATAGACGATTTCATCCGCAGAGCTATCGATCTTTGCTTTTCAAATCTCCCTTCTCGATAAATTCGTACTGGAAGTTTTCTCTTAGCTTCTTTAGTGTATCATCACGACTTTTTGATAAGGACTCTAAATAGTAATTATCTCCTACGACGCAATGCACTTCTTGGAAATGTGGGTCTCGTAAACCAGCTAAAGGATCGGGTACTTTGCAGATCAACAATTTCCACGGACCGTCTGAGGCCAACTGGTGTCCCACCTCACGTTCACTTGTTAGTGGCTATTGAACGTCAAACAGAACAGCTGAAAACATTAACTGTTTCCGTTAATGGCGTGGCCCCTGCAGTTATATCACTGATGAAAAGTGAGATGCCTCTCCAATTTGACACTTTTTCATCTCAAGCTTTGGACACTAGCATTTCCCTAGCTCTTAATAGGTGTGGACTTGTGGATTTGGTTCATTCAGCTAGATTTAATTTTCAATTACAGCATGATAATCTCCCGGAAGCTGAAAATATCACAGAAACTGAGGGAAGCAAACATATTTTTACTTATATTCTCTTAATATTTATATTCAGAGTTTTAGGGGCAATCGCGGACCGTCGAAGATCCTATATAAATAAATAAAGCGTACCCATCAGACCTTCGAACTTAGTGTAGATTAGGAAAATTCAAATTATAAAACGGAAAACTTGATAACCCGTCTTACGTTTATTCAAAATCAGCGAATGTTGACCCAGTCGGTGAAAAGCGACCTTCGCACAACATTCCTTATACCGAAGCTTGATTGGCTGAAAAATTGATTTTCACTTAGAAGTGGCAAGTTGCCCTCGGCCGCCTTGCTCAGCAACAAACTTACGTCCACTGGTCACGTCAAATAAACTACAGTAGTTAAACTAAACGCTAATACGCAAATATTCAGAGCTTCTCCGGGCACGGCACGGCATTAGTTTAAATCAGACAGTTTTTTAAAGTACTTTTCAGTGAGTTTTACGATTAAAAATGATCCAGTGCAGAGCTAAAGTACTTCAGTAGAAATTAGTAAGGCGTGCAAGGTCGTATTCCGTTTCTATGAATTGAAAGAAATGGCCTGGCTCGTATTACACAAAATGCTCGTGAAAGGTGTAATACTGAACTTGGTAGAACCCGTCAATCAATTTTACGTGAACATTTGCCAAATTATCTGGGCTAGTCTCAGCTTCTCGTATACGTCGAGTCTTCCCAGGCTGAGTCGGTGATTGTAATCGCGAGAGCCTTCCATTCGCGTCGGTCTTGAACTGCTGCGAGGTCTGTATCAGATTGAGGCAACAACCTCGCTCATGGGGTTTTACAATTAGACCCCCCCCCCCCCAAAGTAGCAGCCCTCACGCTTTCACTTTACCTCAATATAATAGCTACCTCAGAGATGGGTCCATGATACGATGTCATATACATTACCGATTTTCTTGATAAGGACTAAAGCCTATAATCTCCCTCAGGGGCTCCAATGTGGTCGTGACATAGGTCATCGCTGCCTCCACGTCTTGCCCACAGAATCGCACGATGACTGAATTTAAACCCAACGAACTTGCAGACGTGATCACTCCCGGAAACGTATTGGCCGCTGCAAGACGTCCTTGAGGTGTAATGTCCCGCGCGTTGTGGAGTTTCTTGCGGGCGCTCATCTCCAAGAGCTGCTCCATGATAACCTTCAGTTTGGAGCCGACAATCACCATCACGCCCAGTACGTGCATACTGTGCATGCGCTGGCGAAGACTCATATCTTCTTCGTCTGTGCGCGAAAATGAAAACAGCAAAAACGATAGTTACTAGTTGCGCCACTAATAATCAGAAAGCAACAGCAGCTACGTACCTGCAAGTCGAACGCGATCTGTCACGAGACGCTCACCGCCAACAAAAACCTCGGACGTCGTATCATACTCGCTAAAGTCCCAGTGCTCGAGCGTCTCGGTTCGGTTGTCACGGATCGATCCCGTGGCCAGGTAGTTTCGCTTCCTGCCGCTTGTCAGCCAGTCCACGAAGACCAAATTCGCATTCTCTTCAAGGTTAAACACTTGTTTCTGCCGGTACTTCGCACGTTCAAAGCAGGTTACGGGGTCAGGGAGAAATGCCAACGTTGCATTGGTTGCTACTTTCAGTGAGAAGGTTTGAGACACAAACTGCCCCTCGTCATACGACTTGAACACCTTTGTGGTTGCCTGCGTCCCCAGTACAACTGCAAAGCCGCAGCCCATTAGAATACCTCCATATTCGAATTGAATTCAGTCGTCGCTCACTTACCTGACGTGTCGGGGCCTAATTCGCACTCCACGACAACGGAGTCACCGCCAACAAGACCTCCCCCGTAGCCCAAAATGTACTGTTCACATTATGAACCCAGATATCATTTCAGAGCGCCAACACATACTCCAATTAAAAGAGACGGAATGCAACGTAGCGCACCGTGATGTACGTGTCGAAGCGCTGGTGGATGGTGCGTCGTGGGTGCAGGAACTTGAGCGGGTACGTCGCGTACACGTGCGTGGCGGCGGTGCGACCTTCCACGAGTTCGTATTTGAGTTTACCAGTCGTCTGGGCCTCCTTTGACGTGGCGGGTTCGCCCATAGTTAATCTGCTCTGTCCGCTTCTGCAGAGTGTGAGGTCAGCTACAGCACAAGTGGATGCTTTTGCATGCGTGTCAAAAAGCAGCGGTATCAGATAGAATTTTCAGATTATCTCATTGGTCGATAACATAGCCAATCAATGCGCACGCGGTTAGTAAAAAGCTGCAAACGTTTGCAAACGTTTTCCTGGCTGAACAACTTGCGAGTGGTCACTGATCATCTGCAACTTACTTGGCTAAGCTGCAAACGTTTGCAGCTTTTTCCTGGCTGAACAACTTGCGAGTGGTCACTGAACGCTGCAAACGTTTGCAGCTTTTTCCTGGCTGAACCACTTGCGAGTGGTCACTGATCATCTGCAACTTACTTGCTCTAGTGTAAAATAGCAAAGATATGCATTCTAGCAAAAACATGCATTGTTTAACATTGTTAAATGGTAAAACAAAAAAAATAATGATGATAACGGAGAGCAATGTCGCTATTTGGTACTTAAATACTATGGATATTGGCATCGTTGTAAGACCGTGGTCACAGATATAGCATCGAGAGCTAGCCGAGCTGCCTGCTTAGCTACATGTGGCGGATAAGCATGACTGCACGCACGTTGCAATTCAATTGTAACAATTGGTGTCCGTCGTCCCACCTCTGCTTCCTCGATTCTTGCTGTTGGTGTCGAGGGTACTAACGCTCTACCCGAGCCTCTACCTGCGCGGTGACGACGGCAACGAGAATCAGAAAATCTCGCTGCTCGCGCTGCTGGCTGCTGCAAGCCTCTTGCCAAGAAGCACCGTCAAGCGCTCGCGTGATCGTGTCACGAGTCTGTCTGGCTCGAGTGAGACAAGGAACTTCAAGCGAGGTGCTACAGCTCACTCACTCGCCTCTCGGAGAGGCTCTCCTACATAATATGCAGGATCCTTATGTAACATATAGAACTTGTGCCGCAACTTGTGGAACATTTACAAGTAAATACTTCAGTATTAGTTATCCTTGTTTGGTTAATACCGAAAACCAGTCGCAGAACGAGGCGAGGCAGACCCGATCAACATCTTGGTGGCGTGCTGTCCCCAACGTGATGACCAAGATGCAGAATTGGACTGCTTATTGTCAGAGTTCGCCGGCAAGAAACTGTAGCGCTCCTGGTTCATGCGCCTACCTAAGTGGCAAGTGCTCAAAGCAGCCCTACAATCTCCGAATCAAAACTTCAGATTCAGCGTAGACTTCCAGAATGTATGCCACAAAGATACCCACTTTTTGGCCTGTCGCGGCCTGCATCAACAATAATGTCATCGTAAACAGTCAGTACACGTACAGCTTGTCCCATACTGAGCGCAAGTCAAGCGTAACGACACCTCCACTTTGATATCGGTCAAGCAATCGCGAGCCAGCCGCTGTCGTTGCACACTGCCATCCACCACAGTGCACTTGACTGTCAAGCCCCTGAACGCTCTAGCAAACGGAGCCAGTGAGACCCGTGCTTCTGCCCAGTCCCTGTCTCTTGTCGCTCGACGTCACACCCCATCGGCATGAGCGATTCTCCCCAGCCCTCGGATGACGCAGACGTCAAGGCGCCATTCCCGAGTCTGCCGTCCGTGCCCGAAGCCGAGGAGCTCACGCCCCCGAAGCTCAAGCAGATCGTCGACCTGCGTGACACCAACCACGCCGACCTGGCTAGGATGGGCTTCACCGATAGCCACTACGACGCCGCCGTCGCTTCAGGCTCTGTCGCGCTCGTGGATCTAGGCGACGAGACGCAACAGCAACTGGCCCCGCGCTCAAGGCTCCCGTCGTATGCGTCGTCCTCTGGAGACGGATACTCGTTGGAGGGGGATCTACATGGAATCAACGAGCAATTACAGCGTGTCCTGGCGTTCTGTGAAACGCAGCGAGAGAATCCTCTGCGGCTGCAGGCCAAGATCAATGACCTGCAGGAGCAATTACGTCAGGCCATCGCCGAGAAGAACTACTGGATGAAGCGCTGTAAGGACCTCACGGGCCACCATCCCCCAGCCGCCGAAGTCGCCAAGGTGGACCTACAGTGCGTCAAGAGCCGCCCGCGCAAGCGCACCAACTCAGAGCTCATTCTGATCGCCGACACGTGGGCGCAACCTGGTCGCGACGGCATCTACAGCGAGGACACCTCGAGCGTCGTGGAAAGCGATGCCTCGTCGACCTACAGCGAAGCGGAGCTCGTGGACGATGGTGCCGCGCCGCGCTCCTGTTTCCGGCTACTACAGTGTTCTGATGAACAATGCGAGGTATTCACCCCCATGAACCGCAGCATCCGCACACAGCACCGCTCGCGCAACAATGTCCAGCTCATGTGGGACGAGCCGCCCAAGACTGTGCTAATTGTTAAGAAGCCTAATGAACCCGACACGACCGAGATGCTGGTGGGGCTGACGTCGTGGCTGCACAAGGAGAAAAATATCGACGTTTACTTGGAACCGGCAGTGCACGAAGAGCTTAAGCTGCCCAATACCAAGACATGGGGCAGTAAGCCGCAGGACTGGATCGAGTGTCAGAGTAAGATCGACTTTGTGATCTCGCTAGGTGGTGATGGAACGGTGCTGTGGGTCTCATCGCTCTTCAGCAAGAGCGTGCCGCCCGTCTTCTCGTTGGCCATGGGATCGCTAGGATTCCTGACTCCGTTTGACGCTGAGAACGCTGTGGAACATCTCACTAGTGTCATCAACGGCGGCTTCTACATGTCCCTGCGCTCGCGTCTTTCGTGTACCATCTATCGTGGCTGCAAGGAGCGTGAAATCGCAGGTAACCTGCACGCGCTCAACGAAATTGTGGTCGAGCGTGGTCCATCGGGTGCGCTTGTAGAGCTCAACTGCTACTGCGATGGCCTAGAGATCACCAAGATTGCTGCGGATGGCATTATCATCGCCACACCGACGGGCTCTACAGCGTACTCGTTGTCGGCTGGTGGTTCAATGGCGCACCCTTCTGTGCCTTCGATGCTGTTCACGCCGATCTGTCCGCACACACTGAGCTTCCGACCTCTGATCTTCCACGACAGTGCCACGTTGAAGATAGAGTTCCCTACTACGAGTCGTTCGTCGGCGTGCTATGTGTCGTTTGATGGCAAGAACCGTGTGCGTCTTGAACGTGGTGACAGTATTGTTGTTCGTGTGTCGTCTTACCCGCTGCCTTCGATCTGTCGGGTGAACGAGAACCAGGACTGGTTCGAATCCATGATCACCAACCTTAACTGGAACCAACGTCGCGCTCAGAAGCCGTGGCAGGCACCTGTCACCAGCAAGATTTAGTCCAGCCAAGCGTAATTTCTTGGCCGCGGACTACCTGGGGTACGATGGCGGACAAATGATTGATGCAGCACGCATGCTCCGTGGACTTTGCCTTCAGTGCTTGCGCCGCTGACCTTGCACGCGAGTTTTTTTTTCTTCTGCATCAGTGTAAAATATTTAAGCCAAATGCAAAGTGAACTTTTAGCTTTCCTTATTCCTCTGCGTTGGTTATCTGGTCATTCTTCAGGAGGTTCCGTTGATCGAAGCACCGCAGTCTGAGTACGAATGCACCGATTAACAACGATCCACACACAACTTTCTAGTCGCGATGGCAATTACCTTTTTCGTGAAAATGCTTGGTGGAAATCCAAGCTCTATCTGGCGCTGCATCAACGCTGTTTTATCGCTTTCCGCCTCCGAAAGCTGAGCAAGTAGCTGCTGTAACTCAGCTGTGTGATCCTGTCTGCACTGCAGTAGCTTAGCCTCTCGGCGGTTTGCCTCGTCCACTAGCTGCTTGTAGCTTTCATGAATCTCCAAGCATTTGCGTTTATAAGCGTCGCGTTTCTGCGGTAACGGAACCAAGTCTTGTAAGTTCACGATAATGATCACTTGAACATGACAGCTATTCTTACTTTCTGTGCTTTGCTTAGCTCCCTTAGCGCTTTCGATAAAGCAGCGCGAGTCTCACGTTGTAACGCAGCACGTTGGGCTTGAAATTCACTTTCCAGTTTGGTACATTTCCTCTGTCGGCGTAGCAACACGTTGTACAGTCCATCAGAATAACAGCTTACGATATGATATCCTTCTACTCACATGCAAATCTCGTGCCGTGGCGACATGGTTCTCCTTTTCTTTATCAAGTTTCTCCACTAACACAGCATAGTCCTGTTCCATATATTTGAGCTGGTGCGACGTGGTTAAGATGATGTCACGACACAAACTTTAAGATATTTAAGCTTCAATACCTTTCCTTGAGCTTCTTCTCTTTCGAGCTGTACGTCTTCCTGATACTGAATAACCTCCCTGGGCAGAACACGCGAAGCATTTGTCAGCAAGGATACCAAAAATATCGTCACTATCAAAACCCAACCTGTGCTTCGACTGAAGAGTGCGATAGTCGTTTTCTACTTCCTTTAGCTTGGTACGCAGTGCTACGCACTCTGTCTTCATCCGAGAAATCTGGTCGGAACGAGAATTAAATGGTTTCGAAAGCATACTTCTGATAAGCCAAAACTACAATATACATACCAGCTCTTGCGACGATGTCTGCTTGGCTACCATGACCTCCTTTTCAGCTTCGAGGGCCTGAACCATTTTCTGTAAACTCTCATTTTCCATTTGTAGCTTATGGGTAGTTTCTTCAGCTTCGTTTTGACAACGACGAAGAGCTTCCTCTTGAGCTGCAACCTATTGGAGCCATTGGAATAAAGCGAACATCCGTGAGGTTACCTGATCTCAACTTTTGGTTGTAGGTTGATAAGCTTGAAGATCACCCACCTTCTTTTCTGCCTCTGCAACAAGTCCTCGATATTTCTCAAGTTCATCTTCTCTGGCTTTTACGAGAAGAGAATGTTCTACATTATTACTGTCATTTTCCCGTAGTTGGGTAGCTGCGCTGGAGTTCTTTTGTGCTGCAGTCTCAGCTGTTTGAAGCTTGAGCGTCAACTCATTTATACGATCCTGAAGCACACAGGGAATGGGTAAATACGCATGAGAATATGAGAGATGTGGAACACAAACAAACCTTCAAGTTGGCCTGCTCCCGTTCCCATATGGCTCGTTCGTCTCGAAGTCTGTGCAGTTTGTAGCGATCCTTGTCAATTCTCTCCTCTACAGCGGGCAAAGCATGCTAATTCAGCAGCTACGTACTTCATCGAGAGTGAATTGTGGCTGCTGAAGATGAGCGCTTCTTTTTGCTTTAGTTGCTCTCGTAGACTCTCGCTCTCAGATGTCAATTCAAGCAGTTTGTTTTGTGCGTGTTCCCATTTGGAGCGAATGCTCTCGCATTCGTCTTTTGCTCTGGTGAGTTGACGTCCACAAGCCTTTAGATCTAACTCTAGTGTTGCATTACGTGTCGCCTCGTCGGCTAAGCGCAGCTCATGAGCGCTTTTCTCATTTTCACTTTGCTCAGATACTCGTTGAAACTCGTCTCGCACGTCCTGCACAAAGATTAATTTGACATGAGATACCAGCAGCCATTTAACTCTGCGTATCACTTTTAACTTACACGGACTTCGTCGCGTAGAGCCTTAATTTCAATCTGTGCTGCCTCCCGTTGCTGTTCCAGTCGTCGGACCTTTTCGACGTGCTGAGAGTTAGCTGCCGTTTCTTCGGCAAGTTGCAACTTGCGTCTCAGATCGTTCAACGTCACTTCATAGGTCTCTTGAAGGCACTCCATCTCGTTGCCCTGCCACATTGCTTTAAGCCCTTGCGTCACCTCCATTAACTGTTGATAATACTCTTACCTGATCGATCAAAAACTGTTCGTACTCTGTTTTAAGCGCCTCATACTCACGACGCATATCAAAACTCATTTGGCGCTGTCTTTCCATCTCATCTTGCAAGTTATCAATCCGTTGTTGATATGGCCCCTCCAGCTCCTCCTGAATCTTGATGCGGAGCTGCTCCAGGTCCCTTGGAGGCGCGAGTTTCTTCTGTAGCGACTCGAATGCCCGCGCCTTCACCTCCAGTTGCTTCTTCCACTTACTGATCAGCTCCTCATGCTTCCTGTCTGACTCAATCTACTTCATACACACCATACATTTAGTGCTACCAAATCTCCAACACGGCAGCCACATTGACCCACCTTTTGCTCCGTTTCTTGCATGAGCACGAGCTGCATCTTATCGCAGCGCTCGTGCAGACGCTTCACCTCGCCCTTAAGCTGCACAGAAGCCCGTCGCAATAGCTCAATTCAGACTAGAACCTTTCCAAGAGATTTTTATTCCATCACAAACCTTCGTGCTGATCTGCTGGGCGTCGTCCCGCTCTCGTTGCAGTGTCTGGCTGAGTGCCGCAGTCTTCTGCAAGTCCGTATTAAGCTGTACGATCTGCCGTAGGAGCGCGTCATACCTGGATCCAGCGTTGCCTGCGTCGGAGAAGCCTCCAGTCGATACTGGAGCCGCGGGCGGAGCCGCTGCTGCAGCTTCCATTGCCTCACAATTCGAAGAGTGATGGTCGCTTCAACTTTCGCGTCTTTTCGGGTATCGTCACTTAACAGTAAACTACTTCACTTACTTCACGTTTACTACTTCGTGATGTGGCACACCTCAACTTTCGAGGTTAACCTTTGCGCACCAGTCAAAACTGTGGTTGTCACCAGTTAGCTCTGAAGCGACACAGAAGTCAACGTCTAGAGCCATGGCGAGACCGAACAAGCGCAAACTGAGCTCCTCGCCTGCAGCCAAGCCTTCTGCGAAGCCGTCGAAGTACGCGAAGGAGGCAGCCAAGCAGGAGCAGCGCAGTGCCAAGAGCAGTAGCAACAAGGCGCAGCTCTTCGACTCAGATGAAGAGGGGCAGGATGACGAGGAAGAAGAGGACAGTGACGAGGAGGGACCCGAGGCTGACGAAGGATTCTCCGATGCCAACAAGAGCTGGTTGAAGCTCAAGAAGAGCAAGGGCAGCGATGATGAGGACGATGAAGAAGCAGAAGAAGAGGATGACGACGAGGAGGAGGAGCTCGATATTGAGCGTAAGGCTCGCCTCTTGGACGAGGAGGAGGCTCTACAGGCCCAGGAGGCCGAGGAAGAAATGCGCCTCAACATTGCTAATAATGAGCCGTACCACCTGCCGACGGAGGAGGAGCTAGCCGAGGAGGGCGAGGGTGACGATGACATGTCGGACCCTGCCGAGGTCTACCAGCGCATTAAGGACGTGGTGGAGGTGCTGTCTCACTTCAGCGCGCGTCGCGAGCCTGGCCGCTCCCGCGTGGACTACATGGAGTCTTTAGCTAAAGACCTGGCCGGATACTTCGGCTACAACCGCGAGCTGATCGACATGTTCCTTAAAATGTTCTCTCCTGCCGAGTGCGTCGAGTTCGTGGAGGCCAACGAGCAGCCGCGTCCTCTTGTTATTCGTACCAACACTTTGAAGGCGCGTCGTCGTGATCTGGCCCAGGCTTTGATCCAGCGCGGTGTCAACCTGGATCCTCTAGCGAAATGGTCCAAGGTGGGTCTCAAGATTTACGACTCGCCTGTGCCCATTGGTGCTACGCCCGAGTACCTTGCCGGCCACTACATGCTGCAGTCAGCTTCGTCGATTTGTGCCGTGATGGCTCTTGCCCCGCAGATGAACGAGCGCGTGTTGGACATGGCTTGCGCTCCCGGTGGTAAGACGACATACATTGCTCAGCTGATGAAGAACACGGGCACGATTATTGCTAATGACCTGAAGAAGCAGCGTCTCAAGGCTACAGTTGCTAATCTGCACCGTCTTGGCGTCAAGAACACGTCGGTATCATGCTACGATGGCCGCAAGGTGCCAAGTCTGTTCAAGGGTTTCGACCGCGTTCTTCTCGATGCTCCATGCACGGGTATGGGTGTTATTGCCCGTGACCCGTCCATCAAGACACAGAAGGGTGAGAAGGATGTACAGCGTCTTGCTCACTTGCAGAAGGAGCTGCTGCTGGCTGCTATTGATGCTGTGGATGCCAAGTCCAAGACTGGCGGATACATCCTGTACTCGACGTGTTCCGTCATGGTGGACGAGAACGAGTCGGTTGTCGACTACGCTCTGCGCAAGCGCTGCGTCAAGCTGGTTGACACGGGTCTGGACCACGGCAAACCGGGCTTCACCCGCTACCAGCAGCAGCGTTTCCACCCGTCCGTGCAGCTCACTCGTCGATTCTATCCTCACGTGCACAACATGGATGGATTCTACGTTGCCAAGTTTAAGAAGTACGCCAACACAATGCCTTCGGAAGAGAAGGAAGCCAAGAAGACCGCTGAGGAGCTCGAGGAGGAGGAGGAAGAGGCCAACATGACCAAGAAGCAGCGTGTCAAGGCCAAAAAGGAGCGTAAGCAGGCAGCCGAGGACGTTGAAGCTGAGGTGACGCAGGAGGACCAGAGCGATGTTGAAGAGGAAGACGAGGAGGCCAAAAGACCCGCGAAGAAACAGAAGCAGGCGCCAAAGAAAGGCAAGAAAAACGCTGGCAAAGGCAAGAAACCCAACCGGCCGCGCAAGAATTAGACAGCACGACTTGGAGCTCCGGTCCAAATTGTCCTTCAAGGGTAATAGATAACTTTTTTGTTCACTTTATCGCTCTTGGTATGTCAGCGTGGCCTTATCAACTTCAAATAGTTTGATGTGGTTCCACACGCGACAGGTAACATTGTGGCAGTTCATGAACGCGCCTCGGTCTGCACACGCTGTACAAGCAACTTTCAGAGCCGTCACCGCCTTTTCATGCCTCGTGGACGCAGTGTGAATCGCTAACAGGCTTCGTTGTTGGTTGGCAGTGCACTCCTGACATAGCGTGTCGTTACCAATAGACCCACAGAGTCGGCAGTGCTTGCTCAGATAGAACGAGTCGATGGATCGAAAGCCGCGACCTAATGGACGTGTAGACGTAGCGGTGTCCAGTACATGTTGACGAGCTTTCACCGACGATCGAGGCAACGCTGCGTACCACAACCGGATGTTGGCCCCCGTCAGCAGGAAAAGCCGTTCCAGACTCGGGATGATCTGCGTAAAATGTAATAGTAAGTAAGTGACAGTCTGAACCGATAGCAACTCTAAACGTACCTGTTTGTTGATGTAGTAGTGGTAGTTGATGCTGTATCGTTTCCGCTTGTCGAAGTATTCGTCGGGTGACACAACTAAGTCCATCAGACGCGCGCCGGGAGGTCCGTTTATCACAACATAAGGCACCCGTTCTGCATAGCGAGGTTCTGCTCGTGGATCCTTCCCCATGGCTTTTACGCTGACAAGTGCGGCAGGAGGAGCGCTATACAACAATGAACTAACAGTCAGATACAACCGCAAATGATCGGCGATAACGCACTCGATACCTTCCGTTGCTGTACGTTCCCAATCGAACTTCTTTCGCGAAGATAAACTCTTTCAGTGGGACACGGTTCTCCAAGATTTGGATCCAGTATTTCTCCATTCCTGCCTTCACCTTGGATAAGTCGCTGGATGCAAACAGCGTTTCAAGTGAAGCCTGCATTGCATGCTGGACCACACCGCAGGAATCGCGCCGAACAGTTTCAAGTCCTTTTGATTCGATGACGCCAATCTCTTGCGTCGGAGACTCAAACTTGTTGCCCACATAACGCTTCTTAGACACAAGAACGCAGCCCATGTATACCTTCTCCAACTTCAGCGTTACCGGCCTGACAGCATCAAGCAATATGAGAGCATGTACCTTTATCTAACCTTACAAATCAAACACGAGAAAAAAATACCTTGGATTCGAAGCGGTAACGGCGGCAGCAATTTCTTGGCCAATTCGGAACGCGTCCTGTTTAGATCTTCCCTTGAGCAGCACAAAAACGCTATCTGTGTCACCGTAAACAACCCTGGCGTTCCAGTCTGACCTTCCTTCTATCAACCGAACAGCAGCTTCAAGCGTGCATCTACCAGTCTATCACCAAAAAAAACGAGAGCGACTTAGAAATATAGACTCGAACGAGGTACGTGTGAACCTACTGTACCTGAACAATGGCATCGGCCAGTTGAGCGCATGGCATGCGTCCTGAGAACCCAGCCGCTGTGTACCCATACGTTACATTCGAAATCATTTTCAGCGCTAATTGGCGAGCATTCAGAACCTTTTCCAATCGTTCCTGAGATGACTCCTTTGCCGATTTCATCACCTTCTTCACCATAACCCGAGTTGACAAAATTTCGTCCAGGATAAGTGGAAGTACCCCGTGACGATAACTCTTGGGACAAAACAACGTGCCGTTCGGCGCAATTATGATATCATCTCTGCACCGCAACAGTCCGGCAGCGCTGGGAGTATAATCGACGACCCCAAGTGACGTCTCCAACTCGGGATTCAAGCCGTCCTTCAACCGACCCAGTATGCTGGAGTAGCACAAATTATACCCTATCACAAGTGAAGGATAGAGAGACTACAATTCATAAAATTCAAAAGCCAACATTGTTAGAAATCAATTTACAACACAAACAAGAGCATACCGCACCTGGAAATCAAGAACCACGACGGGGTCTGGATAGAAGCTTGAATAAGGCTCCATTACTAGTGGGATGCACTCCATCGGGGCTTGGCCAGCCACTTGGTTTCTGCTCGGTGATACCAACAGAAAATTCTTTCGCTTCGTCACACGCAACATGACAGCCTCCACTCGGTACTGTGAACCCCGAGACAATACGGAGTAGAAGTCGATTCCAAACAAACGTGCCATCTCGCTGAATTAATAGCATTCAGAAACACAAGGTTAGATTGCAGCGTGACGAGATTGAATGCAGTGTGTATACCTGGTTCTTGTGATCAGCTGCATTTTTGATAGGATTTGGAGATTAAGCGTGGCTCGTTCCAAATAATATCGGATCACCTTCCAGCGCATTTGGCCACCTTCCTGGAACCATGTCGTCAATTTTTCAGCGGAGTATACTGGGTAAGTTCGTTTTAGAACAGCCCACACAACATCTTCGAGAGCGTAGCGCGACAACTTAAGCTAAGGCAATTAGGCACATGTGTTAAAACATGAGAGCTCATATAACCCGTAGCGAGAACGAACACTGCCACGTACCTCAGATCTAGTCATTCGCCAGAGGTTCAGTATATACCTTCCGTGAAGCCATAGGCCAGCTGCCTTGTTCACTCCCCATGTTGTACCGATAGACGCTTCCTTTTGACTGTCACCCTCTTGATCTGGTGCTGTGGTTGTATTTCGAGGATCTATCGGGGATGACGGAAGGCGAGAAAGCGACTGGATAAGGTTAATCTGAAAATTAACCGCACAAGGTTAAAACTGCGCTTGCGATAATAAACCAGCCACAACCGAAACTCACATCCAATTGGGAAGCTCGATCGACGAGATATCCGATAGAGGCCTTTTGAACTTCAAACCCTGTCAAGAAGTCGGGATCCCACCGCCTTACTAGATCCTCCAGCGAGTGCAATAGTTCACGCTCGTCTAAAACAATTGACACTGCTATCTCGCTGCTGTCCACGCATAAACCCACGCTCTCGAGTGTTGCTTGCTCCAAATCGTCCGGTTTTAACATGATAAAACCGCGTTCCTTTGTCTTGAATTCAGTTGGCCCCTCTTGGGCCTCAACCGCATAGCATATCACGTTGACCGGGTCGTGGAGAGGGTTTGGCAACATAGTGCCACGCGACCCAACAAATATTTCAACGGATAGAATTGTTATGTTCGACAAGATAGTCGACAAGGTCAGCTTGTTCGAGGGCGATATCGTTGACGTCAGTGACGGTCGAGCACGCTTACGTCGTACCTGGACAGAAATGGCATGAAAGCATTAGCAATATTGTTAGGTGCATTATATATCTGGTTAAATCTCGCACCTTGGCTGGAGTTTGACGATTTCCGGCATCACTGACCCAAGCCTTGACAACGGAAGCGTCTGGCGGTAATCGTGCTGGCATCCGTAAACGGCGAACCTTTAAGAATAACGAGAACGATAAGACCACTTCGTAAGAAAACTACTCTATACCTCAATACCTTTTCACCCCTTTCATAAGGGGCATTGGGTGTCTTCAAACAAGAGAGCTTGCACCACGGAGCATTGCTCATTTTGTCATTGCTTCCACCGCTGCAAAGCGGGACTAAAAGCTGACGTGTCGCGGCGGTATCAAAAACGGGTAGGTTGCTTGTATTTTGCGGTGTAAAGTCGAACTTCTTCCCACCAAAAACCATAGCCTTGCTGGGTATATCGACTGCGTTGCTGTAGAAAGCAGGTTGATACTACAGCCATTTCCACCTTGAAGTCAGTTGAGTGTAATAACACGAGGAACCCACGCAAAATGCAACACGTACCTGCAGTGGATCCACTCCGAGAGTGTGTGACGATTCTAGGATCTGGGCGAAAGTAGGGGGATCGGGGCTAAAGACCCATAAGCGATTGTTGCCTGCTACTGCTCTCGCTGGTGAAGCCTTTGGATTTACTCGGAGTGGCTGCGGATGTGGCGTTAGTGAGAGTTGGAGACGATCCACTGGATCGGATTCCTCTTCCAGTGGAGTTAAAGGTATCGGTTCATGTGGTCTCGGTGGTAATAGATCTTCAATATCACCAACCAAGGGTAAATCCTCCGGAGTGGCCCCAAACCGAATAGACCTAGCAGCACTAGAAGATGACTTCACATTTTTTTCAGTTAGCTCGCAAATATCCCGTATAGATTCACTTACAAGGTTTCATACCTTCTTTGATATCTTCTTTGGAGTACGAAGAACCACACGAGGACTTCCAAGCTCGCTAAGTGGACTTGCAATTGGACGAGCTTCGCGCCCCGCAATATCCCACCAACCATTGACTTGCGGTGTACCCGTTTCTTGACTCGTGTTGTGTTCCTCAACGAGACGCTGTGAAGCCAAGATGTCGCCAATTTCGTCATTTCTATTGTCCCATTTGCCGATACCGTCGTCATCATCGTTATCATCGGGTGTGTTGTACCCATCGCGCTCGTGTTTTACGTACCATTCATCCTCTATGTGGACCGGTTCGCCCTCTCGTTGCATCTCCAGAAGAATATTTACAATTGCTTCATCCTCGTCAGCTGTCTTTTGCTCTGAATCACGCTCGAAATCGCTCTCATGCTCCGCTTGACTGTAAGAAAATTCGCTCTCGACAGCAAATGAATTCCCGCATGACATCACGTCACCTGCAGACAGTGGATCATCATCACCACGTTTGATTTGCTGATCTTCTTCTTGCTTCTCAAATTTCTTCATCACCGCGTCTACCGAATCTCTCATCTTCTTTTGAAAAAATGATTGCGATAGCAGGGATGATGCTGATGCCGCCGGTGAGGCACTCATTGAAGAATCTCTGGGTGTAGCAGGGTTGCGTTGGAGGCTCAGTGACATCGTCGGTGTTGCCGTCTCTCCGTTCTGGATACGTCGTTGCCGTTCTTCCTACCATTACACAGAACCATTAGCAATTAATATATAAGAAATTATGGTAGTGTTCGCCGACGTACCTCCCAAATAGCTGCCAGCGACGGCACATTACGTAGCTCTCCTGCGTCCTCAGCTGCTTTCTGCTGCGATTCAAATTGCTTGGGGTTCAAGATGCATGCAGCTGCAACATCAGCCTCTAGTGCACAACTGGATTGTCGATCATACCATCGTTTCGGAGTTTGAGGTACCGGTGCATATCGTCCTCTTACGGCAAATGCACTATTGTCCAAACCATTGATCTTTTCTGTTAGGGTGGTGGGGAGCAAGACAGCGTGGTATCCGTCCGACTCTTGGACTTCTGCTAAATGGCCCTGCGTCACTGGAAGGGGAAATCGGAACTAGGTTGGCGATCGTCAAATAAAGCTACTCCATGCTATCGTAATTAAAACAACTGAGTATTGTGCTGTGGTCCGTACCTTGACGTTGCCGAATGCCACGTAGTTCATTCCTTCAATATTGTAATCCGCAAATACCTGCACATAATTGTTGGTCAGCAAAACAAGTTAGTGTTCGTGCAACATTAATCAACATTAATCAAACTACCAGACCTGAAGCAGGAACGGGATGTGTGCCTCATACGGTTGAAATCGTCGTTCAGCAATTCCTCCACTTTCCAGCAACTGTACAACCGATGTCACCACTCGTGGATTGTACAAAAAGATCTGCACGAACAGCTTTGGCCTCGGATGGTACCCGTAAAACGGCGTTCCTTGCACTATGAGCATCTGCCAGCAACTTAATCAACCACTAAAACTTCATTCTGCCATATCCCCACAGTTCCATCACTTACCTTGGCAATAATTCTACTGGATTTGAACCTTGTTGTTGCGTTTCCATTGTTTTGCTGCCTTTGTTGCTGTTTGGAAGCGTTAGCAGCCTCGATATCCTTGGCCAGTCGAGGAAGCAGTGTCCGCAAACGCTCTGGGTCCTCGAAATCCGGGTCGTCCTCCGCGCGAAAGTAGAAATATGGAAATATCTGAACATATGAGTATAGTTGAGTGAGTAAGCGACACAAAAAAGTATGAAAGTAGAGAGAAAACTCACGCCGTGCACGTGAATGAGAGCCTTTTGTCCGGCAGGCGTAGCGCCAAAGATACGGACAACTGGAACCTCGCGAGCGCGCAAATAGCAAGGAGATGTGGGGATCTTCTTGATGGCATTGACAGGCAACGGGCTATTCATGTAGTAATCCACCACCACCGCCTCCACCCGGAGTTCCTCGACATCCTCGTCGTCCATATTCAACGATATTTGGGCACTCAAAACATATTTATAAAATCAGTACGTTTTGCCATCAGAAATTAACCTACCATATATCATAACAAGAAATGTTATATGCGTGCTGACAGGATATTTGGTACAGTGTACCCCTGTCCCTCCCCCTGCGCGAATGCGGGAAGGTCTGCCACAACGTAAAACGCACCAAGACCGCACCCAGCAGCTAGAGCAGGAGCATGAACCGGCACGCACTGGCCGAGGCCACGAGCTTGCACGATGGTCCTGTTCCCGTCTACCTCATGGAGGAGATCTCCAGTGCGTATTTGTGTTGTTGCATTTGCTGCAACGTGAGTCACAGAAGTCTAACACTTGTCCTTGTCTGCAGACGCAACAAAGGCTAGTGATCGTGACGCAGAGAAGACGGCCGACTATATGCTCGGGAGACTCAACAAAAGCAACTTAAATGTCAAGCTCAAGGCGTTGCAGATCATCTCGGTGGGTCTACAGGCAGCAGCTGATCCTGAAGAGCTTCTGGTAGAATATTAACGCTGTCATTGTGCTTAGTATTGCATTCGGGAGGGCAGTCCTGCCTTCACAGAGGCTATCAGAGAGGAGGAACAGGAGATCTCGGCCTATTTACGTGCGTTTAGGACAGTGTAGAGAGCTTTGGAGCTCCAGAGACTGACGGTGCTACTGTTGCGACGTTGTGTACAGAATTTACGGGCCCTCCGGATCCGGTATATGGAGACGAGAAGTACCGCCGCATTCGAGTTGCATCGCAGGTATTTGAGTGTAATTTTAATCATGTGATGGTGCAGAGAGCTCACTCGTCGTGTCGTTCGTTGGCTCTGTATTATAGGAAGCGCTGGTGTGTTTGAATGACGGATTCCTGTCGCGTCGGAACGAGGCACCGCCACAGCAACAGCCTCCGCAACAAGAACAGCCACCTCAGGCTGGCGCGAATAGCTGGCAGGCGCCACAGAATGACAATGCGCCGTCGTATGGCAATTCCAATGCTTATAACCAGGGAGGTCAGCCGGAACGTCAACACTCGAATGTCGGTGGGTCGTGGGGTCAGCCGCAGGCTTCGAACCGCCCTGCTCCGTACCATGATAACCCATCCGGAGGCTACAACGGCGCATCTGGCGGTGGTTACAATGGTCAATCCGGAGGTTACAATGCCCCTTCTGGGGGGTACAATGGTCCCTCTGGTAACACCTACGGCGGTAATAGCAGTTATGGACAAAATGGGGGTAACTCGGGCGGCTATGGCTACAACCAGAATGGTCCTCAGGGAAGTTATGGCCAGAATGCACCACAACAGCAACAGGCAAGTGGTTTTAATTCGTGGTCATCCTCGTCCAGTACTGGCTTAGCCTCGAAGATCTCAGGTGCAGGTGTCTGGAGTAGTTCAGGTTATCAGAAGAAGGACCCTGCGATGGATAACGAGCCACGCTACAACCCATCTACAAGGCGTGACAACCGCCCCACAGTGTTGGTGGGTCATTCGCTTAACTTCCCCAAGCCGGCAGGTGGATTTGGCAGTAGCAATACGGGTGCGACATCAGGGCTGGGTGGATTTAACAGCGGCACATACAACCCGAATGCTGTCCGAGGTGCTACCGCTGGAAACTCGTACAATCCGAATGCTATGGGAGGCAGTGCGCGAGGCAGCTTCGGTGGTCACCAGTCTGGTGGTCCTCCGTCTTATATGGAAAACACTAATCGCATGCTCAGTGGCAATACCCACCGTATCGGAAGCATGGGTCTTCCCGTGAATGGACAGCCGCTGAATGATGCACCGACGACGGCCCTGGGTAAGAAGGCTGAAGTATTGAAAAAGATGGGAACAGCAGCACTAGAGAAGTGGGATCGCCGCAATATGGACAAGTCGATGGCTTCGTCCTTGGCTGATAACGACGAACTACGTGCGGGCCCACAAGTGATTGACCACGGTTACTACCAGCCCAATGCTCAGCAGGGAACCGGCGGAGGTGACACGAGCAGGTACGAACAATGTGAATATGCTGATGATGTAAAGGATTGTCCTCATTGTTGTTGACTTAATGTAACGCAGGGACTATGAGCGCACGATGATCGATAGCTTGTGCGCACCCGCGGGGCTATCACGCGCGCCACCCGCAGACGGGCTGAAGCGCTTCGTTGATCTTGCACAGACGCTGGATGCTCAAAGTATTGGCGACATCTTGCTTGACAAGCTGGAGGATGACACCTGGCAAGTTCGGTTGAAAGGTTTGCACGTGATCCTTGCGCTCCTGGATTCTCCAGGTGCTGCTCCGTACCAGGAGTTCTTCGAGGAGAACGCGGAAGTCGTCGAGGAGGTTCGTATTGCAATTATCAAGTTAGTTTCTTGTTAGAGTATGTTATACTAACGAGATTTGTCTTCCATGTCAAACATCACAGTTACGAAATGATGCAAAGCCTAGCGTAGTATCTAAAGCGCTTCAGGTACTGCGTGCTCTTGGTTACGCAGACGAAACAGATCAGGCTCCCCAACCGACTGCCAAACGCTCGGGCTCTGCGCGAGCACAGCGTGGCAGCCCCATTAAGAAGCCACCGCAAGAAGTGGATCTCCTTGGCTTTGGCTCGCTTAGTCTTGAGTCATCTGCTGGTCCGGTTGACCAAGGTGTTCAGGGTACTGCCGATCTGCTTGGTTCTCCTATCCGTTCACAGCCCCCACCAGCCCCAGCACCTCAGCAAGAAATCTCGGTACGTCAGATACTGCTTCACATTCGGCATAGGTGAGTTTAACTAACTCATTGATATTCTCCTACGTATTCTGCAGCTTCTGGACGGTTTTGATACACTAGGAAGCTCTACGTCATCTAACCCAACATACTCTCAGCAGCCGCAGCAACAGCAGTATTACCAGCAGCCTCCGCAGGATGAGCACAACAAGGCGTTGGGTCACTTTGGGAAGGACCTCTTCGCTATAGCCAACTCTCCGCGCAGTGCAAACATGGCTACAGGTACAGCAGCTCCTAATGCAGCTGATGGAGCGCGACTTAGTGGTGGACAGTCGGCATTCAACTTCATGTAGAGTATGTGTGCAATCAATCTGTAGTGTTCATCGCGGCCAGACAGGAAGAATTCACACTCGAACAATGAAAATGAAAAGCGTAGGCATGAAAAAAACAATCGACTATTATAATGCTCCGCACCATGCAACATCTCGCTGGGCCATGGACTCAAAGTGACACGTCTGCTCGCCGTAGTCAATAAGCTTATGCGCGAATACGCTTCTTGGCAGAGCCGTTGACTACACCGCCCTTACGCTTGCCTTGTTTTCCGCAGGCGATGAACCGGTCAGGATCCCACAACTCTTGCCGAATATTGTTGTATGGGCCGTTGAGAATGACCATGACTTTCGTGTCGCGGTGATAAGTAAGCCCAGTAATGAGCTTCGGTGTGATGAGGAAGTACTGGGGCAGCTTGCTACCACATGCTGACTTGGTGATGCGCTGGAATACCTTGCGCTCGTTGTACACATCCATGCCCTGGTTGATCTCATCCACCACTCGGAATGGGCACTTGGTGAGGCTTTGGAGAGCCATCAGGTACATGATAGTTCCGACAGATTTTTCCTTAAGAACGAGTTGTTAGCTGGCTAAATATCAACAGCCTCAAAGATGAACCACGTACTCCTCCAGATTGTTCCTCAGCTGTCATAGTCGATAGTTTTGTATTCTTGCGGAACTGGGCGCGGCGCTGGATGCCCCATTTCGCGACATCCTTAAAAAAAAAAACGAACAAGGTATCAGTTATGAACGTTGATGTCAGTTCACAAGCAGTGCACTTACTGGGTCTGCATCATCCAGCAGAATTTCACCGACACAACCGATGTCCTTGAAGAATTCCCTGAAAGAAGTGTCGATTTGTTCCACCACTTCTTTGAGATCGGCATGCCATTTTCCCTGTTGATCACGACCCAAACGTAGCAGGACGCGTAAGACGAGTGAAACCTCTTCATTCCATTGTATAAAACCCACCTTGATTCCGTTGATAGTGTCTTCGCCATGGGTGACGAAACTTTCCAGATCAGACAGGTGGGCTTCATCGTCCCGAATTTCTTTGCACACGCGTTCATAAAGTTCGCGAATAGTTCTATCACCACGGAAGCATTCAAGAGCTGCCTTGTTGTTTTCAATCTTGCCAAGCAACTCATCCAAATCGTCTGGAAGGTGGCTAAAGCGCTCTTCGTAGTCATCCCACGGAGCCTCTTCCTCTGCTTTGCGCTTCACGTCCATCGCCTTCCTCGCTACAGTCAACAGATTGTCTTTTGCAAGCTGGTGGGCTTCCTTGAGTTTCCTAGAAAAAAATCAACGTCGAGTCAGAACACAACAACTCGCGAAGAATGCATGGCAACAAGCCCATGATACTTTACCGAAGAGTGGTCTCCATTTGCTTCAAGTGTTTTTGAGTGAAATCCACTCGAACTTGTTGTGTGCCGAGCTGCAGCGCTAGGCATGCCTCACGAGCACTAGCCCTGAACAGATCCTTTGAAAGCTGCAAACAATTCTTGATCTGCTGGGCTTGCCTAAAGAATAGTGACAATAAACAGAAGCGTAGTCAGTGCATGAATCAGAACCACTTCAAACCGCTCTTCCAGCTTACTTCGATGCCTGATTTCTCAGCTTTCGCGTCAATGCCTCCTCCTTAGCTGAGACATCCTGCAAAAATCTAGTAAGTATCTGCGTAACATAACGATATTGTACTTAAGTTTGTACTCACTTGTGCCAGCTCACTCTTCAGTGAATAAATCTTGTTATCACCCTCCGTAATCTTATCATCCAAGCGGATGATCGTCTTCCGCTGAGAGCGAATTTCAGTGATGCGATGCTGTACTTTTCGCTTCTCTTCGGCATACTGTTTCTCCTGAGCTTTAAGATCAGTAATCTGGAATTTTACCAATTGAGTTAGTAACATCCTTCCTCTCAACGCAGCATTACAGTCACTGTACCTCGTCTTGGATTCTTCGCTCCCTGGCTTCCAACTCGTGCAGAATGTTTTTCATTTCAGATTTCTCGTCCTCGTTCGAAGTTGACGCCGCAAGCAAACGAGGGTTCAGAAGGTCATTTGTACGTGTTGTCACGTTACGGTTGCCGTACTTCGAAACTTCACACATAGCACAAAAAAGTGAGATATGATTCAAATACATAAGTGCGTACGTATCACTTCATACCTGAGGTAACGTATTTCTTGTACGGAGTGACGAAGGCTGACTTCCGTTCTGATGATGCGATGTCATTGAAGATCTGTCCACCTCTGTTAATGATATCTTCCGTCTGCTGGGAACCAACCATAACCGTGTGGAGACCGCCGTGGGCCCGAAGAGCCTCGTGAACGATGTCAGGTGCAGTCACCAGCTATCATGTCATAAGAAAACGAACAAATCGTCAGCATCCCTAACAGGAATACGTGAAGATAGAAACATACCTCATCCAAGAAGCCTTTGATGCCATATCTTTGGCGATAGTCGTCCATCTGCTGTATCGAGAATGGTCGATGAACAGCATGACATGTGCCATTTTCCACGATCACAATGGAAGCTTTGACGCGGCGATCAGAATTGCCGTTATTCACCTCGCGGAGAATTGTGTTGTAATCATCGTAGCACTCGGCAACTAATGCTCCCAGAAGCCATTTCGGTAGAGTATCTTCAACGTACTTGGCGTGCATCGTTTCGTTGAGTTTCATCTGTAGGAATGACCATACACATTGACGTTAAATTACGACTTACGGGTAAACAAACAACAAGTCGCTTACCTCGAGTGCAATAGGGCCCCACACTTTCCGCTTCAGCCGATGCTGGTTATTCTTCGCCCAGTCAGCAGCGTAGACACAGTCAGGATCAGCCCTCTGGAGAGCCAGACGTCGCTGTACATCCTCGTTGTCAAGTTTCTCGAGCTTACTGGTCACTTTCCTGCGCTCACTATCAACGTAGGCTAGCTCACGAGAAAGTGCTTCTCTCTTGCTGCGGATTTCCGTTTCCTGCGCAAGAACGATCACCTAAGCATCAGCAACCATACCTTTGTCTACGTCACTGTTTAAACGCACCTCCATATCTTTTGCGCGCTGTTGCCTTTCCAATTGTTCCTTTTGTTCTTTAAGATCATCATCATTAGGCATCCCCTCGCGTTCCTTTCGCCACTGCACAGCATCACATTCATCAAACAGTAATGAGTCGACTTAATCTACACTGGATAGAATAAGTGTAAGCAATACGAACCTCCGCTACATCGCGTTCCAAGCGCTCAAGTTTTCGGCGAGTGGAGTTGTGTTGGTTACGCAGTTCCTTGACATCGGACAATGTTTGGATTTGGGCGCCTTCCATCGATTCAATCTGCAGAGTTAAAACAGTCAAGTCAATACCCCGTAAGCCAAATAAATAAAAGATAGCTGGTGCATTTGGCTCAAGATTCACTCACGTGGTTTTTCTCCTGCCGAATCCTGTCAACAAGTTGCCTTTTCTCACTGTCCACCTCGGTTTTTCTGGATTTATCATAGCAACATTTGATTAGAACACTAATTATTGCAGCCGCAATGCACATTCGTCACACACTCAGCCTTCACGTCATCCAGTTTAATCTGCTCTTTCTTTAAGAGGTCCACCAGAGGATCGATTTTCTCTTTGCGCTCTTTCTACATCATCATAATATCACATTTTATTAGAACAATGTGGACTAACTAATGATGAAGAACGCACCTTAATTGCTTCTCTGCAGCGTATTTTCTCCTCCTTGAGCTCCTCAACTTCGGCTTTTGCCTTTTCAAACTCAAGCCACAAACACTTTTTCTCCATCACAGCAGTCTGCACACAATGCCGACCAGAAATCATGAGTTATATAGCCCAACACCTCACCACACTACCAGCAATCACTGTACCTCTTCAATGCGTGCTTCGTAGTCTTCAATACGCTCCACCTCTTTCTGTCTCTGAGCGTTCTCACTCTTCTTGAGCTCCAACGCTGCACGTGCATGTTCTAGTTCCTACAACCGACAAGGCTCTCAGCAAACTGCACTACAACATACGCATTGGCCATAGCTGTAGCTTACCCTTCCTTTGTCCGACATGCTGTGTTGCAGCTCAATAATCTCCTCATGTTTAGCAGCCAAGTCACTGTCCGTGATGGCGTTCTCTGTAGCCTTGAGTAGCTGCACAGCATTCATCCGAGAGAACTCACCCACTTTATCCTGCGGTAGAAACTGGCACAAGTTGTCGATCTGGATATGGGCGACCTCCATGATACCCGCCACGTTCTTGAGCGTCGAGTCTTTGCCATTGACCTGCCACGTGCTCTTATTGTCCCGAAAGATGTTGCGTCTGATGACTTTATTACCACGTTCGAAGAACAGCTCAATCTCCGTATAACCGCTCTCTTTCTCGTGGCGTACAAACTGGCCAACCTTGTCGGCTCGACCGAGTAGCTGTAGATTTAGCGTATAATATATTAATTCCACTTTGGTACAATAACTGGTAGACTGCAGTACACGGTACCTTGGTGCTGCCGGCCAAACCGACACAGAGTGCGCAGACGATGGAACTCTTGCCTGTGCCGTTAGGTCCCAGGATCAGATTCAGACGTGGGCCAGGGTAGAACTCAGCATCCGAGTAGGTCAAGAAATTGTGCAACTTAACGCGGTAGATCGATCCGTCCACGTACTCGTCCGAGCCCTCGGAACTCGAGACAGTCACGTCGCCCATGACCATCGCTCTACTTTCCGACAGTAAAAGAAACCTTTTCCCGCGAAAAAAATGCAAAAGACTAGGCTTTGTCCTGTATTAGGCTAATCAATCCTAAATTTAAGTTAATTTAGGTTCAACACACGAATCACAATAGTGATGGCGTCGATGGCGCGAGCTCCATGGCGCTTGGCGCCGCTGACGCGCATCAGTGAGCGCCAGGCGCTGCTCAAGACGGTACCAATGCGCAGCTGCAACACGCTGTTTGTGCCGCCTCCACAGTTGCCGTTCACAGGCTTCGAAGTGTTGTTTTTGGGCACTGGAGCAGGCTCTCCTTCAGTTCGACGCAACCCAACTGGAGTATGTCTACGTCTAGCGCGTAGTAACTGGATGTTCGACTGTGCTGAGGGCAGTCTACGTCAACTCATTAAGAGTGTCGTGCGCGTCCCACTGACCACGAAGTTTTTTGTATCGCATTTGCATGGAGATCACGTGTATGGACTTCCCGGGATTCTGTGCACACTGGACAACCACAACGCCGAGTACAAGGACCCACAGACGAAGGAGAAAGCACCGAGGCCAATTGATGTTTATGGGCCATTGGGATTATTTTCGTATTTGAACACGGCGTTCTCTACGAGTAGCACGTGGCTCGCGAACTTGAAGATAACCGTCCACGAGCTGGTATCTCCCGAGATGCTGAACAAGACGTCGAAGCATGAGAAATTCATGCGCAACGCACCGAAGCATCCTGTAAGTGTTGGTACGCTGAGGTACAGAGCATGAGATTGTAGAGCTGACGTGGCAATTGGAATATTTTGAATTCTAGAGTTTAAAGCGAAAATGGGTGCATGTGGAGTCGGATGGAAACGGGGATGTATGGAACGTCCTGGATGACGGAAAGGTTATCGTGAAGGCAGCGACGTTGAAGCACACAGTCACGAGTTTCGGGTATGGATCTTTTTTTAAGGTTGCTTACTTTTTCTCACAACTAGCTTTTTGGGATAGTTACGTCGTGGAGGAATATCCCGTTCCGGGGAAACTGGACTTAAATGCACTGCGCAAGCGAGGGCTGCCGCCTGGACCGAAGTATGGCACGCTCAAGCTCGGAGGGAGTGTTGAGCTGCCTAGTGGCGAAATTATTCACGCATCTGAGGTTTGTGGATAGCTTCGCTACAATTGTGTGTATTGTTGTTCGAAGCAGCTAACACTGTAAATGATAAAAAAAATCAGGTAACCGGACCAAAGGCTCGTGGGCGTAAGGTGGCCATCCTGGGTGATTCCGCAGACTCCTCACGGATGTTTGACATTGCACAGAACTGCGACGTGAGTTATGACCAAATTTCTCGGAGTGTAGTATATGCTAAAGGAATTGCTAACTCTGTGGTGATGGTGGGGTTCCTTCTGGGCAGGTGTTGGTTCATGAAGCAACGCTAAGTCATGACATGGTGAAACAGGTACGGGTCATTTGAACTATAACAATTCTTGAGCATTCACCTAACGACCCTAATCTAATGCCAATGATCACTGGTGCAGGCAGTACATCGTGGGCACTCTACAGCTCGCATGGCTGGGTACGCTGCAAAGAAGATGAACGCGACTTTGCTTGCGTTGACTCACTTTAGCCATCGCTTTCGACACTGGTCGGCTGATGCCAAGTCACGCTCAACACTCCATCTGGCGTTGGAGGCCCAGGGATCATTCGGGCGACGAGCTGTTGTTCCGGCATCAGACTTCCTACGCATTCCAATTCCCCGCCTACCCCACGAATAGAGTAGATTATTAGATAGAAGACCACATAGACATCGCCGACAGGACCCGTAATTCACCTGGAGTTTGACCACTCGGAATTTCGTAGGGCATGTACTCTCTGATCTAACACTCTTTACATCTTCGATTACGTGAAGGGAACGTGAAGTCCACTCGTAAAGCTATTCTTTGGGCTCGTGTAGCCCTTCTTGGCCACTTCTATTACCTTCACCACGTTAGTGGACGCCGAGATAGTGTCGTCTAATCCGTGAACCAATATGACTATTTCGCCACTCTGAATCAATCCCCGCTCCTTCGCGTACGCGATAGCTTTCAGCGTAAGATCCTCTATCCCTGCCATATACTCGACCAACAACGCTGTTACCCCTCTGCAGAGTTGAAAGTAACAAGTAATCACGTTAGAACAACTTCCTTTGAGACTTCCCAAAGCAGAATGACTTACCTAGAAACCCCAGAGAGCTGCCGTGCCGTTAACGTCGAGGATGTGACAGCCAATATATTGGCTTTAGGCCGGTATTTTGCCAGTAACTTCGTGCTGGAACCCGTGTCGGTGATCGAAATAATCAGTTTGACGCCCATGTCGAGAGAAATTTCAACAGCTGAACTGGCGACCGATTCGTACATGCTCACGTGCTTGCTGTTTGCTGCCCGGTGTAGTCGATATACCTCAGCATAGTCTAGCGCTTGCTCTGCTTCAACACATATCTTGGCCATGGTTTCAACTGCTTCTTTCGGGTACATGCCCTTGGCAGTTTCTGCTGATAACATCATAGCATCTGTTCCGTCCAACACTGCGTTCGCCACGTCGGTGCATTCAGCATTAGATGGAATTATCTTCTTCGTCATGGATTGCAGCATCTGTGTAGAGGTGACCACGGGTTTACCAGCGCGATTCGCCTTACCGATAATCATTTTCTGAGCCAAAAACACTCGTTCAGGTGATAACTCCATACCGAGATCGCCACGGCTCACATGAATGCCATCAGCCTCAGCAATAATCTCGTCAATATTCTGTAGCGCCTCTTGACTTTCAATCTTTGCATGCACGCGTATGTGACGACCTGCTTCACCGAGACACTCACGGATCGCTCGAACATTGGCAGCTGAGCGCACAAAAGATCCCGAAACGATGTCCACTCCATTGGGGATTGCAAAGTTTAGCAGATCATCCTCGTCCTTCTCAGTGATGCCCGGTATCTGAATAGCAGCACCTGCGCATACACAAGGGAGTATCTCTCAGCTCAAGGTCACCATGGAGAAGCACTGTTGCATCACATGAAGCCGACAAACCTGGTAGATTCATGTTCTTCTTCTCCTCGAGGATATGGTCATTGTGTACACGAACGATGATAGACTCGGGCAAACACTCCTGTACTGTCATCACTAGGCTTCCATCATCGCACAAAATCTTGGAGCCCACCGACACAGAAGTTGGCAACTGCTCATATGTACAGGCAATGCGTGAACTGTCACCTTCTATACCATAATCTGTAGTGATCTCTAGCGTTTGTCCAGCCTATTACCGCAACATCAGACATTCATTAGCTGCAATTCCGGGTTCAACCCATCGCTAGATCACAGCGCACCTTCAGCTGGACAGGTTTGTGTTCTTTCAGGAAGCCACTGCGGATCTCCGGGCCCTTGGTATCTAGCAAAACAGCGCAATGGCAGCCAGCTCGCGCAGCCATCGCCTCTCGCAAATTCGATAGACTTCTCTTGTGCAGTTCATGGTCTCCATGGGAGAAATTCAGCCTCGCCACATTCATGCCAGCATCCAGAAGTTGTCCTACCATACGCAAAACCCACAGCATTAGCTTCTTATAATCCTACTGCGTTCAAACCACTATGATTCTCATACCCAGCATGTCCACAGACCACGACGCCGGGCCAATGGCGCAAATAATCTTCGTTTTGCGTGCACGGGCAGTCGTTGGCGTCAAGATCTGCTTGATTTCAATACCCACGTGGAATTTCTGCATCATTTCATCAACAACAACTATCGATTAATCATTCCCACCAGCCAATCCACGAGCAGCTCCGTTAACGGAGACCTTCTTACCGCAGGCTTGCGCGCGATGGATGAAGAGTCGTGTTTGAACACATCATCGAATTCCTGCGACAGCGAGCGGTAGCGGTGCCAACTACCAAGCTGCACGGGTGGGAAGCCACTTACACGCAGCTGGTCATAGGCAGCGGACGGCACATCGTCCTTAGACCAGCGTCGCAGACGCGTCAGCGTTCCCGTGCGCGGATTCCTGCCAACGGCGTGGCGCTCGCTTGCACTGCGACGCATTGGCGACAGGAGACTGCGACGCTATGAGCCAGCCACCAGGTCCGACTTGTGCCTTCCAGCTGAATGATTCGATAATGCGTTGCACGTTGCATTTCTTTTAGCTGCATCTTCAACCCTATAATTATGAAAATGGTGCGAAACCCTAATATGTACATAACCCGACCCACAGGTAGAGGTTGTTGAACGGACGTGGGTAGATCATCAAGAGGTCGCTGGAATTGAGCTGCTCGTGGGCACCGAAGATTGCAGTTGCTACCAGTATGAGCGAGACGACGGAAGGCAACAATCTTGCTGTAAATACGGCGAGGAAAGCGCCGCCATCGCTGCTGAAGACGCTGCTGAGCAAGGGGCATAGCGCCAATGACGCTTTGACGCACGACGGGAACAACGCTTCGATTATTCTGGACGATAAGACATCACGCGAAACGCCGTGGACGCCCAAGAGTTTAGGGAGAGCGAAGACGGCCATTATATACAAGGTGGGTCGGCTAACTGCGATAAAGTGAGTGATATCGAGAGCCTGATGAGATATCTCCACTTGTGACAATGAACATCTGATCGAACGAGCAGCAAACGCTGAACGACACGTTGCTGGTACTGGAGCGCAATATGTTCTTCATCAGTGGCTGGGTGCCGTATTTTGTGTCGTTGCAAGAAGACAGTATCCTAATGTTTACGAGTCGAGAGCGGTGGGAGCAGGGCCTCAAACCCGACAAGGTATTTGAGAGCTTCGCCTTTGACATGTAGAGCTGCTAGCTACTACAGAGATGCATATTCTAACGACCGCTTTTGCATCTGCATGGTGATGTAGGTAATTGACTTGCACCATTTGATGCTGCTTGGCGACATGAAAGTTGATGTGATTGAAGGAAGCTCGTCGCTCCACGATCAAGACGGCAACTTGCGACTTTTCCGCCGCAAATTACTGGAAACAGACGAGCTGGATGAGGTAAGGCCCACTTTTGGTACTACTTTAAAAGTTCCAGCGGGAATGTCAGCTTACCACGTAAAAATATTGTTTTACAAGTGGCTGAATGAAGAGCTTCGACAGAGTTTAGTCGTCTCGTCGGGCAGTAAAGTGGATACTCTTGCAGTAAACAATCCAAATGCGAGTACACATTGCATCCTGGAGTTCGGTTCATACAACCAGAGCACGTTCGAGTTGTGGTCGAAGGCGATACGCCACATCCTGACGACGAAACGAGAGGCGCACGTCAACAGCTTACGAAGCAATCAGACTAGAGAAGACACAAATTCAAATTCAGTAGCCACTGATGGATTTGCAGCTTCGCAAAAGTGCTGGGTATCTCCGGGGCAAGATTCCAGGGTGACGCTACTTCAAAGTGAGATTTGGTGCAACCGCGTACTCTCCGGTGAGAAGGAAAAAGCCGAGTCTGAGTTCCGACGGATAGTAGCGATGGAGAAGTTAGTAGCACAAGTGACGCACCCGCAGATGGCTTTACTGGTCTACGAGAAGGTTAGTCGCGTGCACGAATTGTTCTCAGCCAACTGCAGGCGAGAAATTGAGAGGCTTGACGGACGAGAAACACCGATGCCAACGGAAACTCTCAATTTCTTCGCGGACCATCTCAAGCGAAAGTACTCTGTCTTCTTGATCCTTGCATTGGCCTACGGGGTCGAAGAGGAGGAAATTCGAGAGGCGCATGAGCGGATGTGTCAAGAAAATGCTGCCGTGAATGCTGGAGTCGGTGGCGGCATCGGTGAGCAGCAACGACCCGGTGCTTCCTACGGTTTCGAAGACCCAGAGAGCCTCGAGTTGTATGAGAAATACCGTGACGCCGCATTCAATTACCACAAAATGAACTACGGAGACACTGCTGCTGCTGAAGAGGAAGACGCCATCATGCATCTGCCTGTTATGCTTCAAGTTGCGATTGTTCGACATGACCACGAGGAGTCGACCGCAATGCTCTCCATTCTGAACACCGTCAAAGCTCGGCTATTGGAGCATTGCACTCAGGAGAATGATTCCTAGTGCTGTACTATCAGAGCGTCGGGTCATGGTGTGTACCATTTGCATGATACAAAATCAACTCACAATAAAAATGTAAGAATGAAGCTTCTCGTCTTCCATTGTTCACCGTCACATGCGTGTATCGTATCCCTCGTAGTTCAGCGGATCGCTTGCAAGAACATTATCAATGTGATCGTGAATCTGGTGTATCGACTGCCGAAAATTCGGCTCGTTGACATAGTACTTCACAAGTCCTTCCACGCCAATTTCCTCCGTTTCGGCTGCAGACACCTCAACAAGCGGGTCGACGCCTTAAAAATTATCGCACAAAACAGTACCAATCTGAATGCTAGGTCGTCGTGGTTTATCGAAAGCAACCAAAACGCACCCCAGGTCTCCATCATGACCCCGGCAGCCCGTAGCGTCTCCTCCTGGTCACGTAGACGAACTCTACAGCACGAAGAATACGAAGACCAGAATAAGCCTTAATTTCACTTCAGCACTCCAGTTTGTCCTGCCAGAATTACGTAAGAGCGTCGTTGTTGGCCATCACAACACGCAGCAACCTTCCTCGCACCCGTACGCTTTTAATACGGTCACGCGAGATGCTGAACACAGCCGCAGAGCTTGGTGACGACGAACCCGCAGTAATCGTCAAGCATAGACCGCTCACGGCCAAAGAAAAGCGTCGACGAAGTGCCTGGAGTCCGCGGCCCGCTCTTCGTTGCCGCACAAGTTGCACCTCGAACATGGCGGGCGAATACTGCGGACTCAGGACCATCACTCTGATGTTGAAGTTGATTGATCATCTTTGTGCCTCCCATCCGCATTCCGCCATTTGCAGCGTAGGACGAAGAAGCCTCCCGCATTGAGGAAGATGAAGGCCCCCACTGCGCTGCTTCGAAAGAAATGGTAAGCTTACTATGCTAGAACAAGACTGTTATGCAGTAGTCGTTTACTCGATAACATGAACAGGGACGCCATCGTGGTGGGCGGGGGACACAATGGACTCGTAGCTGCCGCGTATCTGGCAAAGGTGATCGACTCGCTTAGTCGGAGACGAGCCTCGTCGACACTAATACTTATTGCTGATCCTCTAGGCCGGAAAGAGCGTCTGCGTGCTGGAAAAGAGACACATTGTCGGCGGTGCGGCGGTGACCGAGGAAATCTTCCCTGGGTTTAAGTTCTCGCGGGCATCGTATGTGTTCTCGCTCTTCCGGCCGCAAATTATCAAGGATCTGGATCTGCATCGACACGGACTCGAGGGTGAGTCCATCGATGCACAAATACGAGTCTGATGAATTGCTTACGAAATTACGTGGCTATAGTTTTCGTTCGAGATCCGTCATCATTCACACCGACTCGTGGCGGCCGCAGCCTCATCCTCGGTAGTGATATGCAGCAAACTCAAGCAAGTATTGGTGAGATATTCCATTGCATTACTGTAATTCCTCTAGTTAAGCTGACGTTCTGGTATGGGCGTGTTGGTCGATGTAGCTCAATTTTCAACTGCAGACGCGAAAGCATACCCGGTGTACAGTAAGATGTTGGAGGTAATGTTGAAGTTGCAGCTGATGCTCACTAAGAAGATTCGCTTACACTACGTGTTGACTGGTGTGTAGGACATGGTGGATTTCTTCTTGCCAATGCTTGATGAGGTATTATCTTTTTTTTCAAAGAGCCTTTGAAATAGTACTCACGTTTTTAACTACTGTGTGGTTAGCCTCCTCCAGATCTCCACACTGCTTTTGACTCCAAGTCTTCTCTCAGGTTCTTAATCATACTTTTGATGACAATACTTGTCATGAAGATGATCTTACAGTGTGTTATTCACTGAATTAGCCGGCGTGTAGAAGCAGCAAAAGCTATGGCGCACTTAGGCTATCGCTGCGGCAAACTTGGAAGCGAGTTGACTACCTTTGCGGAATTTATGACGGCCCCCGCGACTAAGATCCTCGACAAATGGTTCGAGTCGGATGTGTTGAAAGCCACGCTCGCTACTGATGCCATTATAGGCGCGAAGGTGGGTGGCGTTCCCTTGTCTGTGTTTTGAACTTGTAACTATTGCTTCCGTTCTGAAGGTTTCTCCTTCGACTCCTGGATCCGCCTATATTCTCTTCCACCACGTCATGGGTGAAGTGAACGGTATCAAGGGTGCTTGGGGACATGTAAAAGGTGGAATGGGTGGAGTTTCCAAAGCTATCGAAAAAGCTGCAACTGAGGCCGGCGCCGAAATCCACGTTAGCAGTCCTGTCAAATCCATTAGTGTGCATGATGGGAAAGCGCGTGGAGTTTGTCTACAAAGCGGGGACGTGATCGAATCAGACTGTATTCTATCGAATGCGAGCCCAGTTACCACCGTGCTTGACTTGCTTGATCAGAACGATTTACCAGAGGAGGTAGTCAAGCATTTTAGGCGAAACTGGAACAGCGAGTCGGCTTCAACGAAGGTATGTCTAACCACCACTATTCCCACTGTAATTGCCTTGCTACAACATGGTGTTGTTTTTCCAGATCAATGTAGCGCTCGACAAACTACCAAACTTTTCGTGTTTCCCCAACGCGGGAGATGGAAATGTGCCGATGCCAAACCATTATGGCACTATTCATTTCGAGGACTCGCTGGACCAGGTATGATGTTACGCCGTGATAAATTAAGATGAACACTGCATTACCCGTGGGAATTGTAGATTGAGGACGCTTTCTTGGACGCCCAGCATGGAATTTGCTCGAAACGGCCTGTAATCGAGATGAACATCCCGACGTCGCTGGACCCAACTATTGCCCCTCCAGGTAAGACTGCAACGTCCACTTTCTTGAAATCTCAGTAAATTAGCGCCGACTACTGATATTCTCCCCCAGGAAAACACATCGCTCTTTTGTTCGTGCAGTACACGCCATACGAACCAAAGGTAACCAGCACTCGTTACGCACTCTGGTAGCGACAGGTATCCATCCATATTAACATTCGTGCGTTCTTTCGCCATCGCAGGATGGAACGTGGAGTGAACCGGGGAAAAAGGAACGATTCGCGAACCAAGTTTTCTCGGTAATCGACGAGTACGCACCGGGTTTCACGAAATCAATCATCGACTATGAGATACTCACGGTGCGTGTCTGCAGCCTAAACCTCAATTGCTACGTAGTACTCATTTTCGACGTCGTGTAGCCGCCTGATCTTGAGCAAGTGTTCTCGCTTCCGAGAGGGAATATTTTTCACGGTGCCATGGGCTTGGATCAGGTACAAACACTTGATGTTGTTTGAGTTCCAGGGTATCAAACCTAATGTCGATGTGGTTTGTCTCCACTAGCTCTTCTGGATGAGACCAATGCCTGGCTATTCGAGCTACCGGTCTCCAATCGAAGGTCTGTACTTCTGCTCCGCCGGCACGCATCCTGGAGGCGGCGTGATGGGAGCCTGTGGGCGTAATGCAGCCATGGTTTGCTTGAAAGACCAGAAGCTTCGCAAGTGAGGACCTCTTTGATTGCTTGAAAACAGGTAAACGCGTAGTCAAAAAATAATTTACCTTTAGTAGTGTTCTACGTGCATCTGCTGGTACAACTACGGCGCAGTTCTTTTGTTCAGTGGGTTCAGGCTTCACCTGCCAAGGTATGCACTTGGATGCTGCGCCGGCCCGTGAAAGCGGCGTCAAGCATCTCGTCTTCGTCCACAAGGAACGAGTTGGACGTGTCGCTCACGTAGCTGAATTTGCCAAACGAGTCGTAATCCATTTCCGATCTTGCTCGGCGGTGGCGAGTGTGGGGGTGCTTCCACGGGAAGATGATGCTGAAGAAGTTACCCGTGGAGGCAGTCTTGGAGGCCAGATACTTGTCAAAGTTGATGTCGGGGCTCTTCGTACGCTCCTCTTCCATGGACATGGGCGCCGGTACCCATGGAGGGGTGATCTTTTTGCGGAGAACCAAGTTCCATCGAACCTCATTGAAGAACGGGTGCGTCAGGATGTCGCTGGTCTGGCGAGCACCGAGACGCTTGTTCGGGTCCTTCTCCAGCAAGCCCAGAATCAGGCTACGAGCGTCCGGGTGGATGCCACACTTGGACGGGAACTTGACAGGCTCCTTCTCGATGAGCTTGTACAGCACCGACACGTTCAGGTGATGGAACGGGCGCTTTGCAAGCAACATCTCGTACAGCAGGATACCCAGACACCACCAGTCCACCGCCTTGCCGTAGTCACGAGAGCGCTTCGGCTTCAGTAATTCAGGGGCTGTGTACGCCGGAGAGCCAGCCATGGTGCGAGCCCCTGACATCTGGTTCACGTTGGTCTTCGAGAGACCGAAATCGACGAGCGCAACGTTGCCGTCAACGTCGAGCATGATGTTATCAGGCTTCAGATCACGGTACACAATATCGCAGGCGTGTAGGTGGGACAACGCCAACACGATCTGAGCAGCATAGAACTTCACGCGGTCCAGGTCGAGCGGGATCTTTACACGATGCTCCTTGTTGTTGGAGAAACGGTTCATGTGCGTGTACAGACTGCCACCAGGGTAGTAGTCCATGCCCAGGAACACACGAGACTGGCTCTGGAACGAGAAGCGTAGCGGCGCGATGAACGGGTGATGCACGTCACGCAGGATCCGCATCTCGGTCTTAGTGCGTAGCTTGTCGTAGTTGGACATGGAGCTCTTCTCCAGAATCTTAACTGCGAAGATCTCGCCTGTGTTTTTGCGTTCAGCCAGCACCACCGTGCCGAAGGTACCCTTACCCAGGACACGGTTCACGTGAAAGTGTTGGATCGATAGAGAGAGCACACGCTTCGACGTTGAGGCCTGGAACGCACGCTCCGCCTTGGCCGCCTTCCGTTCGGCGTCCGACATCTGAAACGCGGCGATATCGACTTCGATCTGCATCTGCAGGCTGAGTACGCGACCGCCGGGGCTCAGTTGAATCTCGTCGCGTGTAGTGAACGTGAACTCGCGCTTGAGGAACTTGTTCCAGATGGTTCCAGCAGCCAGCACCTGCAGCACGTTGGGCTGCTTGGTCGTCATGTAGCGGGACACTGCGAATCTCTTGAATAACACAAAGCGTGAGAAGCCCAACACCACGTCGACCAGACCTTCTCGGCCGTAAAACTTGGTGGAAGGTAGGAATTCGCACGGATAGCTGACCGACACGATCATCTCGGGCGAGCAGATGGGGAAGAGTGAAATGAGGTTTGCCGCTGAGTCGTCGACTCCCGTCTGCTCTAGGAATTGGGTCGTCCACATGGAGTAGAACTGTTTGACAGTTGCCAAGTTGCGTGCCTTCCAGTCTCCCGACGACCGGACAGTCTGTGACAGTATACTACTCGCCGAGAAGGGCAGGTTCCCACTGGCAGCGGGGTTCCATTGACTGGCACGTCCACTCTGGAGGTCCGAGTCGCGTCCATTTGACGCGCCACTGAAGCTCTGACCGGGTTTCTGGTTGCTGGCGTTCTGCACGGCCTGTTGCAGCATCTTGACCCAGATCTCGCACTCGATGCTTGAGCGCGTATACATGGCAAAGATCTTGTTAATAGTCGTCGTGATCAAAACGCCGTTAGAACGGTTGGGGTCTCGAGAGGCGCCCGTAACGGTGACGCGGCCGCGGAACTTCTCCGTGTCCATCTTGGCTACGTCCTTGCTTACGTAGTAGCTGAAGGTCGTACCCGAGAGCACAGCGTAGCGGTAGCGCCACGAGCGTACAACGTGGCCCTGCTTCCAGATGTAGCCTTCCCAGTCCGTCTCGAAGATATCCTCGAAGGCGCTGCTGAGGTCGGGCGACACGCTAAGTCGCGTGCGGTTGGGAGCGAAGCTGCCGGTGCCACTGCGCTCTGTCACGGACGAGTAGCTGGCCGAACCGTCAAAGTAATCCTCATTTTCTTGTCCGTATACTGTCATACTGGGGCGCAAGCTGTACGACTGCGCGCGCTTATCGAAGCGCCCGGGCCCTCGACTAGAGCCCAGCCTTATGCTGGAGCGCTCACGGAGCGCCATGGCGTCGGCGTCCTCGGCGGAGAATAGTGTGATCCGCTGTCGTTGCATCTCCAGAGGCGGAGGGGCGAAACAACTGGCGCTTTGTATGGGGAGCTCCGGCCGCTGTCGCTCGAACACACTCGATCGCGGAATGAAGGAATTTTCGGTCTCTGCCGAGGGGCAGAAACGTATGGGGCGTAGCCGGGCCGGGGCCTGGGGTGTCGCGTCGGGACGCAATCTTTCAGATACCTTGATATTGAGAATACTATGGTGATTGGAAAAGGAAACCGCCTCGCCATGAGACCGACCCCTAACAGTAGTTCTGACAATCTTTTTTTGTATTTAAAGATGTGGAATTTACATAAATGACCAAGATCGCAATAACGGCACCCACAGCCTCTACTGCCCCACGCTGAACGGGTGAGGAGAAACGGAAAACTAGTTCACACTGATGAACGCGCAGTGCCAACCGCACCGCTTCAAGAGCCTCTGCTTAGTGCTGGCACGGCACCACCGTCCGACCACAGAAATTGCAAATAGCCGGCGACTGACGTGGGCGCTCAAAATCCGCCGCGAGCGGACTATGCACACTGGGATCTTACCTTACAACCGAGCTGCAGCGATACAAGAAAAGGCAGCACGATGGGGCGGCATGCTCGCGTTCCACGCCACGCAAGACTCCACCACAAACACTTGACACTCGGGTTAATCCATTGTTCAGAAGCAGATGACCAGGTCGTCACCAACGACGCCACTTTGCAGTGGTGGCAGCCTAAATCCTCCATCCGTGGCTGTTCAGCTGCTTGCGGAGACAATCCGAGCTCCATGTGCTACCTGGATCAGGTCGACATTTGGTGGCATATGGCAAGGCTTTCAACAACGAGAACCTTGTTGACCAAGCAGAGTTTGGACGGCAAACCTTCGGTGGGGCAGCTTTCCTCCGGCAGAAAGCCGCCGCTGCTGGCCTCAAAATATTATGAAAAGAGAGAAGTTATCGCGGCATCGCTCAGATTGCTCTTGCATTTCTGTAAACTATGCACTTCGGTGGAGCGATCTCGAGCACTGGTTGTATGGGTACGGTGTATCATCAACCAGAACAGTAACTACGACAATGCTAGCTACAACTTGTAGATGTACCAAGTTGTAGACTACAACAAACACAACAAGATGCGGCATACTTACTGCTTTTCTCATCAGAAGAATGAAGAATCCAAGAGCTACGTTCTTCGAGCAGTACAAGCTGGATATCTTCAATATAACCATTGAGGCTTTGGCTTCTACAGTTTCTTTTAGCCTAAAGTTCTAAGATACATTTACGGCCTGTGGTAAAATTCAGGTGCCTCGAATGGGCAAGTTCTGACTGGCGAGTAGGGTTGTTTTGTAGCTTTTTATTCGTTTTTAGCTAAATGCGTACTTAACGGAACAAAGTTAATAACCGTTAAAAACAGCACACACAAGGGAAAATGGAACAGGCTGTTTTCGTAATTTTCTACTTCTTTGCGTAGGAATCCTACTAGGATCAGCTTTAGGATCAGTACGCAAAGCAGTTCACTTCAACGATTCGGCCTCTCACCAGACGTGAGCCTAGCTCGCTTTCGCTCAGAATTGCTTGCATTTATTAAAATGAAGAAGAATTGGACTACCGAGCAAAGAGAAGAAGCCAGTATGGACACTCCATTAGAGTGGTGGACCCTCGATACTAGCTTCCCTGTCCTTCACAATTTCGCTGAGAAGATGCTGAGTATTCCAACGTCGTCTGCTGCTAGCGAGCGCCTGTGGAGTGTTCATGGATTTACACACAGCAAGCGCCGCAATCGGCTCAAAGTCTCAACAGTAGAAAAGTTGTCGTTCATCTACATCAACAACGGCGATTCACGGCCGACTCGGTCACCTCTGTATAAAACATCTCCGGCAACGCCCAATGTTGCCTTCGACAGTGACATCGACAGCGATAGAGATCCAGACAATGAAGATGATGATTATTGCATGTTCGATTTGAGCGAGCGCGAGTTTGACTACCTTCTCGACGCGATCGTTAGTGTCGACATATCTCAGTAACTGCAAGTCCGCCAAGAGGAAATGGTGGATATGGTCGTGTGTACCGCGGTATAGCACGCCATGGCGTTCCTGTAACACTAACACTCACAAATTTGCTGCTGACCATGATCTCAATAAACTGATGCGTTTTTCATTTTGTGAATACTTCTCTGCTAGCCTCCGTTACTCGTCCGCCATGCGTGACGCCGTCGAGATTGAGCTCACTCAGCAGGTTGTTGTATCGCGCCATCGAACGCTGAAATAAATAATCCAGACTGGTTGTCCGCTTATATCGAGAACGTCTGCAAGTTCTTGGCCGGCACCGACATGTTACACGCGATCAGCTTCGACGTGACTCAATCGACTGTCTCCATACTTAGCATAGCGGCGTCGCATTTGCAGTAGCAGTACCTGCAGCTTCTCTGACGAGTTGTTGCCGCTTAGAACGGCAAACTACCGTAGATCACAGCCGCGTAGCTGTTGATGGACTTGATGGGCTCCATATCGTTGAAAAAGTACGACAGCAGCGGCTGCACCTTGGGGTACGGGTGGAGCCGCCCACCAGGACAACCCCGTGCACCTCGCTCTTGGACAGCTTGGCGTCGCGGAACAACTTTTCCAAGGGGTCCATCACCTTTGGAAGTAGTTACCGCACATGTCCTCAAAACGATCAAGCGTGGTGGTTGAGTTGAAGCCCGTGCTGTCGAACAGAGAGTAGATCTCGATGCAACCTGGCCGACGACGACGCCGTAATACGCTCGCAGGCAGCCCGCAAACAATGAAGAGCATACTGATTCTCCGTCAGCTCGTTGATGATATGTAGAACTTTTAGGCCAGCGATGGCGCCGGCATCCTTGGTGGCTCGATGGTGCGAGCCATTGAGATAGCGTCCTCGGATCCCTTGGTGATGAAGGCCTCAACCACCTCGCCCAGCTCCATGGACGAGATCTCCTCGAGGTTGAACGTCTTGCTCTCACCCTTGACCTGCATTGTGATCAATGGCTTGTTCCCCCGTCACCAGAGTGACGGTTAGTGCGTGGTGTAGGCCGGTAGTGTCTTACATTGCACAGTCCTCTGGGCAGCACGGCTCTGGGCTAGTGCGTGCGTTGAGTTGTAAATAAAGAATAGTGTAGTGCACAATGTGTGGCCCACACAGGGGCATTTTGCTCCTTTTTATTATTAATAACTGCTATCTAATCGGTTAATAGACGTTAAGTACCCTACAAATCCTAAAAACCTCCTAAAAAACAACACTACTGGCGAGCCACAACCGTCGTCCTCGTCTCCTATCTTCGCTCTGTCCTTTTCAGAGGGAAAGAAAGCAATGTTGCATCGCCGCGATGACCAGCGCTCCAAGTTGTGACACAGCTGATGAGTCGTGGCGGTGCCATGCCACGACTGTCCCAAAAGATCGGAAGGACACGCGGAGCTTGGGATTTGGGAAGATGGTGTCGTCCTTATGTACTTACAGTCATCCTTGCTCCCGTTCCAATCAGTTCCATAGCACAACAACTCGGAGTCGGAATCCCTTCAACTTGACTCAACATGGAGGCACTCGCATACACACGACGGAAAACTTCAACAAAAGTGTGCTCGTCGTGCATGCTCAACCGAGTTTCCAGTGCTCTATTCTATTTTACTCCACGGGTATGCAGCTACTAGCTATACGCCGGGAGGCATCGTATTCGGTTTGGCAGTAAGCACTAAACGACGAAGAATCTCCTCGAGCTTATGATCCAATTCGTTCATCCTCGTCTCCATCTTCTGCTCGACTACTCGCAACTGCACCTCTAGTTGCTGCAATTGGAGTGGGGAAGGACGTGTCGAGGCATTGGTGACTAAAGCACGTTGCGATCTTCGATCGGTTAGCCCCAACACTCCAACGATGGATCTTGTGGCCCCCGACGTTGGAGCATCCGATACCGACTCTATCTTCTTCTCGTCGACGCTGTCTTCCGTTATTGCACCAAGCGGGGACTTGTCTGAATTGGCGTCTATTGTGGAGTTAATGGTGTCCGTGGAGGTCACAGCAGCAGCCGCAGCGGAAGCAGCTGCAACGATTCCTGGATCTCCTCGAATTTCGACTGGTGTAAGATTTCCAGTCGAGCTGAGAATATTCGACAACCGTGGACGGAACGTCGCCAGAGCACGCGTTTTGTTGCGAAACTTATCCATATTCTTGTAGGTCTGGATAGTTTTCTTCATTTTGGCATCGGCAAGTGCCGTCATCTTCTCCATGCGCTCGGGTCCATCGTCTTTCCACATTTCACCAACACGTTTCACGATAAGCTTTTTCATAGCGGTTGCGAACTCAGGGAACTCAACCAGGATTTTGTCAAAACCTTCTCGAGCAAGAACACAGAGCTCAGCCATGCATTCGGCTTTGACGCTGCGAGTTCGCTCAACTTCCATGACCACGCCGATCTCACCGAAAAAATCGCCTTCGCTAAGCAATATAATCGTCTCAGCTTCCGGTTTCTTGCAGCCATTTGGAGGCAGTACACGTACGATTCCTTTGACGATCATGAACAATTCCTTTCCAATTTCACCTTCTTGGATAATGAAATCGTCGGGCATATAGATGACCTGGTGCAGCTGCATGCAGATCATACCCAGTATAGCGTCGGTGGCTAATTGAAAGAACGGGATCTTTAGGAGGTTGTCTTTGAACAGGTAAATTGCAATTTGTCGCCGCAGTGTCAATGACATGCCCGGGTCATGCAGCAGACTTAGTTGCTCGGACAAAGCTCGATTCTGAGTCGTAGTGGAGAAAGAATATTAGTGCAAAAGCCAACACATCTCAGGCTTTAAGCTCAAGACGAACATTTAGCCACAGGTAATCGTAATACGCTGTCACTCGAGCCTGTGCACAAGCATCGTCAGTGAAACAACCCCAGCAAATGTGAGTTTTGGAGATAATTCGTACTCGTAATTTTTTAGGCAGACTCAGCGCATCCATCTCGTGCGTGACGTGATCCATTTTCTTCCGGAACGCGTTCTCAGCTCTGTTCCAGCTACATCGTTGCAAGGATATTTCACATGATTAGTACGGCAGTGATAAACGCCTCAACTTTAGCAAGAATACCTCTGAACTAGACCGATGATAGTTCCGAAGATAATAGCTGTCAAGATGACGCCGTAAACTGATACTGCACTGGACCAAAGGTAGATTGCGCTATTCAAGTCATCACTAGCGATATGGGTATATCCACCGCTTAAAAATCGATCGCTGGCTTCAACATGAGTAGCAGAAACGCCCAGCATGGACACTATTCCATGATGAAAGGCGACCCAATAGACATCCATCTCACCACCGTCTTGGCAGTGCGGCCGAGTGGCCTCAATAATGTCTGCGCACGGTTTCAGTATGGCCACCCATAAACAGCCTGCTACATGAGCAGAGAATATCATTGCGTTGAGCGAGATTATGAGGCTCGAGTATCGCTTGTACCGCTTCAGATATTTGACAAATCGCCCCAAACGAAGTAACCGTGGTAATTTGATGTACTTGATCATTTTGATGGTTTTCCTGGTTGACATGCTGGTTGTAGTATCCTTAACGAAATATTCGAAAGGGATCGAGGAGGCTAGATCAATAGGAAACCAGACGGAACGAATATAGGCTTGTCGAATTTTCCGTGGGTTCATTACCACAGTACCATACTCAATGTACCCAGTCCGAAATCGCAGCGCGATGTCGAGAAACCCCCATACATCCAGCACTTTCATGAAAGTTTTAGTTCTTTTGGACGGCTCATACCAATCGAAACACAACATGAACGGGATGATCCACGAGTAGTAAACGACGACAACTGCGCTAAGTAAGTCCCAAAAGGCCTTGAAGGGAGACTGCGGATGTAGTACCCAACGGTAGCTCATTCGGTCATGCAGTTCAAACAACGATGTTCGCAGTACGTTAATGGTCGCATTTTCCGACGCCATTCTCAGCAGACTGCCTGTTGAGCGAGCCCATGTATTGGTTCGTCGTAGCACGTTAGGATGCTGCGGGGTGGTTTGAGTGTATGGCGTACTACTTGCATTTCTGCTCAACCGATTGAGAAATTTTGCATTGTTCGGGCTAGGCGGAGTCGCATCAGGATCCTGTGCTGCGGGGATCACCAGATCAGGTTTTCCTTTCTCGACACCCGCTTCTAGGTTTGTAACCGCATCATCTGCATCTGTGGTCGCTGGTAAGACGAGGGGTTTGATCGGCATACGTCGGACCATGGTGGGCTATCAGCCTTCCTAGTGGTGCACGGTAAATGAAGATGGCACTGTACACAATTAGCCATTGGCACGCAGAAATACGACTCTGAAACCCCCAAGTTGAAGTTGGTCCTAAACTAGGCATTTTACATTTAGGACAACAACAGAATCCCTATTTTGAATTTAGCCTAATCGAAAATTTTAGGCATACAGTTTCGTGATTTCGAAGATGTCGCTCGGGTTCCTGACCGAGTCGGCGCTAGTGCCGTCCAAGGCCAAAGAGATCAAGGTTGACGCCAAGTCTCTCGTGGATCTTAAAGCTGTTGTCTTTCGGAAGGATCAGGAGCGAAAACGCCGGCTGAAAGATGCCTTGACAGCCGAGAACAACGACGCAACTTCTGCTCTCCGTTTAGGTAAATATGCACATTTGAGAGGCGGCAAGCGCCGCAAGCGCTCGGACGAAGACCGCGTGGGTAAAAATCACCGCAACAAAGGAGTGGAAGCTCGCAATCGACGCGACGAGGAGGCAAAGGCGAGAGAAGCTCCAGACGAAGACGACGATGAGGCATGGAGCAAAAAGTCGGCCGAAATGCTACGGAAGAAGGCAAAACTTTACGATGAGATGGCCAATGGAGGAGGCAGAGACCACCTAAAAGGAGAGTGTCTGGTGGACTTTGACGCCAAGAAGAATATGACTGAGGCGTCGAACTTTGAGGACAAGACGATGGTGGAGATCACGGACGAGTTCGGACGCACAAGAAAAGTCGAGACGGACAGTGAGGAGTACGCTGCTTTCTTGGAGACGCAGCAGTACAACAGAGAAGAGCCTGAGAGGCAGCGTGCTGAAACTAAAGACAAGGACGGAGGTCATGCTGAAGGCGGCAGCTTTGTGGTTTCGCAGTGGGAAAAGCGCTTGAAAAGCTCGGAGAAACTTCATTTGAAGGAAGTGCACGAGAGAGCTACGCTTGCGCACTCTGCTTCATCAGGAGCAGTGAACAAGAAGACGAGGAAGCAACTGCGTCTGGAACGCCTTCGCAAACAGCGAGAGGAAGCAACGGAGGCGAGTGAAAACATTGCATCTACAAGTACTGCGGTTGATTCTGCAGCGTCTGAGAAGGCGACGAACTTCTTGAATCAGCTTTCTTCGTTGATGTAAAATACAGAAAAGATCTTAGTGGTTCTAGGTCTATTACTCTACGTGCACATATTCACAAACAATTGGCATGAGGTGACCGCGACACTACAGAATACCAGTAGTACATACTGTACTTGATGCCCTGTTGGGTGTACTGCTGCTGTCCGCAGGTTTAAGCCTCGATGGATCAGCCTCGCGGATCATGGCACGAGCCAGCGCCATCATCGGGTCAATGAGAAGGCAACCGGCAAAGTGGGTCTTGCCAGCGAATATAAATGGGATTTCGGTACAGCCCAAGATAATAACTTCAGCTCCCTGTTCTCGTAAATGCAGCGTATAGCGATGGAAATTGGCCTCGGAACGCGAAGACACTGCAGGGGCAGTACTCTTCACTCCCCACTCGCGGTTATAAATTGATTCATGTAGCTCTTGTTGCATCGCTCCAGCATGCACTTCCAGCACTGTGTACCCACGCGGCTCCAATAAATCATGATACACCCGCGAATTGCGTGTTCCCGTAGTAGACATTAGTCCAACGCGTTTGCATGATGGTAACTTGCTTGCAATGAATGCTACCGTCTCTTCTAACATGTGCACATGATGTACACAGCTCGCATTCCTTGTTCGTCGTATGAACTCATCCCAAATTGGCTGTGCATGGAACGTATTACACGGTACGCCTACGACCAACCGAGCACGGCCAGCAGCGGCTGCGGCGTGCATCATAGCGAACGTACGCGCCATGCCGCACGCTGGGTTCTCCACTTCCTTCACATAATTGCAAGACATATCCCCGTTTGTAGACCCGCTGTCTGAATCGGAATCAGTTGCATCAAAGCTGGAGTTCGCAGCGTAGACAAGGTACTCGGTACGGTCGGTCATGTCCTCGGAGCGTGAGAAGTGACAAACGTTCAGATGACCCTGGTCCTCTCCAGTACTGTCGGTGTTCTGCAGTATGAGCTGGTGCAACAGCAACCCAGCAGCGGGGCCCACTCCACCGCAGATGCCCAGCATCACCTCTTTGGGCTTCTTGGTCTTGATCTTTCTCACCTTCAACACCACGGGCAATTCCATTGCCGGAGCTGGCGGTGCAGACTCGCAGTCGTCGTGCGCAGGACACACCATGGGCTTTATTGACTCGCTTACTCCGAGGCAGCTCGCTGATGCGCTCGGCAGCGCAGGTTCATTCCACCTCCGACTTCTGAAGACGACTGAAGACGACAGCGATGATGATTGGCTGATGGAAATCCTCAGATCTGAGAATGCAATCCACGACTCATCGTCGCATAGGAAGCGGTTTTGGTTGAACCAAACTCACACGCCAAACTTTAGTGCAGTTTGTCATTGGCACCACGTCTCTCGTCCACTTCAGCTTGGGTAACCACAAAATCCAGGGACCATTTCCATGATACTACATGTAGTAGATCCTGGAGGCACGATGCAGGGCATAAGTGTTTGTTTGACGTTCTCTATGGAGAGCAAGCTTGATCCTGGAGTTTCGAGGTCACGTGTTAACGCGAGATGGGCAGAACGTTGAAGTTGGCGGTCTACTAGCTAAAAATGTTTTGATGAATAGCTCGTGAGCTCGCGAGTCGCGAACACCACAGCAAAACAAGGTTACGATACAAGTACTTTGACACGCATAACACGGAGTTGTATGCAACCGTGGACCACGTTGCAGCATCATAGTTTCAATTCGAATTTCATCCAATAGTAGATACGTGAAACTCCCGAGATAAACGGGATTGGCTGAAAAGCATCCGCCTTATGTATCCATCTGATGAAATCTGAGAAATGCGTGCACAAATACGTACACATGGTCACTTTCTCATTTGCCCGCTGCAAGCCGGTCGCCATTGCATAAGTCGAGCTACCTAGCAGCTCCATTTCCACCTCTCGATATTCCAGTTACTTCGTACGCCACAACCGTGAACTGAGGAAGAGTTCCCACGCTGCTTCAACTCTTGGCTCCCGTCTCAGACAACAATGCAGGCACCCGTGACACCTCCGATCTCCTCATCGTCGGTGGCAGTCGAACCGCAATTGAAACTAGAGCTGCCACGCACTGATAGTGAGCGCACGATACAGCTGGTATTACAGCCCAAGGCTGTGTGGAAGGACTCGGAGCGCATTGCACAGTTCATAGCGAATGCAACCAGCGCCGTAATGGTAGTATCCATTGCCAGCTACTACCTGGTACCAATGGCTGCAATGGCGATGGTAGAGACCCCGCGTTTTGCTACTCAAATCCACGCCGCGCAGTGTGGACAGCCGGAAACGCCTTCATCGTGCTCACGGATGGATGGAAGGCCATGCAGAAACTCGACATCAAGCCATCCAGTTCATTCATCTCGATTTTGCAGGCCATGTACAATAGTCCCCAAGTCACCGCAGCATTCACATTGACGATCGCGTGTTTGATACTTATCCGCAAGTACAAAGTCATCGGCTGGTTTCTGTATCTCCAGGCAGGTGTGACGCTGCAGTGGGGTATTGCACTGTATCAATTGGCTCGCATTCTCTTCTCCATGTCGTGCTATTTCATGGTCAAATTCACCAAGATCGTGCTGGCTCTTCTTAGAAGCGGATACGCCGGTATCTTTGGAGTACGCAACCGCCAGGCTTTGGCACTGCGACAGCTTATGAAGGCGGCACCGACGCACGCAGTTTGGGTGGAAATGGCTGAATATCTTGACACTTTGGAAGGCAATGATCAATGGAAGACAACGATCTCAGACGAAGATTTAGAGTACTGTGACTTCGTTCAGCTACAAAAGAACTTGACTTCTCTTCGACGTGTTTTAAGTGAAGACCGGCCGAATATCCGAGAGCTTCGGTACATGATGGCAGCTTGTGTTATGCGCAACGAGTTGGGTGTGGACTCGCCGGGTCTGCACCTTGAGTGCAAGTCTGGCACCAAGACTGTGATTAACGAGTACAACGACGCCGTTGTGCAAGCGCTAGAAGCTCTGGGCAATGCAAGTGACGAAGAATTCCCGCGCGAGGAAAAAATTCAGTTCTTCAAGCATATTAAGCAGTCGTTCGGTTCAACAGCGTTGTGTTTGAGTGGCGGCGGCTCCATCGCCATGTACCATAAAGGTATTATCAAAGCTTTACTCGAAGCTGATGTAATGCCGAACATCGTGTCGGGATCGTCTGGTGGTGCTATCACGGCTGCAATGATTGCCTGCAAGACAAACAAGGAGCTGCTTGACGACATCATTCAGGACGACGTCTCCACTCGATTCATCCCTTTGGGTATTCGTTGGTTCCCACCTCTGCTAGAACAGATCACACATTGCATCAAGACCGGATTCCTGGTCGAGTGTTCGACTTTTGAACGCACTACGCAGCACTACTATGGTGAACCGTTGAACGAGGTGCAGAAGACAATGTATTACACGTTCCAGGACGCCTACCTCAAGACAGGTCGTCACGTGTGCATCACTGTCTCAGCCTCGGATGTCAATAGTGCACACAAAGGTCCCAAGAAGTTACTATTAGACCACATTAACTCACCTCATGTCTTGCTCTGGAGTGCAGTGGCGTGTTCGTGCTCACTTCCTGGAATTATGAAGAGCAAACAGCTCATGGCGCGTGATTTCGACGGCAACGTTGTTCCGTACAACTCGCTGGGTAAGGAATGGTGTGACGGAAGTATTCAGCATGACCTGCCCATGGAAACGATGGCGAGCTGCTTCAATGTGACAAACTTCATCGTGTCACAAGTGAACCCGCACGTTGTGCCTTTCGTAGGCGATGAGATCAACCAGCCTGGTTTCCGCAAAAGCATTTTCCACACTCTTGAAAGCGTGATCGCCGCTGATGTGCGCCATCGCCTGAAAATGCTGGCTTTCCTTGGTCTCTTTCCAAAGATCTACGGCCACCAATTCAGCGCGTACTTCCGGCAGAATTTTTCTGGTAATGTAACCCTCGTCCCCGAGTTTTCGTTCCAAGAAGCGATCGGCATCAAGGCTATCCAGAACCCGAGTAAGCAGGACATGCACGACTACATCGAAGGCGGACAACGCACTGCGTGGCCGAAGCTGGCCTACATCCGCCATCTCTGCAGCATCGAAAAATGTCTAGATCGCCAGCTCAACCGCTTGCTGGGACCGTCTGTTGCTCCGTACAACAACTGGCTGCATCCAGACTCCAAAGAGCTCAAGTCGAGTCAGCAAGAGAATAGTGTACTAGGAACCCTAGTATATAGTTTAACGCAATAGATTCTTACGTAGGTAGACAAGTAAATCGACAGCGTACATGTAAAAGAACGCATTTTGCCATTTGCTATGGATGGCATTCAGACGAAAAAAAAAACCATCAAATTTTTAATCCAAATTCAGACAGAATCTTGACTTAGAAGTTTTGACACCAAAACAAGTACTTTGTTTAGAAAAGTGCGCATTGGTTTCGGCCCACTTTTTTTATTATGGTGGACCATAAGCTACAGTATGAGCAGTCAAGGCAAGAACTTTTTTTCAGAAAAAAAGTGCTTTATGACTTTTCATCATCGTACTTTATCGGATATTCTGCATCACCGGAATGAACGGACGGTTCTCATTGGCTGATCGTCAGATGAGTCGTTGGAGAACAACGACCTACGAACAGTCGCAATCAGCGGATACGAGAGAACGAAGGCATTTAGGGACTTTGCCATGCCACAGACTTCTTTAGCAATGGACCCAAGCCTTGACGAACCCGTTAAGGAAGCGTGCAAAGTTGCAGCACGGATGGACTTGGCGCAGCTGGTGGAGACGCTGGAGCGCGAATTAGAGCGTGACCCCCAACTCGCTATTAAGCACAAGCCTAAAATCCAGCAACTGCTCGAGTACGGAACAAATAGTTTGCTGTACCGACGATTCGGAACCTTATTTTGATGGTGCACCCGCGTGTTGTGATTGTAGGGACTTCCCAGTCAACATGGAGGAGCTGCAGCGCTTTGCGCACTTCGATCCGTCGCGAAACTACACGCGCAACCTCATCTCGACAGACAACGAGACGTATGCGCTCATGCTACTGTGCTGGAATCCTGGCAAGTATAGCCCCGTGCACGACCACCCCACTGACGGTTGCTGGGTGAAGATAATTCAAGGTCATGTGAACGAAGTGCGCTACGAAAAGCAAAATGGCAAACTCGTCGAGACTTCCAACGTGGTATTCACATCAGGCGTCACTTACATGGACGACTCGTTTGGATTGCACAAGGTAGGCAACCCGCACCCGGAGATCAACGCCATTTCGATGCACCTATACTCTCCTCCGTACGAGAAGTGCAGTGTCTGGTTCGACACCGAGAACGCCGACAAGTCCTCGGTGTCTGTAGCAAACTACTACACAGAGTACGGCGACAAGGTCGAGTACTCTTAAGTCAAGCAAACCAAGTCAGAGGAAAGCATCATGGCACATATATTCTATATTACGTCTATGTTCTACTAAGAAGCATTCTCTTTCAGCGTCTTGCTCTTGTGTGAATCTGTTGACAGCGTCTCAAGAACAGTGCCCTCGGCGTGTTCAATACGGCCTTTCCACATAGCAATATTGTTGCGCAACTCGGAGATTACAGTGTCGTATTCGTCGATAGAGAAGACTTGGCCGGCTGTCTCAAACAACGGTGTGGCCACCAACGTGAGGAATGTAACCTGGCTGCGAGGTAAATTGGCTTGTTTGCGATCACACAGCGGTGATATCGGCAAATGGTTGCGCTCCTCGGTTTCACCCTGCCGAAAGAATTCCTCGGATATTCGCTCGGCCCACGTTTCGTGGTATCCGAACGGTTTTGCTGTGTGCCCAAGATCTGCAAGCATTAACATCGTCTCCATCAACAGCGAGAGTTCGAGTCCCTGTGCCTGTTCTGGCATTGCAAACGTCTTGGTCTTGAGCACTGATATGCGCTGGAAATGTCGTGCTAGATCTGTTGCTAGGATCATACCAATGATGATCTTACGACATTCGGCTCGCTCCGCTGCTTCCATGTTACTAAAGACATCGAATGCATCATGGGACAAGATGCGGTACAGTTCCGCAATGTGCATGCGTTCCAGGACCGAGTCATCGCTATATGTGATGGCCAAGTTGGATTTCGTGGCAATGAGGAATCCGTTTGACACTCCTGGATGCGAAATATCGTGCGATGCTGCGGCTACAAGTCCAACTAGCAGTGTACTATCATCGACATTTAAATGTACACGCCGCAGGTAAAAGTTGATATCGGCGACAACCGCGGCAGCATGTCTGGAATCAGTCAAACGTGAAAAGATAGTCTTGTTAGTAAACCATGTTTTGTATGGCACAAGTTCGGACTTACACTCGATTGTGGTACGGATTTCGGTTCATATATCGCTCTTCCACTGCAGCTGCAAAACATACGAGCTTCTTCTCGTCCAGGTCGAGTCGTTCGATCAAGCCATTGGTCTTCACACATGCTACAAACACTGCTTGAAGCGGTGCAAGACAGTGTTGCTCGAGGTAGAAGATGTCGACGAAGAAATGGTTTTGAAGTCGATCCATGAGCCAGTTAGAGAGATCTTCCTCTCGCGGTCGGATCGCTGCTCCAAAAGCTTCATCTCGATTACTGTAGCTGCGTAACAAGTGGTTTAGACCATCATCGTTAGCAGGATAGTTTTCGATTGTGGCTTTTTTAGTACTTAAACGCCGAGAGGTCGATACGCGGAGGATATCGTTAGACAAGGAATAATGACGAGAGCGACGACCATCACTGCCTGGTTTAGTCGCGGATCCAAGATCGTCTCCTGATTGTGCTGGGTGATCCTTAAAGTCCATCATGTGTAGCCAGCCTTGAACTTCTTCTTCAAATTCAGGCATTGTCGAGCTGAGCGTGACTTCGAAGAGGTCATGATTCCGAACCAGTGCCGTGATAATCTTGTCGATATCTAGCTTCTCGGTGGCGCTCATCTTGACCTTGATTTGACACAGAATCCGTAGGATGTCGCCCATTTCGTAGTGTAGCTCATAGTTTAACTTACCAGAGAGTTCTTCTTTCATTTCAAGGTTGGCGCTACTAAGACGACGTGCTTCTGTTACGAGGTGGAAAGAAGTAAGGAATTCACGTCGTGTACTGCGCTCCTGTTCTCGTACAATACGAAGCAGGAAGCCCAATAAGAACAGAAATCCTGCCAGGATTGCTATTCTTCTGTTGAGCACCACGCTTGTTGTTTCGTGAACTCCTGTCGCCACGATCGCAATCAATGAGAGCTCAGTCACCACAATGATGCAGTACGTAAACTGTAGTCGCAGTAAACACGTGCACACACAGGCTCCAAATAACTCGAGAAAGAGCAAGCCATCCAAAAAACCCTCACCAAGCAGTACGGACGTAAGCCTTACATCGTCGATATCTACCACAGAGAGCTGCTCCGCCAAGCGAGCCTGTTTCTCGATTCCAGCAAAGACTACCAAGAACAATGGAGCGATAATACAGTGGAAAAAGAACAGCAGAACAAGCTGCACGGGGTCTAGTCTCACGCTTGGAAAGCGGTACTCGCCTCGTCGTCGCCAAATATGATATATACAGATCGCCGCTAGCACATATAGAGTTGTAGCGATTGCTGCGAAAGCCTTGTCACTCAGCCAGAGCACGTGAGAGAAGCTTTTTGTCGTGAGTAACTCTTTTTTGGAGTCGACAATTTCAAAGATCGAAGCAGCGTAGGCTTCCGTGATAGCTAATGTCGCTGCATTTGAAGACGCATATGTCCACCCCGCGAACGCTAGTAGAACAATAACCATATACCCGACGATGTAGATTTGCCATTCGCGTCGAAAATATGTCTGGAATTTCTGCTCCACATCGAGATCCTCAAAGTAGCACAAAATCGGATGCGTAGGCTGCTGCACCAAGACGACGGCACGTGGCACGGATCGTCGAGGAACCGCCACGTTGCGCTTGGAGAGATTTGGCAGTAGTGGCTGCAGCGGCGGCACGATTGGCTGCACCGGCGTCAGAGGCACCACGACGGTCATATCTGCTTATCTTCGCAGAGGTTGTGACACCTGCTTCCAGACGACAATTCCCAATGTAGTTAGCGTCTAACAGACACGGTAGCCACTGCAGTCAACACACCTCTATTAATCTATTAATGGACAGACAAGAAACAAGCTAGTGCCTTCAACATAGTACATGTTGTTACCAAAAATGGCTACAATTCACTCATGTGTCCTACACAACGTTTCTGAGAAATAATGTTGTTTGAAGGTCGCTGCAGCCGCTCGAATGTGACGTGGAGTTCTGTGTTACTAGTCGTCAGTTAGACGGTGGAGCAGTTAGCGACGATGGCCGAGGTGGACTACTACGAGACGCTGGGTATCCAGAAGACTGCCACGGAGGAAGAGATCAAGCGCGCCTACCGCAAGATGGCCATCCGCTACCACCCAGGTGCGTCGTTCTCCTCACTGCTCCCTTTTTTAACGATTCATAACGCTTATTGCTTTTGCAGACAAGAATCTGGACAATAAAGAGGAGGCTGAGATCAAATTTAAGGAGATCGGAGAGGTAAAGTAGATATTTGACAAGTACTGGCGGTAGATTACCATTTGCTGACGATGTTATCGTTGCTCTTAAGGCGTATTCGGTGCTCTCTGATGCAGATAAGCGACGTCAGTACGACCGCTTCGGGAAGGCTGGCGTGGGTGGCGCTGCAGGAGGCGGTGGCCCCGGCATGCACCCGTTCCAGGGCCAAGATGCCGAGGAGATCTTCCGTACGTTCTTTGGTGGCCAGGATCCGTTCTCCATGTTCTTCCAGGAAGGGATGCGTGGTGGTGGCATGCACAACTTCGGGGGATCTCGCGTGCACGTATCGCAGTTTGGACCCGGATTTACGTTCACGTCGTTCGGTGGAGCTCCGGGGATGGGAATGGGGATGCCAGGCATGCGTATGCACCGTGTGAATCAGCGACAACGGTGAGATACCAATGGGCTTTGGGACTGGGGACAAAAAAATTGTGCTGATAGATGTGTATGTTGCTGTTGACAGTGCTCCAAACGGACAGAACGTTGCTGGGGACAACCGGCCGCAGCCAAATGGACGTCTATCGCAGTACCGGATTGGTGGTGGTAACTTATTGCTGATTTTCTTCCTGCTCTGGATCATGGGCGTACCGTTCAGCTATCTGTGGATAGCACTCATGTTGTTCAGCTACCTTGGACTAGTCTAAGCAGGAATCAAGTGACGCTGCTCACACAGTTCGAGTACTGCCGCCGACCAGCTAGTAGTGGAATCAAGCGAACCCGTATATATAATTGAATAGATTTTGCCTCAACATGCCTTTGCCATTCAGTTCGAACCGGATTATCTGTGAAACAATCCAATCTCCGCTAACACCATTGTTCAATGGTATTAACGGAGATTCAGACATCTGGAGCCGCTAATACCGGGAGGAGAACGATCACTTGATACGAGCTGCGAATATGGTTGCTTGATGCAGCCCATTGAAAAATGATTGCGGAATTGCAATTACATTAATTAAAATTTTAATGTATATGACTAATTTGTCAAAATTCAACAAATTATTGGACCAATCATTGAAAAACAATGTTACTCCAGAAGGATAACCTGGTCCAATCAGTCTCGGTTCCGAGCGGTCCTCTTCAGCGATTCAAGCAACTCTCATCATGTATGTATTCTGGGTGGCTGAAAGAGATTTACATTGCATTAGCTTAAGCAAGACCTAGAACAAATAGAAGAGCACTACTCACTTTCCAATATCATACAATGATCGTAAGCTAAGATCTCTGCGCAATTTTCTACGAGCCTCTAGGCGAAGACCTTCATCGATGCAAATGTGCTGTGCTGACCGCAAGCAGCTTCCTGGAATGGGCTATTCGAACCTCGTCTCGCACTTGGGGAGCCGCCACGAGGACTTCAGGGCTCAGTATGACGCCCACCACCACGGCCCTGAGCGTCCTTTCCAAGGTTACGGCTTCGTTTCCGAGGAAACATCCCACTGCTACCAGTGGTTACGGTGGGCTGTTGAGAGGAGCATCCCTCTTAGCGAGGTAGACGACGAGCGAACCCGGGCGATGGATAAGTAGTGTCCTACTAATTCCGTGGCGGCCAAGCAAGACATGATTACGGCGTGTACTATCATCGCTGAGGAGATGGAAGACAAGATCAGAGTCATGTACGACGGTTGGCCGCATGGGCAGGCTATCCGGAAGATCGACGTCGGAATCAAGGTTGGTCGAGGGTGTGAAAGCATGGGGAGATGGATAACCGCTGGGTAGCCTCATACAATCCATATCGGTGTCAGAAGTACAACTGCCATGTCAATGTTGAGATATGCTCGACGATGAATGCTACCAAGGACATATACAAGTATATCTACATATATGTATATGTACTTGATAGCGTTGATGTTGATAAAGCTCAGGAGAAAACCTGAGCGGGAGATACATATGCCCCCCCCCCCCCCCGATGAATTCTGGGGTATCTTTACGTTTTCGCTACACACTCGGCGTATCAACTTCCAGTTCACCTTCCTAAGATAAACTACATCAGGCTCAACACCAACCGAATGACATTCCAGATCTGCGTCACAAGGAACAGACAAGGTTCTTTGAAATGTGTGTAGCAGATAAAATGCGAGAGGACTTCTATATTATGATTTCCAGAAGCGTTACGCGTGGAAGGATAACCACTGGCAACCGCGGGCAACATCAAAGGGTGATAAGGCATTTCGAAGAAGAATGAAGGACCCAGAGCGATCCTATCCCCGTTTACTATTGTGCAATGACCCTATGTCGCATGATACTCAATGTGAGTTGAATAAACCAGCAACAATCGGATTCTTTTTATCGCACGCGTCATGCCCTGGATAATGCTTACAGAGCAACAATAATCCGTTAAAGGTTACCACGGCCTTCACAACTGTCAAAATTCAGAGATCATGCTCGTCACAAAACCATTTCCAACCGACGGGGTTATCATATGGCCAAGTTGGCTGAGCTTTGGAATCAGACCTCTCCTCGAAACGAGAACCCAAGGACCGTTTACGACAAGGTTGGCGAGGCTGTAGCAGACACGTCATCTACAGAGAAGCTGTTCTCCTTGGATGGTCCAAGTGGAACAGAGAAGTCGTTTCTACTCCAAAGTCTACTTTGCTACCGTGCATTCATCAGGAAAAAAATTCGTTAGCAGTACTATTCCCTGGGGTTGCTCTGATGCTGCTAATTGGTCGTAGAACCACCCACTATATTTTCCATCTTGGGCCAGATTTTAATGCGTCATCAACACCCAATAATCCAGCTAATTCGGCGCGTGTTGAGCAGCTTCGAAACCGGACTTACTGTATGGGACGAAGCAGCACTGATGGTCAAGTACGGATTTCAATTTACTTTTAAGACCTGGTGAAGAATGACAAGCTGTTTTGTTGGAAGTGGTCTTGCTTGCCAGTAATCCTTACCAGTTATTCCACACGGCTCGCAAGAGAGAGATTGAGAGAGAGAGAGAGAGAGAGAGAGAGAGAGAGAGAGAGAGAGCCATTGACAACAGTGCTAAGCTTTCTTCGCTCTGGAGCAGATCCCAGGTTCCATCGTACCAATATGAGAGCACAAAATATGGCGAGTGCGACAACAGCTGCAGAAGTACAAGCATTTGCTGTTTTTTTTTTTACTTCGCGTCGGAGGTGGTTCCAACGAAGGATGTTCCGAGAGCGCTGATGCCTACGCTAGAGCTCAACAGAACGTGATGTTAACAGCCACAAACACGGTGGCACTACAAGATCAAGCCCAAATTAACCATGTTTATGGGGACGACGGTATCATCAAGATTTCTTTTCCAACTGATCCATTCTCATGCCACTCTATGAAGATGTTTATAAGCTTAATAACGCTGTCTTTGCGGCGCTACCTGGAGAATTTCAAGAGTACGAATTAATCGACACTATCGAGGGTCACGAAAACCGAGAGCTCCCCGTTCCCCGTAGAAATTCTCAACAAACTAACTATTTCGGGAATGTCACCACATAAGCTTCGTCTAAAAAGTCGGCGTCCAAGGCATATTGCTAAGGAACGTCAGCAGCGAGAATGGGCTTTGTAACGACACTCGACTCCAACCCCTTCACATGCAGTGGTATTGCATTGAAGCTATAGTTCTGACAGGTTTTCTCACGGGCACAGCGGTCGTAATTCCAAGATTCGAGGTGGTTTCCCATGGATCCGGACTGTCGTTTGAACTTCGTCGTCGCCAATTTCCGGTGCAGTTAGCCTTTGCAATGACTATCGTTTGGACAAGGGCTGACGCTTCGAGAACAAGGACTGTATTTCCTCAGCCATTTTTTCTCTTGGACAACTATACGTTGCTCTGTCCAAGGCGACTTCTAGGCTTTATATCAAAATCGCGCTAGATTAGGACACCACCCGGCTTGCTAAATGTTGTCTACTGTTCTAAAGTGCCTAGGCAGATTTGTTATAACTATTTTTGAAATATTTTATGTATTGAATGTATTTTACATTTCACTTCTACTCTAATTTACGCAGGGTGCGCTTGCGACAAATTTTAGAGTTTTTGATTTTTGCTCTAACATTTTTTTCTTAAATATTGTTCGGCGCATTGCTTGTTTTCGGGGGGCTGCACAATGTATTTTTCCGATTGCTATTGGCCAATAGCCAAAAATGGAACAGATAGAAGCCATTTTTCACGAATGACTTGAAAAGAAACATTTTTATTACTGGCAGTACCTCGAAAACTACGTGTTTCATGACTCTACAGACCACCACACTACATGTGTTCTTAGAACATTATCATCATATTTGCGCACAACGTTGCTCAACAATTTTCAAAATAGTGGGAGTTGCAAAGCAGGATAGACCTGACGAAAAGGGTCGATTTCTTGCTTGGTCGTACGAGAAAAAACATGTTAAAAAAATAAAAACTTCTCGCGAACTGCCCTTTTTCTTAACTACAAAGACAAGCAAATACTGTGAAAGGTGTAACTATGCCGGACGGGTCGCTGGAACGTCGGGCGTTCCTCTCTCCTGCGTCTCCACTCTCAGAGGACACACGCCCCGCCGCGGACGTCCAGACACGCCCCCGCAAGTCTTCTAACGTATCCCGCAGGTCACCTCTTCATTTGCTCGCAGCTGTCCTCGTCATCTTGGGCCTCGCACTCGTTCTCTCGCTGCTTTACGCGACCGGCAGCTCTTCCAAGTCGCTACGTGATGACCAGAAAGACTTGGAGATCCGAGATGCATACAATATTCCACGTCGCCTGGCTCGGTTCGACGTAAACCAGACGATTTTGAACAATTTAGACACCGTGAGCGTCTCCTTCGAGTACAAACCGCCGCAGCCCGAGTTTTACGGTCGCGACAGAATCGCTGCCTACTGCGTGAGCTCGACCGATGAAGAGACTAATCGCACACTTGATGTGCACGAGTTTATGAGCACAGTACCTACCAATGGCGAAGGGTCCGGAGTGATGGAGATCGGGCCTTTAGTGAATATGAGATGCTCGTGGCAACTGCGGTTCATCACGAACGATGATCAGGTGCTGGGGGAGAGTCAATTGCTAAGGTTTAAACACGGATCGACGCAGCCGTTGCAGGTGCATTTGGCCTTAACGCAGAATGCGGACGAGATGAGGGTCAAATGGGTCAGTGACAATGTCTCCAACCCCGTGGTGACGTTCGGAGAGCATAAGAGCAAGTTGGACCGGGTTGTACGGGCCACACAGAGCAGCTATAAGGCCGAGGATATGTGCAATGCACTGGCAACAGTGAAGTTCCCAAGACATTTCAGGGACCCTGGACAGATTTTTGATGCTGTTATGACGAAACTGGAAGCCGGGAAAAGATACTTTTATCAGGTTGGAGATGAGAACGGGGAGCTAAGTGATATTCTCGAGTTCCAGATGCCGCCACCTTCGGGGAGTAATAATATTCAGACAGACGAACAGGGATCAAGTATGAGTTTCTTTGTATATGGCGACTTGAACTCTCCTGTTGGGGCGACGCGTAACTTTGCAGAAGATAACGGCAAGTGCGGCACTACGATGCAACTGATTCGCGAGGACATGGAGCGAGCTGCTGCAGATCCAAGTAAACACAGATATGTCGCTGTCATGCATGTTGGAGACTTGGCCTATGCGATGGGGGCTACCTATATCTGGGACCAATTCGGCCATCTCATTGAGTATGTGGCTGCACGGCTACCCTACATGATCAGCATTGGCAACCACGGTAAGTTGCTAAAGTTATGTTTTTTTTAAAAGAAATTTGTGCTCATCTTAGTTTCTTTCGTAGACTATGGATACCTGGAAGGAGTAAAGAAAGATCACATCAAGTGGCCTTCACATCCGACGTTTGAAAAGGAGGGAACTCATGGCTACGACTCGTATGGTGAATGTGGTGTACCTTCTGCTACACGTTTTCACATGCCAGATAACGGTAATGGTGTCTACTGGTACAGTTTCGACACGGGGCTTGCACACCACGCGGTGGTGAGCAGTGAGCACGAGTTTGCACGGGGTTCTCCACTTTACAATTGGCTGGTGAATGATCTCAAGTCGGTCGATCGCTCGAAGACGCCGTGGGTCTTCCTATATATCCACCGACCTCTGTACTGTTCCGTCGCCTACTCTGGTGACTACTACCGGTCTTTGTTATTCCGTGATGAACTCGAGCAGGAGCTGGCTGACTACCACGTCGATATAGTGTTCGCGGGTCATTATCACTCGTATGAACGAACGTGTCCCGTGTTTGGAGATCGCTGTATTGAGTCACCAAGTGGCAAGGCGATGGCTCCAGTGCATCTCATGGTTGGCTCGGGTGGATACCAAGTGGACGATGCCGGTTTTTACCGGTCACGATGGCGCGAGCAGGGCTTCCTGGATCATGGCTACGGCCGTGTGCACATTTACAACTCGACACATCTGCACTTTGAGTTCGTGTCTAATGCAGAGCGTCGCGTTAAGGACGAGGCGTGGATTGTGTCGACACACGACTGGCCTAGTAAGCGCGAGCGGTATCCTCCTGGATATTTCCCACCACAGGAGATTGCAGGCTTTGGAGCTGCTGTGATGTTGGCCTCGCTAGCGACTTATGCTGTGCTAGTCCCTGCAATACGCAGAGCTCGAAACACCAAGTATACGCCTGTACAACCGATTCAATTTTCCAAATAGAGCAGAAAGGTTTGTATGAATTTCATCAACTCGTTATGATTCGGCATTTGTCCAACAGTATCTTAAGCAAAACGTGCAAGCCGAATCTACCGTCGTTAAAATGGCAACAGCTGCGGTCGCTATGGTTGTGTGCTCGCCGACTATGACCGTGAACTACGATACAGGTGCCAAAATTTGATACTGGTGCCCAAATTTGCGTGTCGGAGTGTGCACTGCATGTTTCAGCTAACCCGAAAACAATTTTCTCGAGTAAACTTCGCTGAGTTGAACTTTTCAGAACTATCGGACTTTCATCCATGCCCCGACGTGTATCTTTCATTCCATTCACCATTCTACCTGGTAACAAGTAGCTCATCCATGAGTAACAACAACAACAAGTGCATGTGGTGGGCAGTATTCCCAGGCACAAAAATAATCAACAGCGCCAAGCAATGTGAATCACGCCAAAGTTGCTAGGTGGAAAAAAGTTTTGGCTCGGGCTAAGTGCAAATGCTACTGCTGCGACCACTCCCTCACACGTGACAAAGTCATGTACGTCGACCTTATGATTTCCCCCCATGATGAGATTTACGTTTGCTCGCTTTGCGTGGATATCATGTATCCGTCCGATCAAGCCAGAGTCATGTTTCTCCACGAAGTTCAAGAATTCCTGCTACTGCGGCAGATATCCGTTCCATATCCGAGGTTATAGGAGTATCGAAGTAACCTTTCCAAGGAGCTACAAGTGTACCTTTCTTAACCGACTAGAGTGTATCAGTGGATCGACAGAGGACACACACTCTCTGAGTCGTACCTGAACGAAGTCTTCCGAAGATCTCGAGAAAAAAAAAAACATGATCAATGGTACTCTCTCCAATCAATCTCGACTCAGCAATTGAAGAAACAATTTGGAATCAAACACAAAAAAGTAAGACACACACACATACAACTATTGTGCTCTTATTACTGGACTCTTTATAGCTCGAATTCTTCTTCATGAACATCAAAGTCGTGCGTGCTTAAGTCCGCAATCGCATCATCGGTTGCAGTCTTTAGCGCCTCTGGCCCTGAAATGAACACTCCGATCGGTGTTCCGCTTGTACTGTTGTGCTTCTCATGTACTTCTCGCAAAATTTGCACCATATCTGGTCGAGTCCCACAAGCAACCCCATACTCCTCCACCAAATCTCCCAATTTCCTAAGAGTTAAGCCATCACCAATGTGTTGGTTAGTTTCAGTTGGTGAGGTTGGTCGAATGCTTGAGTAGCTGCAACGTGCGACTTTGTGGTCCAATGGCGACTGCTTTACATTGTTGCTCTGTGGAGAATGTCGCCACCGGTTAATCATTAACAAGGCATACGCCACGACCGGGACGAGGAATACAACTCCGATTTCCACAAAATTCTGCAGTGGCCAATACTGCGTCTTGTTGCCGTGATCCATCAGCACTCCGTTGTCGAATTCGAGCCACAATATCAGCACAGTGACCGGTACAAACATTGCCGTGTAGAGAACGATTTTAGCGCCTTTGGAACGAAGTGGCTCGATAAACGGAGCCGGAGCACCACGCAGGCTGCTAAATCGTCGTGATTGTACGTTAGTGCTTTGAATGATACTGGTCTTGCCTCGCAATCTGTCGTGGTCAATCGGTGTGTCCAACATGGTCTTACTTGGTGTACGAGTCACGTTGAATCGAAGGGTGAAGCGCTCACCACGTGGGTCAAAGTGCTTGATCTTGGATAAAATCGGAGATACTTCTTCAATCAGCGCAAGTTCACGAACAGCCAAGACCAGGAAGACATGTTGCTTTGGCAGTGACGGATCGTGCGTCTCCAGTCGAGCTACCATATCCTCCAGTATGGCGAACAATGGTGTAGCACCGATGCCACCTCCAATGAGACACACTGTGGAATACTCGTCGTATCCAGCCAACGAAGCGCCATAGTAGCCGTCCATATACACAACTGGAAGTTGGTCTTTATCCCGACATTCTTGTGCATGTTGTACTAGATCATGTGTCCAGTCTCCCAGGGACTTAGCGAGAATAGTCAGAGACGTCGGACTTGTGCGTGGCGAAGAGCTGATCGTAAATGCGTGCCATTGAAGCTTAGAAATAGCAGGCACGTTCAGGTACACGAACTGTCCAATGTCAAAGCCACCATCAACCGAACGAGCGAGCACAATTTTGACCAGACCTTCGGGTAGTCGAGTAAACTCGAGCACTTGAACCGGGAACAGCGAGTTCCAACGCGAAATAGCTCGACTCGATAAGTACAGAACGAGTGTGGGTAGTAGCCACCAAACGATCACGTTGAAATGTAGTACAGCGAAAATCACGGCGGGGATGTACAGGTGATGCACGTAGTAGAAAACCTCGAAGAGATTACGACGGACCCACGGATGCGAAGTGTAGGTAATGAAGAGCATGAAGAAGAGCGAGATCTCCCCAAACACGTTAAACCACTTGGGATATCCAATGTGCCAGTAGTCGAGTTGGCAGTCGAAACATGGTAATGCTTGCTTAGCTAACACGCCTTGACGGGCCCACAACCAGTAGAACGGTATTGCATGTAGAATCGCAGTATAGATGGACAACATCCCAAGCCACCGATGATATTTCACTCCATTCGCGTACGAAATGTTGAAAAACTCCATCCAAGCGCAGTGTCGCGTACAGGGCAAGAAGAGGAATGCCATGTTGAAGACGGAACTGTAGCCGAACACAACGCCACTGAGTTCGAGCACTGTGTTAAAGTCGTACGGATCTCCCGGACGCGGTAATACTCGGCGTTGATTGATCCACCCATACACGAACAAGACGACGTTGCCGATGACCAAGAACGCGATGAATAGCAGTTCACCATAGCAATAGTCTTTCATCCATTGTAGCCCAGGGATCGACTTGACACGTGGAGGTTTCCGACGCAGCAAGGCCGAAACAGCGAGTACTCGACGTGCTGTGTGACGGTGGACGTTGTAGTCTCGAACAAACTCGAAGAAGATCAAACTCGCGAGAAGAGGAAGTACAGTGAACAGCACGAAGAATGTCGGAGCGAGCATTTCGTAGTGTCCGTAGGCTTTAAGTGACGAACCGGGAGGTGGAGGAGTCAGCGGAACGCTCCAGAACGGACCAATGGCGTTCATAAAGCTCAACTGAATCGACGGCGATAAGTACATGACCTGTCCCCAAATGTAGATAGCGATGGACACCACCAGCATCACGTGGGCCACAGTGTTCAAGATTCGAGATTTCGAGGAACTTTTCGGCTTGGATAATGTCTCCAATCCATGCGAACGTTTGGTTCCCATGTCGTTGACGTTCAATAATGGACGAAGGACTGCTGCTTCTCCATTATCTTGCTGGTCACCAAAAGGTGGTGCACGTTGTTCCGTCGGCGGCATGGACGGTGAGCTTCGAGATTAGCGGAGAAAGTCGAAATGGTCGATCCATCCCCACCACCGAATCTAGCATTGCGCTGCATACTTACGTCACATGAAGTGGTCAAGCCGTTGACTAAAGGGTCACCGTTGATCGGTGGATGGCATGATGCGTCGAGCGTCCAGGAATCGCTAGAGGCACGAGCTGGAAGTTATTGACTGGAGGTGCAGAGGACATCCAGCAGCATGCCTTAAGCCAATCAGAGCCTACAGCGCTAAACGAGTTCAATATGAAACATCTTCAGCTTTAGACGCTGGAAAACCTTGTGCATGAGATAAAAGGATAAAGCTTCACACAGGATACGTTTATTGCAGGTAGGCTTCGAGTTCTCGTCCACTATCGAGCCATTTTTGCACTCGAATTGGGTGATGGAGGTATTCTTGCAGCTCTTTGAAAAGCTGAGCTCGATACTGCTTCAGCCACGGATGCGGCACCGTTGTGCGTCTTAAATAGAGATATCTGTCCACGTCTTGCCGCTGCATCATGGCCTTGCCTTCGTACGGGTACCATGCATCGCGACAGCTTGAGCAGCAGACACTCTCCTCGTAAGTGCGATAGATGAGCATCTGACCGTTGAATAGCACGTCGTCGAGTGAGAGGAGGCGGCAGCACGGGAAGCACTCGGAGCCGGGAGACGTCATGGTTTCGAGAGTGCGTTCCCAGTCCTCGACTTTGACATGGTCGCAAGTGCTTTGGTGCTCAGTCAGCGCGTCGGGAGTGGGGAACCACACACCGCACAAGCATGTAGCGCCATACTTAAACTTGTCCATCGTAACTTGCTGCTTGATGAATACGGGGCCGAATCAGGAATGGTCGGTCAGAGCATCTTTCTCAGCTCGCACCTTTTCTACTGGTAACAGCATCGCACTTTATCCTTACTAATAAATGAAGTTACAGTGGTGGTGAGGTCGTTTTACTACGGATTAATTATCGAGATACTTAAGTAGTTTATTTGTTCATGAATGAGCTCCTTCCAGTGGTCCAATAGTACGATGGTGCTCAGCAGAGCCTGGCTTGGTCCTTCCAGCCGCGCAACAGATAACAAAAAAAAGGTTGAGTTACCTGGTATCTGATGGAAAGCTCTGTTGCGATGCACGAGGGCGATGTACTGCCGTCGAGAGGAGAGACGATTCGCCCAATACATCGCACCAGTACGCTGACACAGTCCCGATGAAGTGCATGGCACTGTGTGGTTTGGCCTCCAAGCTGCGTCGGTCGGGTTCTGTGTGTGGCGACTTAGTCAAGGAGTGTTGGTGAGACTTGACTTTGGCCTCGAACGACTTGCTGGGGGTTTCTTGGATGTGAGTCTTCACCGCCTTCATGAGTGAGAATGTTGTGAAGTGGGTTAATAACATGAGCTTTTCCACGCGGGGGAACGTGTGCATTAACGTTCATAATCAGTCATGGGCGTCAACACAACGTTTATTGGACCGATCCACGCGCTTTCGCGCACGAATCAACTTTTACATCTCCAAGTAAACACTACAAGCATTCGAACCAATTCATACGTGCCAAAACAAATACTATTATTACTGGGCAATTTATCCTACCTATTTCGCAACCAAGGTAATGTTCATATGCAATGAGGATGTTCAAAACTGAGTACGGACGTTTTTATCTGGTAGGAACGCACTTAATTATCCCACAGGCAAGCAAGAAAATAAACATTGTTATCGAGTTGTGTGCTGCTGTAGCGCGTATCACGAAGGAATATTACGGGTAGAGAAAACCTCACATGGGCTTACGGCATTTTCTACTGGAGTCACCCCACCAGGTTCGTCATGAAGCTTGGACCACTATGCGTGCACACCGTTGGCCTTCGCTTGCTTCAAACACGTGTCATTTCATTCAAACTCCATGTCGTCGGTCAGTAACGCTCCTGCTGCGGTGACGGATCATTATCTGACTACTTGCAGCGCATGTAGCTGAATTTCGTGATGCAGAGCCGTGAACTCGCTGGACGTGAATACAATTCCCTTCTGTAAATTACGTAGATTCAACAGATACTGCTCGTTTGAAAAAATAAAATGGTCGCCTTGTTGCGTCGGGATGTCACGGTTAATAAATTACCGCGTGTAACCTGGAACCCCCGCACATTCCAGAATTCTGGAGACAAAGCAGAAGAAATAAAAAGTCGCTTCCGGCAACTTGAAATCCCAGCACAACTTCGTGTCAAACCAGTAGAAAAGCAACTACTACAAGTCGAGAGGGCGACCCGTGACATTCAGTCCTAATTGCGCTGCTTCTCTGATCTCATCGACCAGCTCTTCAAGCTCGAATAACTTTTTCTCTCCATCCGTAAAGCGCACCAACCACTTAGGTGCACAACTCTCCTTAGTCTGCCACCCGATCACCTGACCAGTGGTCCACTCCGTCACGACGTCTGTACTCTTGTCCTTAATGTACTTCGTTTTCTTCGTGATACTCCAAAGTACTGGTCGACCAGGGAGCGCAGCAAACTCCTTCATCAACTGCTCCTTGTCAAATTGATCTCCCTCTTCACTATCAACTTCGACAGTGTCAATCTCTTCAGGCTGCTTACTACTGGTGTCGTCCTCGGCGGTGGCGATCTCTTCGGACTGCTTACTACTGGTATCGCCGTCAACAGTCGAAGTTTCCGTCTCGTACTCGGATTCGGAACTCTCGTCCCACCCTCCGCGTCGTTTTCGACCCCGACGAGGCAACGACGTGGTTGTAGCCCCTGGTATATTCCAGTTATGCTTTCTAAGGGTAAGGAGTCTGTTCTTCACCTGACCTTGATCAGGAATCTTCACCAGCATTGCTGGTTGGTCCGCATACTTGTTTTGCAGTGTAACGAGGCACTTCTTGGGGGTCATGCCTCTAGCGAGCAGGTCGTCCACTTCTCCCTTAACAGACAGGTCGATTCCTACCCGCTTTCGATTTGTGATTTGGTCTCCGTGCTCACCGGCAACTGCTAATTGAAAAGTGACAGGAATTTCCTCCTCGTCTTTTGAGCACTCGAGGATACGGGCCCGACGTTCACAGTCTTCGTGCGAGATGCAGCGGTACACTCTACCGTTGCCGAAAGCGCCATAGTTGTAGGCTGTCACGTACAGGAACGCGTCGAGCGCGTGCAGTGCCAATTTCGCCTCCTCCAACGTCGTGTGGGTAGACACGGGATCGTACGTGGAAGCAGAGCTGCCGCGGGCCATCGTGACGAATGATTTTTCTGTAAAGTAAATTGATACAATTATTGCAGTACATAACGATAATCCGTCCAAAAAAAAAAAATCACACTGAAAAACATCCAAATTATCAGTACTGGCTTCCAGCCATATTTTATTACTCAACGACAAGCGAACTTGTAGAACTTTCGATAAAAATGTCGCTTTGCCGTTGGATGGCATTCAGACGAAAAAAAACCCATTAAAATTTTAATGGGTTTTTTCCGTCTGAATGCCATCCGAGCCAATCAGCATGCAAAACGACGAGATCATAGAACTAAGTTATTAGGGTTGTGGGCGACTTGTTATGACTATGAAGGGGGGCCATGGTTGTGCTTTTGCCGCCAATTTTTTTTGATATTCTAATTGAAAGGGCAAAGAAAAATATTTACAATTGCAGAAAATACTTTCTTAAACAGAAAATCACAAAAACTGAAGTAAACTATTTTTAAAATAAAATGACTTACTTTTAAGTAAACGTAAGTTTCAAAATTTTTACGAAACCTTTATTCAGTTATAAAAAATCAACTCAATAAACGAAACTTATTGTCAGTTTCATTCGAATTTGTGTGAATAGCCTGAATCGAATCGTTTTGGCGAATCGATTTCGAATCGATTCGTGCTGTTTTTAGCCAGTCAGAAGTCTCCAACCGCGCGCCACTCCATATCGGCAAGCGACAGCGATGGCAAGCATACAGCAGGCGGTCAATGGGCGCCACGCATCCAGAAACACCATCATGCACGCCCTGTACGGCTACTTCTACCTGGGCTTGTCGAAACGCCGGCTGGCAACGATCTATCACAAGCACATCAACAACATCTCGAACTGGATCCAACGCTTCGAGGTTAACAACGACTACGCACGCCGCGCTACAAGGCGGACCGGCCAACTCTCAGCAGAACAGCGGGAGTGGCTGCTAGACTTCTACACGAAGCACCCGGTTGCGTTTCTCGATGAAGCAAAGGCTGCGTTTGAGCACCGGTTCGCACGCTTCATTTCGATCTCAACGGTGTGGAGGGCTTTACGGCAGCATGGGCTCATATGGAAGGTTCTCGAGCGACGTACGATGAACATCAAGATCAACGATATTGTGCGCTTCACGCTGGAGCTGAGCACGACTAAGTGGTGTAAAATGAACATTCAGTTCCTCGACGAAGTCAGCTTTGACAACAGGGGCATGCTGCGTTCGCGAGGTTACTGTTTGAAAGGAAAGAAGCTCGCGTTTCGTGGAGAGTTTAATAGGAAAGCTCGGGTTTCGTTGCTGTGTTTCATATCTGTGGATGGGCTCGTGGAAACAATTCACACGGATGGGACGTTTGACCGATCTAAGATCATTGAGTGCTGCCGTGCACATGCACATTCGGGGAAGACTGTGCACTAGTATCCAGGAAGCGGCTCCGTGTGTATTATGGATGGTGCCAAGATCCATTGTCACCCCGACATCGTCTACTATCTGCGGTCACTGGGGATCATTTCCATTTTTCTTCCGGCGTACTGTCCATTTTACAACCCGATCGAGTATCTGTTTGGCTTGATCAAGAAAGCATTCAAGCGGCAGTACGTCGAAGGGTCCAAGCAAAGTCAAGCTGTACTCATTGCAAATGTACTTAAGCAGTTCCAAGATTTCGACATGACCAATAGCTTTGAGCACTGTGGGTGGAGTGTGACCGGTGAGTTTGACCCGACCTCGGCCCTGGGCGTGAACACACCGCGAGCTGGGCAATTTGGCATGGACGATTTGCTGGAGTTCTCCGAGCGCGGAGATCCTAACAATGACAATACGTGCTCAAGTGATGACGACTAAGTTAGTGTTGTGAGAAATGCGTGTTTATTTGGAGTTCAAGTTTGGTGGTACTTAAGAGCAAGAGTCATTCATGGTCGATGTCCTCCTGATTTGGAATGGCGGCCAACACGGACGAGACCTCCGTACTATCTGGTTGTATAACTACGTCCTCGCCCATGGCCTCGATAACATCCAAATGGTTCTCCAGCATTTGATTCATGGAAACGATGGCAGTCGGCCCCCCTTCATAGTCATAACGTGTCGCTTGTCGGCGACACGTTATGACTATGAAGGGGGCCATCGTGACGAATGGTTGTGCTTTTGCCGCCAACAATTTTTTGATATTCTAATTGAAAAGGCAAAGAAAAATATTTACAATTGCAGAAAATACTTTCTTAAACAGAAAATCACAAAACTGAAGTAAACTATTTTTAAAATAAAAATGACTTATTTTTAAGAAAACGTAAGTTTTAAAATTTTACGAAACCATTATTCAGTTATAAAAAAGCAATAAGGGAAACTTACTGAAAACTATGTTTTTAATACTTAGCTGAAAAAGCTAATGTGACATAAAAAAACAACCAAAAACTCCAAAACCCCTTTTTTTGACTCGAATAGTTTAAAAAAAAAGTGAATGGACAAATTATCCTTTAATTCTAGGCGAGCTGTCAATGTGTTTACTGTTTGGGGTTTTTCTTGCCCCTCTTCGGAAAGGAACAATCGGTCTTGAAGTTGTAGTCGTTGAGGTAGTAGCTCCAGAGTTTCTCGACTTTGGACAACTCGCAGTACATCTCACCATCGCACCCGGGTAAGGGTGCCTCGACTTCTTGAATCCACACCGACACGTAGTATTTCTGGTCCTTTCCTCGATATAGACGGAAGTCGATGTTGGAGGCGGTAGGAGAGAGCACAGAAGTACGGAAGCCTCGGGAGTTGATTTGATCGTCCGTCCACGATGCGAGGAGCTTGGTGCGATCACCATAGCCAAGAAGTGTCATTAGGGGCAGCGTCGTCTCCGCGTGACCAAAGCGTAGGTTGCCGACCACCTCGGTCTCACCAGATATGAACATTTTCATAAATTTGTGGATGTCTTGAAGCAAGACGGCGGCCATTTCGTAATTGATCTTGTAACCCGCACCCTGTTCGTAGAAAGCTTCGAGGTCCTCAGCGTAGTCAAGGCGGTTCAAGAACGCTTCATCCATGAGAGAGCACCAGTGACTTGTGATACCATACATGATGTCAAATCTAAAAATCAAGAAATATGTCAGCTCACAGATCCACAAATTAGGACAATGGGAATCAAGATTCCTTACGCGCAAGCTGCAAAGGCGGCACGGACATCCGTGACGCTGAGGTTCGCACTGTCAGGCAGGTTTAGCTGCGATTTGAGATCAGCAATGCTCGCATTCATTTGACTCGAACTCCCGTAGGCTTTGAGTTCAGCGGAGGCGTTCGGATTGTGCTTCACCTCTGCAAGGTACCGGTCGCAAATGTCGTAGAAGCGAAGAAGCGGGTCCTGAACACAGAATGCCCGTCAACTAGGTTGAAATCATTCGGTAAAATATGCTCTTGAACGTACCTTTCCCTTGGCGTACTCAATGTACTTAACGTGGTTTGGGTTATCGAAGAATGTGCTTGCAAACCTGTCAGGATGCACAACAACGACGACACCGCACTTATCACCATGCCCATAACTTTAAAACAACCGAAGAAACGTACGCTTTCGCACTATCACCCGTGCGTTCCTTAAACGTGTGTGCTAGGATGAACTGCTTGTTGTCGAATTTTGTTGGAATTGCGAAGCCCACGGAATCCCGAGTTCGTCTTCCCAACGCTGCGAGCTCATCATAGCCAGTGGATGACAAGGCACCGGCAACTGACATGTTATAAGGCAGTGAATACTCCTTCAACCACTCTGGGAGGACGCTCGAGTAATTCGCCTGCAGCCTATACAGCAGCTCCGCGATCTCTCGCATCGTATTGTCCATTGGAAATCTACAACAGTAAAAATTGCTTCAGTTACGAGAAAACCACATAAAAACATCGAAAAGAAATACCTGCTTCCATGACGACTCACTTGCTGAATCTGCAGCAACTCAAGGTCTGAGGCCTGAACTCCTGTCACACGTACATTATTCTGCACAAGAGCCATCTGGGCACTACGCTGGTCCCAGTACATCGTCATGGTCCCAAACGAGAGGGGGTTTGTGAAACTGGAATCAGCAGCATTCAGGATGTCGTCCTCAGCCATGATGCCATTATCGTCTTCAATGCCACTCGTGACAGCCAACAAGAAAATAGAGAGAAGGGACGTAACAGCGAGAAATCGCACTATGTTCTTAACTGGCAAAGCCTCGGGAGGCGGCACGTTGGGCGGGTCTTCCCTTTCGAGCGCCTCGAAGCCCTTTGCCATCTCCAACCTTGTTACTCCTCCGCTCCCAAACTCAAAGTGGTTTGGTTGTCATGCTGCTATCGATAGACTCGCTGCCTTGCGTTCTTATCGGTCGTTTTCAAATATTTTTAAATGCAACATTTATTTTTAGCAGACAAACTATCACATCAATTTCGGTGCCAACTTGTGTATCTATCTACAAAGCACACTCGATCTCGAAGTTGTAGTCGTTCAGGTAGTAGCTCCAGATCTTCTCCACCAGTGAGAATTCGCAATAAATCGCACCGTCACATCCTGGTAGTGGGGCTTCCACTTCCTGGACCCACACCGATACGTAGTACTTTTGGTCCGATTTGCTGCGGTACAGACGGAAATCAATATTAGAAGCCATTGGAGCAAGTGATGATGAACGGAAGCCTCTCGAGTCAATCTGCGCGTCAGTCCACGACGCTTGGAGCTTTGTGCGATCTCCGTAACCGAGTAGTGTCATGAGTGGCAGAGTGGTTTCAGCATGTGCGAAGCGTAAATTAGCAACGGTTGTAACGTCACCAGTAGTGAAGTTTTTCATGTAGGCGTAAATGTTTTGAAGAAGCACGGCGGAGATTTCGTAGTTGATCTTGTACCCAGGACCTTGCTCATAGAAAGTTTCCAGTTCGTCGGAGTACTCCAGGTGGTTCAAGAAGGCTTGATCGACGAGGGAGCACCATTGGCTGGTGACGTTGTAGAGCATGGCGTCGAAGCTGTAAGGCGAAATTTATTAACACTCGCTGACTCAGAGAAATATTCAAATGAGAAGTGCAACGTACGCGCAAGCAGAGAAAACAGATGCCGCATCAGTGGCGCTCAGGTCAGCGTCACTAGGTAGACTCAACTGGGACTTCAAGAATGCAATGCTCTCGTTCATCTTGACAGAAGTTTGGAATGCACCAAATTCCGTGAGAGCACTTGCGTTGTCCAGGACTTCGGCGTTGTACCGTTCACACTCGTCGAAGAAGCGAAGCAGTGGATCCTGTAAACAGGAACAAAGGGGGGTGTTAGTGGTCAGACTATATAGCTGCAATACTGATGAACGAACATACACTTCCGTCGGGATACTCGATGTACTCCACGTCGTCTGGGTTGCTGAAAAATGTGCTGGCAAACCTATTGAAGCAACGCGTCAAGAAATATGTGAACACAAAAGTGTTCATGTGAAGTCTGCAGAAGAGAAAATGCGTACGCCTTAGCGCTGTCAGCAGTGCGCGCTGATGAAGTGTGTGCGATCTTGAACAGACTGGCATTGTAGGTCACTGGAATAGAATCCATGACCGAGTTTCGAGAACGCGATCCGTGCCCTGCTAGCTCTGCGAAACCAACAGGTGCTAGCTCGCCTGCATTCGTCTGGGTGTACGGCAGCGAGTAATTCTTGAGCCAGTCTGGGATAAGGCTCAAATAGTTCGTCTGGAGTTTGCTCAACAGATCGGCGATTTCTCCCATGTTACCCTTGCTGGGGAATCTACTTCCGTGACGGTTAACCTGCTGGAGCTGTACCAGCTCCAGCTCCGATCTCTGGATTACTGACTCTGATTGCAACGCCGAAGGGAGTGCCGACTCGCGTTGGTCCCAATACTTGGTTTTGGTCGCGAACGACTGCAGGCTGAAGTTACTTCCTGTCGTAACACTGGGTAGAAGGATGAAGAGGATCACGAACTTGTTCCACATCGTGTCTTCCGTGATGAATTTGCCGATGACGGATCAAATTTTGAAGTGAGCTCTAGACTTCGCTAGTGCGAGTAAAATAGAAATGAATGTCCATGGTTTGATGCTGCCCCATTGAATGATACTCTGGGCCCTTTCTCCGAATGACGTGAAAAATCTCACGTCACGGATTGAATGGACGATCTTCGACCGGTGAGATGTTGAGCCGGGGAGCATGGATTCCAGTCGCTCAATTTTACCAATCGAAGCCTCGCGCTTGCTCGTGGACATGTGCCTTTCACTATCTAGCAGCTCAAATACTTATTCCGAACGATTACGCGAGCACCACCAGTTTCATAGGCGAATCTCGCCAAGATTCGATGACAACCTCCGGCCTAGATGCTCTGAGGATAAAATGTAAGTTGGATGAGGTTGTTTACTTTAGCGAATTTATGGATACCCTAGACAACCAATTTATGGTTAGCCAGCAAAAGCGAACTTAATGGGTACCCTAGACACCAAAAGCGAATTTATTGTACCTTAGAAACGAGTGTTCGGTTCTACGGTGGAACTTCCACCGTATCCTGTCAAGAGCCATCACCCCTGATGCATGGACAAGTGATAAAACCAACGCTACATGCCCTCGATGATGCAATCAAGAGCTCTGTAGACAATAAATAAGGCCATTTATTTACCTGTTAGTGGATACATGCTTAGCTTCAATCTCACAACTTTTACGTGAAGCAAATGTGATCTTAGATTCTTAATACCAGCCGGCTTTGCGGAGTTTTTTTTTCTTAAGTAAACTTAGTGAGCTTCACATCATATTCGTGGTCATTTACTTAAATAAACGTGCTGCACACTAAATTTTGTTTTCAAGATCTGGCTGGCCAGTAGAAAAGTCTACGGAGCTGATCGGCAGCATGGGGGGCCACGAGCACCACCGCGAGGGCCACAAGAGCTCGCGCTCGGGCGTGTGGGAAGGCTCCGAGAAGCTTAAGAAGGCGCTGGAGGGTTTAGCCACTGCCAAGGGTGTATCACAGAGTCGCATCGGCGCAGTCGCTAAGCTGGCGTCGCATTACTCAAAGGTGCGGACGGCTGGGAGCAGCATGGAGTGAGATGTTTTGGTCTGAGTTCGTTTTTATATGCTGATAGTTCTACAAACATGTGGTGCACGATATCGAAGTGTTTTTGTGGAAGGCTGAGGTCGAGCACCGACTAGCCGGTGAGGCTTTATATTTTGTTATTGATATGGATACCCGTTCTTATAATATTTATTATTGTTATGATTATCACAGGACTTTATGCAATTGACGCCATCATCCGACAGGTAATATTATTATTTTATTACTGTTTAAGTCTTGGTACTGATCGTGCGTGTTGCTGCAGTCTCATACCAAGAATGGCTCGAAGGACACGTACGTTAAGCGCTTTTCTATCCGGATGGCAGACACAATTGCGGCGGTTAAAAAAGTCCCTGAACAGTTCCAGGTTTGAGAGAGTGAAAATGATGCTGAAAGGGATGAGTTCACGTGATGTAACTTGTTTTTTTTTTTACTCTTGTTTGTGGTTTACAGCCCAAGGTTCGGCACGTGATTGAGGAGTGGCAGAAGCGCGGAATTTACACGTCCAAGCAGATTGAAGATCTCGGTGGACACGAATATATGCTCCAGGTAAAGAGTGGCCGCATTTGCTGCTAATTTGCCCCTGTTTAGAGTCTGGAGCTGATCTATTAATTTTTATATTTGCAGGAGGACCGAACGGGGAATGTCACGCCTCGTGCGTCGCCAGGAAAGTTGGCGTCATTACTTTCTATTATCAAGCAGAAGAAGGAGGAGAAAGACCACGCCAGTGATCAACACGGACGGCCACCTTATGACGACAGAGAAAGACACCAGAGAGCCGACTCTGGGGCGTACAGCCATCACAGTTATGACGAGCGGCGAGGAAATGACCAGCGCCCCGACCGCAGAGATGTCGGTGGCATTATGGGCGATGCACCCGGTATTCCAGTCGGGAGTCGCATGCGGAGAGACCCAGACGACCGCCCTGGGGCCTTGAATGATCGTGACCCAAAGAAGGCTCGCGGGTCCCGATGGGGGCCATCTAAGTCGGACAACGTGTCCTCAAACGATAGACCATCCCCAATAATTACGTCATTCGACAGAGACGGAGCTTATCGTCAAGATAATGGCAGATCTGGTTACGGTTCCCCTCCGGGATCATCTCGTCAGACGTCAATATTGCAATCTCCTCGTGAGGGCCCACCAAGACACGAAGAGTGGAACCGAAATGCGCCTCCCTCTCGTGGTTCAGGCGCTGGCTGGCCGCGTGAAAATGTGCGATCTCCGCAGTCTGGAGGTCTAGGTAGACAGAATGTGAGCCCTTACGAACAGGGTGGCATGCAACGATCCCCATTTTCTGGGTCGGATGACCGACGGAGTCCTGGCAATCGCATCCCCGGAACGTCTGGAGAGCTTTGCCGCAACTTTCTAGCTGGCCGATGCACGTTTGGCGACCGTTGCTGGTACGATGATCATTTTAAGTTGATAGTTCGAAATAGGTACTAATTACTCGTATTTGTGTTTTGATTAGGCACATGCACGATCCACGATCTGCTTCTTCTGGTGGGGGTCGCTCCGAAATGGCTGAACTTAAGCGCAAAACTGTGCTGTGTAACAACTACCCACTGGGCATGTGTCGCTTTGGAGATAAATGCAGGTACTATTCGATCAGTAGTATTGACATGGTCACTATATTGGCTTGTATTTTTTCTTCAATGGACCATTTTCTGATGATGGACTCCCTTTGCGGGCCCTGTTGTTTTGCATGCATCTCTCTATCAGTTTTGCTCATGGTGAAGAAGAGCTGGACAAGTCTGCACGATATCCGCCAAGACCCCCTGCCCACGGCGACCAAAGTGGAGGTCGCTGGCAACCGTCGCCGAGTCAAGGCATGGAGCAACCCCGCGTCTCGCCTTCTGCTAATGCACCTCCATCTTCTCAAGCTAGATCTTATGGAGCCCCGCAAGTATATAATGAACCACACGGTGATCGCGGCAGTAGAGGAGGTGATTCATCTGTGTCTTATGCTAATGCCGCTGCGCCATCACCAAATGGGCGCCGGCTGCTGCCCGATCACCAAACCGTCTCAGGGCCACCCCCACAAGTTTATCAGGGCACTTACGCCTCGGCTCCGTCTCCTTACGGTGCCGGTGGTGGCTCGACGTATGCACCTCCAGGTCAAGATCGCAGCCACGTCCCAGGCAATGTCCCCGTTTTACCATCCCCTGCTAGTCAATCATATGGGGACCGGGCTGCTGTGCCGACTGGCAGCACCAAGGTCCTTGCGGACGACGATGAAGGCGATACCGCCGAACCGGAGTTTACTCTGGAGTACGATGACGAAGACTAAAATGGAGATAATTGACCAGAGCCATTTATCAAATCACTTTGTGACCTCGGATGTATTCCAAGCAGAGGTCCAGGCTGGAAGGTACCTAGTCCAAGAACTGGCCAACAAATACGAGTGGTCACATATATCGATGCATTAACTTTTGAGGCGTAGGTAACGTAAGAAGTTTGAGTAATTTCAATACTTGATTTGCATTACCTTGCCGTGCCGTGTCCACAATGTATCTCTTCAAAGCCGACATTTTATTCGTTGACAAGTTGGTCGTTTCATTGTTCATGACCAACTTCAGATGTAGCCATTTCTTCGACAGCGAAATCTGATTGGCTAACTCGTTTTATAAAATCTTCTTGCGATCTGATAATGACAACTATGAGGAGCACACCATCGTCTGCCTCGGGTTCCTTGCCTCCACGTATAAGGAATTGCGTCCTCCAAGCCTTTGCATTATGTTCGCTCGTCTTCATCGTAGTGGCAACGCAAATTCCCAGCTCCTTCCTATTGGACACACCAAGTATTTTTCGATTCTCAAAACGTTCCACGACAGATAAGTTCGAGCACATGTTCGCCACGAAAACCAAATACTGGGACCAACGCGAAGGCATGAATATCAACAATGATCCAGCAGTAGAGGGGGCCATATTGACGTTTCCTGGACTTGCTGATATGAACGACCAAACTCCACATCAATCCAAATTGGAGCTCATTCAGACGCAACTCGTGGTGCGCCATGGAATAAGGTAGGGGATATTTTTATGGGGTGAAATACAACTTTACAGAATGTGGTGCTAAAGAATCCGGTGTCAGATACCCAACTGGGGGCAACATAAAAGAGATAAATAATCTCTTGGAGAAACTAAAACCTTATCAAGATTCGCTGCCGACCTGGATGAAGAACTACGCGCTGCCGTACAATATGAGCGTGGCGGGAGAGCTTGCGGTGGCGGGGAAGCACGAAATCTCAAAGCTTGGCACTCGTGCTCGGTCGAAAAGTGGACATGAAAAACCGGTGATATACTTGAAGGAGAAGTACCGCATCACGCACACACACATTACCAGGACTCGAGATTCCGCTATCGCGTATGTTTATCAGTCCTAATGTGGAAGCAGCTCTTAGGTTTATAGTAGCTTCTTACAGTTTTCCCTTTAGATTTGTAGGCTCGTTCTTTGAGAATCCAGAGGACGTGGAGTACATTGAGTACCCGAAGGACAAGGTAGGATCAGTGTCGATCATGAATGACTAGCTCTGTATTAATCGTTCGATGAAACAGGACGTTCTACTGCGGTTCTTTGATCAATGTGCGCGATACCAGCGTGAGGTGAAGAAGAATCAGACAGCACAACTACAACTACATGATTTTCAAAAATCAAGCGTCTTGGCTAAGATTGCGCTATGGCTAAAGTATTCTCTTGGATTAATGCAAGAAAGCATCGAATTCTCATCTAACGATCTGATGGCAGTGCAATCTGCTTGCGCGTAAGTAGACGTCTCTTGTTTTGGGTGATCGTAGAAGACTTAACTCGTTCGCTGTGTGTTCAGGTTTGATATCGCACTTTATCATCATAAACACCATTGGTGTTCGTTGATGTCGATGACTTTCATCCATTCGTTGGACTATCTGGACGACCTTGAGCAGTTCTATTGGATTGGCGGTGGGTACAAGATCAACTATGAAATGGCTGCGGTTCTTCTACGTGAACTTTTCAGTACAATGAAGGGGAGAGTAAACGGCAGTAACACTCTAGTGGGCAATCTCTTCTTCGCACACGCTGAGACGACACTCCCATTGATGACGTTAATGGGGTACGGAGATCGTTCCCTTCTGCTGGCAAATTCCACGGATACCGAGATCAAAACTCGGGGCTTTCGGACATCAATTCTCTCTCCGTTTGCAGCTAACATCGAATTCCGCTTGTTCAAGAGGAAATCAAGTGTCCAAGAATTTTACGTTCAAATTCTCGTAAATGAGAGAAAAGCCAAAATTCCAGGTTGCGGACACGTCTTCTGCAAGTTGTCGGAGCTGGAAAAGCAGTGGGATTACTACTTGAACACATACGATTTCCAAAAGGACTGTGTCTAAAGCTGCACAAACCTGGATTTAGATGTGACCATTTCGGATTCTTTTTCGACTCTTCAACGTGATCGCGCGAATGGACTCGCAATCCCCTGACACTGGTTCAGCTCCACCACCGCCGAATAACTCTACGACTGAAGAAACAACTACCGTTCAAGGAGACAAGCAGACACGCGAGGTTACAGAAGTTTTAGCTGTTACATTTTATGTTTACTGTGTCGGTGATCTCATGTGAAAAAGTGATTATTGGTTGTAGGATGAAATTGCAAAAGTTATGACGCCTGATGCAGAATCTTCTGTTGTTTGTGAGAGTAACACCACAGGCACGCTTCTGCCCATTCCTCTCGGCAGCTTGATGGAGCTTACGTTGGATTACATTTGTGCAAATTCGGTCGCAGAGGTGGAACATCTGAAGGAGCTCGCAGTCGCCAGACAAGTGAGCGTTCGAGGTCGACTTCACCTTAGCGGCGGAATATCTCAACGTTCAGTTGCCAGCGCTAGCATTTACGCAGACACAAAACACTGCGATGGTCGGACATGCTTTCGCTTGCAAACCGACAAAGGCGACCCAGTTATACTCCGATTCGAGCTAAGTCCTGACGTTGCGACAGATTCGTTGCCTCAGCTTTCTCTTGAAATTCACTCGAGAAGATCACAAAAAAGAAAATTGTCGCTATTTGTAGCGTTACAATGCTTGCTGAAAAAGCTAACGATTGGTATCGAGTACCAGTCCAGTTTGCAACTTCTCGATGAACAAGATCAGTTTTGTGGGCGTCTTAACACAAAATTTCGAGGTGGATTGGTAACAGATTTGGAGCATAATGATCAGGCGTGGACGACGATGGTGCACCAGCCAGAGGCCTGCATTTTAACAGTACAAGTTACCGACCTACAGGCTTCTGGAAATGAATGTAAAGATTCTCGTTGTTTGGCACGAATCTGGTCAAGTATGGCAGGAAAAATGCGAGGTCAAACGATATCGCCATTAATGTGGAAATACGAAGCTACCACCGAGAACAGTGAAGCCAAAGCTGTGTCACTACAAGTGACTGATGCAGCTATGGAGATTTTCTTTGTTGGAATTTATCGATACAGCACGCACGAAAGGAATGAATTGATAGGACTCGGCAGTTTTTGTATTCACTCACTGAAACTTTCAACAGAGGACAATTTGCACGTGGAGCAGCTCGTTCGTTTGCACAAGGAATCTTTGGGTAAGGAAAGCGAATGTGGATCAGTGCTGTTTTCGCTCCAGATATCTCGTGTATCTCAATACAACAATGTTAAGATTACCTCGCTTGCAGCCACTGCACTGGGGAACATAGCATTCCCAGTGCAGAATACTGAGATGAAATGTCGATTTGATTTTGATATTTTAGAAGTACAGGCGCTACCATCAAATATTTCAGAAGGAGATAGTATTTCTATTCGATTTCAAATTGTTCAAAGCAATTGGAAAACTGAGCTACCCCCTGCTAAGGTTGTTCTGAGCGGTAGTGACGGCAAAATGCTTTCCAATGTGGGTGAGAATGCTAGCACTACTATACGCTGGGCGCCGAAAGATCGATCATTCCCTGTACTGGAAATACTAGTGTATGTACAACGTCGACAGCAGAGTCGAAGGACTATGGCGTCCAGAGCTTCACTCGCATCCACTTCGCAGAAACGTAGGCAAATATCGAAAGGGATGCAACGGACGAAAGAAGATGTAGCGCCAGCATTGATAGCGACTGGCAGTCTTACCCTCAGCCCATTCTTCGCACAGCAAAACGTATCAGTCCTGGCAAATTTACGATTAGATGTGGAGAATGATCCTGCATGTGAAAAATGTAAAAAGGTATCAGTGCTTTCAAGAATACGAGCTTCTTCGCTAGGGAATGGTTCCAAGTCACCCAACACTCTTGAATCCTTAAATTATGCAACACAGTCAGTCATTGGAGACGTGTGTGTCCATCTTCTACAAGCTTGTGGCAGTGTTTTTAGAAAAGCCGACGCTCTTTCAAGTTATTATGTGTCGATTTCTTGTGGATCTGAGGAAACACTGAGCAGGTTCGTGGCTTGGTGTGTCCAAAGTTAGTCGATAGCGAACGTGTAGTACTAATGCAGTCGGATGTTTTGTATAGTTGCTGCCTGGTAGACGATGACAATACGGTATCATGGAATCAGCAGCTAGCTCTTCCTATTGCGAGTGCTGGTCCACCAGTTATCCATTTAACACTTTATCAACGAGCAGTCGATTCGATCTCACCCCAGCCCGATAATGCAACTCCGCAACGTAGTGATGAAATAGTTGGCTACCTGACGCTTCCTACCTTCCCATCGGTACTCGAAGAAGATCATCTCCTGCAACTCGAAGTCCCCTTTGGAATGCCACCCACCTCAGAGACCGAAAAACATAGTGGTGATCCTCACTACTACAAACGCGGAATGTTGACCTTGGAGATGCAATTTCTGCCCAGTGAACAACCCAAAATCGCCTCATCAATCTCACCTGAAGTTTATGAATTGATGATTCACCGAATTCGTGGAGATCTACAAGACTCAAGTACTACACAGCATTCTTCTGGTCTTGCAAAACACGTATTTATTGATGTGAGTATCATGATCGATCGAGGTGGCTCTGTAGAGGAACTTGCCGTGGGGGCTACAGATGTGATATCCCTCTCACCGTCCGGTCTAACGGAAGTGGGTGTAGCTGTTGATCTCAGCAACCCGATGGTTGCAGCAACTTTATCGACTGGAGTAAATAATATACTTGTCGGAAGAATTCGGGACTTGGCCGGAAACACCTACGGTCGTGTACATTTTCCACTACGAAAAGATTGGAAGAAAAGACTGGTGAACCGAAAGAAGCAGATTTGGTATCCGGTATGCGTTGAGTCAAATAGTTCTGGTGTCAATGCGACGAAAAATGCTGTTTTAATGAGCTTAAAGACTCGTGAACAGAGCGATCAAAGCCCACAATCCAATACGCAGGGCAAAGTTCACGTCAAAATTTGTGAAGCGATGCTGACATCAGGCTTCGAAAACTCAAATTTGCTGACATACGGTGGAGCTAATGTGCAATTGTCGTATACTTCGAAAAATGATTCCACCAGCGAGATTCGATCCCGTACAAGACAATCTACCGTTCAAAGCAGTAGTCAACACTGGTGTTGGGAAAACGAGTGGTTTGTATTTGATCACTCGAATGAATTTCAAGAATTACACTTTTCTTTGCACATTGGAATATCAAGCCATGTCGACCTGCATGGCAGGATAGTTCTCACTTCTATGATCGAAGATGCAACGTTAAGGCGTCTTGATTTATGGTTACCGTTGGAAAATGAGGACAAGACCGCGAGTGCACATCTTCACGCTGTGGTTGTCTACATTCCTACAATTATCGGAACGCTCATTATGGATTTTAGTGAAAGCTCTACATTTACAGATTCTGAACGTATTCTTCACGTGGAGAATACATTTTACAAATGCATATTTCATGATACAAGCCGCAGCACAGCTACAAAGACAGAAGAACACCCTGAGGATGAAATGGGTGGGGGTAGCTATAACCGATTGCGATTCCCACTCGACACACGACTCACTACGATTGCTGAGGTACCAGAACTTGTCATTCATCATATTGGCGTGACGAAAATGCTAGGAGAAATTTGCTTAGGTGTAGCCTATCTGGATCTCCTATCTGTATCGGACGTTTGTTGCTTAATTTCTGGGGCATCTCGTGAAGGGTTTACGTGGTGTACATTTAAGGACCAGAAGGATCGAACAAAGACTACAGGGGTCGCAAAGCTCCGTATAGGATTTGATTTTACACGAAATGTTGCGGAAACACAACCTGCTAAAACAGTGAAAACGCTAGAGAAACGAGTGGCATCTGCGGAGATGTTTACGATATGGAAGAAGCTATTTTATTTATTGGACGAAAACGGCAACGGCTACATCGACCGCAAAGAATTCACGAACGTATTCGTGGATCATCTTGATGGTACAAGTCTCCTCAATAATGTAATCTTATTATTTGTATTCTAACTAGAGGCTGTGTAGATTTGTTGGAAACTTCAGACGGCCAAAAGCTAATGCAATTGTTATTTGGAGTCGACAACAACCAATGCAGCAGCATTTCGCCAACACAAGAGCAAATTGCGGCGGTATTTTCTGTGATGGACACGAATCGTGATAATGTAAGCCATTTCATTTGTTCTTTACCAACCTCTTTTCTTGTTTACAAAATTCTATCATATTGACAGGAAATCGAATGGTCCGAGTATCTACGCTTTCTACAACAGCGACAGCAGCAGCTCTTTACAACAGAGGGAGATGATGAAACTCCTGCGACCGATGTGCTTGAAGTAAAACCGGAACAGAAGCAAGAATTGAGGAAGAAAAACCGTGAAGATACGCGAACATCATCATCCAATCCAGCAAACGAGTCAGATCAAGATGAAATACCACCAGAAGAAACGAGAGATAAGCCAAGAAGCAAGCCGTCAAAACAAGAGCCTGCAGCGTCGAAACGCCCTGTTAAAGTATCGTCAAGTGAAGAAAAGCTATTGAAACTTCAGTACTCAAACCAAGAGCAGAATCGTTTGCAACAGCAAATTACGTCTCTGGAGACAATTCTCGCCATAGAACGTCGGCGATATGCTGAGCTCGCAGCAGATCGCCAGGCGTTAATGCGATCGTATCAGCAGTTGCATCTGAAACACCAGAGCGAAATCATTCAGGAACAAACCAAGACAAAGTGGATGAAACAGACTATTGAGCGCCAGCAACAACAACTGGAAGAACGAGAGAAACTCCGACAGAATCATAATCAAGCGTCGATAGTGTTACAGTCAACATTCCGCTCTCGCCTGGAGCAGAAGCGCTATCAGGGAATTAAACTCCAGCGAGTCAATGCAGCCATCACCATACAGTGTACGGTAAGACGTGTGAAAGCCATGAAACAATTGCGAGTGCTACAAGAAATGAATCGTGTGGCCAAAGAACGTATCCGTGCTGCATCTTTAATGCAGAAATTTATCCTTTACCAGTTGTACCGAAAAGAACGAGCTCTGCTTGTGGAAGCACGAAAAATATCGGCGATGATACTTCAGAAAAATGCTCGCAGAATGATAGCTTGCACTGCTTGGAAGGGCCAAAAACTTGCTGTATTAAGGCTTCAATGTTGGGTCCGGCAGCGATTAGCGATGAAACGTTTTACTCGGCTCCATGATGCAACGTTGGTTGTCAAAAAGGCAGTTGTGGGATGGTATCCGAGATGGAAGTATGCTATGATAAAAGCAAGCACTAGAAAAATACAAAAGTGGTGGAGACGAGCGAGCAGGGAACGATCAGCGTACTTTACGTTGGTTGAGGCTGCGCTTTGCATCCAGTCAGTCTGGAAAAGGAGAAGTGCAAGGAAGTGGTTTGAACGTGAATGGAAGCGACAAGAAAAATATTTAGCGCATCTGGAGGCAGCTATCTGTATTCAAGCTGCGTGGAGACGACAACAGCAGCACACGGTCCGTAAACGAGCGAAAGAAGGGATTCCATGGCTAGATGATGACACTACGGTTGAGGCTTTGCTGTACAATTTGGTGGCTATGGTTGAAGCCGATGTTGTCATTCCTGTTACTATTGAACACATTACTGAAGACACACCTGCGGACGACCAAACCGTTCCTTCGCCAGCAGAGAAGTTAGATACTGATGCTGAAGAGCTCATATGTGGAAAAGAAGATCCGATTGGTCCGACCGAGCTAGAATATATATCCTCTGTTGGTGATGGTGGCGATGGTGGTAATGCAGACGAGATTGAAGCTGTCTTGGATGATCTTGTAACGGTTGTGATCAGAGATAATGAAGACACTGGTGGTGTGAGACGAGAGAGCGACCTATTAACTGCTTGCAATGACAACCTAGCTCAAGTTGAGTGGATTCAAGAGGATGAGGCAGGAGATCAGAGCTGTCCTGGTACTACCTTTGCGGACCAGAAGGTCATATTGAGTAAATCGGAATCTGACGAAGTCGACGTTACAGCAAAGCTGCTTGATGATCCAGAGTACTGCACTATCCAGAGTCTGATAGATGATATGAAAGAATTGGTGGTATTGTCAGCCGTTGCTGAGGAAGCGACACACATGCAGCAAGTTTCGGACTCGACTTTAGACGAAATAGTCGAAAAGGCTGCAGAATTCGAGCCTAGCGAAAACGCTGTAGAACCCTTTGGTGCTCCAGATAACGTTATGCAAGCCGTAGTATCTTCCGAAATCACTCGAGATGATACAAGCGCTACGATGGACCAGTCTCAGCGACCTTTTCCAGAAGATTTTGATGTCGATGTAGCGACTGGTGACTTTACTGTACCGGAGGATAGTGATGACGAAGCAAGCAACCGACACGATAGCGAAGACGGAAGCAGTATCGATTCAACCGACTTGATGATGGAAGCCGACGCAATGACAACCATGCAAGATATCCCCGATAACACAGTACCAAAATCTGCACGGCATACTCCGAAAGCGACACGTATGGATAGTTCAATCCTACTCGCAGACTTGGACCAACTCAACGCACGCGAGGATACCAGCACACCTGAAGCGAATTAGGATCCTGAAAAAAAGTAAAATTAAATTGTACTTCGTACGTTTCTTAAACAAAATCGAGACGGTGACTGTTCATAAAGCTACTTGGGCGAGATTTCGATCGGTAGAAGGCCATTTGACTCAGTGGGCAATGTCTGTGGACGCTACAGTTCGCCACGTCTTCGGCTACGACGGTTGTGCCGGTGATTCGCCACCTCTGCAACTTGCAGACGAAACCACGTTAGTGTATGTGAGTGGCCACACGCTGCACTTCACGTCCACAACGAGTCCTAGCCAGCATTTCCTGCTTCGCTCTCAGCCTCGAAAACTCGTGGCTTTCGACTTTAATTGGAAAACTTCAACATTCGCCATTGCAGCGCGGGAGCCAGAAGCAGCCATTTCGTTGTATTCGTACCCGGACAAGAAGCTTAAGGACCAGCTAAAAAGTACTGTCGATCAAGTTCTTGAGTATTCTTTAGTAAAGTTCTCTCGCTGTGGTCGTCGACTACTGAGTATTCGTCCCGCTCCACCGGAAGGTACCGAAGCCAGAGATCCCGTACTTTGTGTATGGGATGTGGAAACTTTAACACCAGTGCCGGGGTGCGAACATTCGCGTATATCCGGACCAGCACGCTTCGCTTCTTTCGATCCTGGTAACATTAACCAGTTCATTGTCGGCGGTGACAACGGACTTCAGATCTGGAAAGTATATGCTGGTAAAACTGCAGCGTCAAGTTTATTGAGACCGGAGACGGTGACGCTACCAGCTCCGCTTAAAGATGACGGTGAACAGCCTACCGACGTCGAGCTGGAAGAGAAGCGCACGCAGTTCAGCTGTCACGCTTGGCTCCCTCGTAGTCGGTTTCTGGTTGCCAATTTGGCAGGAAATTTGCTTCTCGTGAATGCTATTGATGCCAAGGTGTTGCAACATATCAAGACAGCTACTCGACCGGATCGATGCTACATAGCAGGCATTGTGGCGACAGCGGAGACGGTTGTGGTGGCCTATTCCGACGGGGCATTAGCGTGGCTCCAAATGGACAATTGGGAGTTGTTAACCACTGGAATGCTTCCTGGAGGTCTAACCGGTTCGATTGTGACGGTCATGACACCGACGCCAACATACGCGAAAGCCTATGTGGGTACTCGCAATGGTAAAATCTTCGAGATTCATACGAGTGTTTTGCAAGACGACGAGGAAGATGTTGAGAATGAAGACGAAGAAACCAACACACAACGATCTGCTCAATCCAGTCGTCGGAACGACGAATCATCTCTAGTAGTTCCGTGTGCGAGTTTCCCGACCGGACCAGCATGTGATAGTACCGTATTCACTCCGTTTGGAGGCACCTTCTCGGCGGACGCATTGATAGCAACAGGAGGCATGAACGGCTACGTTGCACTCTGGGGTCTTCGAGACTGTCGCCAAGCTGCAGAAATCAACATCGCTGCACTGTTTTCACAAGATCCAGCAACAATTGGAGCTCCAAGCGATTCAAACTCTCGACCAGGAACCAGTACGACGGATCTCAATACCGAATCAACTACAACTCCCTCTCCTGTGATCATTACCGCATTGGCATCACGACCAGGAGATCCCATAGTGATGATCGGCGATCATCAAGGAAGACTGCGATCGCTCTGTATTGCAAAACTCGTCGGTGGAGGAGACAAAATTGAAGTTTTCCCGCAACACTCGATGCAGGTGCTGCCTGTTGATGCCCCACTTGACCTTCTAGCAATGCACCCGACACACCCAATACTCCTGGTGGCATCTACCCATAGTGGACAAGTCTTTTTGTTGTCCATGGATCACGAAAAGCGGTTCCCAGTACAGGCGTTTTTCACGCTGCGAGAGCCAAACGAACGTATCGTGGATATCCAATGGAATTCCACGGGTACTAGCAGTAGTTCCCTCACACTCACATGTTTCTCGTCACGTGGGTTATTCTACAGTGTACGATATCAAGCTCCACCTCAAGAGGATATCTCGGTGGGTAGTGGTGCATCCGGTCGTCGCGATGTGTCTCCAAGAGGAGCTCTGCAGATTATCCCCAAAGTTATCGCTTTTGGTGAAGCGGTTCTTCCGATGTGCGCTCGTTTGCGTTTCCTGGCTGGTCCTTCGAGTAGTATGATGATCGCAACTTCACCAGATCGTCCAGAGCTGACGCTCTTGAAATACCGAGACGTACTACATGAATCCACGGACGAGATCGGTATTCTATCCAAAGTTCTGATCAAAAGCGCTCACGCTCGTGGGATTTCGGCTGTCACTTTGTTTCCTCGCGTTCTTCAGGGAGACGTGGAGCTTCTTGTTACCGGCGGAATGGACGGTGCAGTCACGCTTTGGATGCTCGCAGCAGTGAATGCTCGGTACCAATCGAAGGTTTCAGACAGCGACTCTGGTACTTCAGATGAGCTGCAAGAGATGCAAGCTACTAAAAAGCGCACGCTGGTGCTTCACAACGGTCCAGTGACCACTTTACGGTTCGTCCTCACTAAAGGAGGAACTCCTCCTGCTGAAAGTGGCGGCCCAGCAAACATCCAATTGATTTCTACTGGTGTGGACGGTTGTGTCTTCCTCATGGATGTGAGAATGTCAGCTGAGCTGCATGGAGAAGCTATAGGTTTCAGTAGCACGCAGAGCTCTGATCCGACCATGAATCCTCTCTATATGAACGTGGTTTCGACAGTCAAATACGACGATGTTTTCCAACCTGAACGGGAGCAAGAGCGTACGCCGTTCCTAGAGGCTCGAATGCGTGCTGAGACGATGGCAGCTCGAGATCGATTCGATCGTGGCAAGGATGCCACACGTGTCAAACTACGTGAACTTGAAGGAAGGCTTAAAGGTATGCTGAGCGAGAATGAGCAGCTACCAGAGAGCGAACAGCTCGCACGAGACGAATTTGTGCTCAACGTAGCGTGGCGTGACAATCTACTAGCTCAACATGCTGCACGCGCTCAACGTGTGCGAGAAGGGATCGCACGCGACCTCGCACGAATGGCGATTGTTCGCGAGCGAATGAAGCGTGAATTCTGGGATATAGCAGTAGTTCCAGGTGTCCGTCTCAACGCTCTGTCACCTCCTACAACCACTGCAGCTCAGCAACAACAGCAACAGTCCACAACGACACAATCAGCTCCATTTTTTGTTAACAACTTTCCAATGCGACGGCAAACTCCACGTGAGCAAAAGCTCGACAAACAGATCGCTACACTTCGACTAGTCGAATTCTCGCACCATCAACAAGAAGACCATGAGGGGCATTCATCCGATGTTCGTAAGCGATTCCAAGAATCAATTCCGAGTGATCTACAATGGGTTTTAAACACTGGAACACTGCATCCGAAGTTCCAGATAGGGAACACTTCTACTGATGCCGAAGTCTCCGAGTACGCTAAACTACCAAGCTTCCACTTTGTGTATCACCCTGCAGCTGTACGCACACACAAGCAAGCTCGAGTACAAATGTACTTGCTAAGTTGCTACGCACGTGAGCTCCGAAATGTTTTTAACGCCGAATTCCAGGAACTTGTCCGTCAAAAGGAGAATACGATGGAGCAGATTGAGGCCAAGAACGCTCGTATCATGGAGATTACGACCGAGTTAAACGTCGGGAATGCTGGAGATTTGTTTAAACCGCAGTGGGCGCCAGAGGAGAAAGCGGATTCCATCCTCAAGGTTTTACCGGAAGAGATGACGCAAAAGCCATACGAAACCAATGAACGTCGCAAACAGCGCGAGCGAGAGGCTCAAGAAGCAGCTGAAAGGGAGAAAGCTCGTAAGAAAGATGACGTTGGAGGACGCGCTCTAATAGACATGATGGACGGCACACTTGAGGTCAGGAAGGATCCACTAGCAGCTCAGGAATTAGTGAAAGAAGCGTGGATGTTGAGTATCCCACCGGAGGAGATGACAGCGGAGCAAAAGAAGCTCGTAGCTCAGTTTGAAGCTGCCCAGGCCAAGTTTGAAGAAGAGAAAGAGAAATATCGCAAGAGTCTGGACTTGGAACTGCGCAAGACTCGAGGAGAGGTGGCCGATTTGTGTCGTGCATTTGATGAAAAGCTACGAGCCTTACGTGATCGATACATGGCTACACATCGCTCTGTACTCGCTCAAGAACTCTACGAACTTCGATTAGGTGAGGAGCTTATGGCTCGTGAACAACTGGAACTCGAGACAGAACGCCTTGAAGAAGATGTACACAAACTGCAAGACATTGAAGCACAAGCTCAAGCGGAGAGCGACCGCTTTGCAGCGCAGCTAGAAGCCTGTCGAGAAGAGTTACATCGCGCTACTGAAGAAGATAAATTACTCGAAAAGAGTTTCATGCGTGAGCTCGAAGAGATGATTCAGAATAGTGCGAGTGCAGGTGGAGTGTCAGCGAGCACAAGCCAACTGGACTCTCCGGAGTTCACCAAGCATCTCTTAGAGCTTTACCGTAAGCGTAAGCCGGATGACTTTGTGTCAGCTTCTGGTCAAGATACTGCCAAACGTACACCTTCCGCTGGGATAGCAAATCGTTCCAGGGGCAGCGCTAAGCAACGCTTACTGGCTGAGAGTCACAGCGGTGAAGGAGGGTCTTCACGTTCGCTATTAGTGAAGCAGACGTCTAAGAACAATGTCGAGTCTGAAACCAATCTGGATCCGTTCCAGAATCTGGACAGACAACAACGTGGTAATTCGAAACGTGGAAGTTTAACAGGTTTCGAGCCTGGCAGCGAGCAGCTCGTTGTTGCACCGCTGGACTACGTAGCGGATCGTCCAGAAGGTGTCCTAATTGAGGATCGTATCTGGCGAGCCTTGAATGCTCTGCGGGCCAAGAAAATCCTTGCGGAACACGCAGTACGTGAGAAGTCGGAGTTGTTGACGCTCGCCAAGGCTGTAAATGACGAGCTTCGTACCAATCTGTCGGAGTTACAACGACGACGTAGGAAGCACCAACGAGAGCGAGAGGGTTTGACCCAACGCCGCACAACGTTGACTGAGAGTGCTCCTTTGCTTGTACGCATTAAACAGGGCCAAGACGAAACCCCCGTCGGTAGCAGCGGGGATGACGCGCTGCTTGTTGCTCGAACGAGTGTCGAAGCACTGAATGATGTGATTCAACTACACGGCAAAGACCAAGTCGGCATCCTCGGTCGTATCAAAGATTTCCGTAAGAGTATCAACGTTATGGAATGGGAACACGCTTTGCTGGAACTTCAGGCACGCGATATGGACGAACGATACACGGACATCCAATTGTTACGTGTGACTAAGGACTTACAAGAGCTCTTCCATACTGGAGACACATCCCACAAGCAGAAGCGCGAAGCTGCCATGCTCGAGGCTAAATTGGTGCATCTAGGTCGCCACCATCAAACAACGCTGCTTAAGCTGGAGCGAACGGGTTCCCATCTAGAGCGCCAACTGAGAGAACGTGAGCGCGAGAACCAGAATTTCCAGCAACAAGTGGCACAACTTGAGATTCAAGTGCAGATTCGTGAGGATATTCTAGCAAGTCGAACGAGTGCGGCGATGCGTCAGAAAAGAAGTGGAGGTGGTCGGGGCGACGATACGAGACTCAAGGCCATTGCGGTGAGACGTAAATTGGTTGATCTAGCGAAGGCTCAGACGGATGAGATCGAGTATTTGCGTCTGGAGCTCGACAAAATGAGAAGACGTACCTTTCCAAGCTTCGCGCATGCACACGCCCGTGATTACCACGACGTGGACTGAGACCTTGGAACTTAGGCTACGATAGTCTTGTCGACTGTAGCATCGCTCTTTCGTTTTTTTTTTATTTCTTGCAGTTTCGCACGAAAACAATTGCAAAATTAATTACAGGTATTACTAGTATATTCTCTTTATGTGACGGGGTCACACAGCACCTTGTGCAGAGGAAGTTTATTTCCTCTAGAGTATACAAACTCTAAGTGAACGACCGTTCACGTGTCCCTGGTCTG